AAACCATAACTAAGCGAATACACATGTTTTGTAACTTAATCATTGATGATTGTTAACTATAATGTTTTGAGCTATTAGTTTGTTAATTTTAGTTTGAAAAATCCTTGACGTGTCGACATGACGTATTTTACTGAAAATGGTAATTCTGAGGGAATTCTGTAACATTTAATTCTATTTCACATCATCGCAGGCAGCCACATTTTATACAATTTGTAATTCGACGGCTCTGTCTCGAAAGGACATCTTCAAGTATTTAAAATGGTGTGGCGTCGATTTTTAAAGAGCATGACCCCTTAGCTCTTCAATTTTCCTAATAAATTACAAGTAATTATAATAACGAGACAATTATAATCATAAATATCGATAGAATAGAAGAGAAGATTTGCTATATGTCCTTTCTTGCCAGCCACTGTGCTGCTGTCAAAAAGGAGCTATAAGAATTTTGATTTATCGCGGGAGCAGCTTCAAGAGAAACTAAACATATGGCCAGTCATTTCTGAGCCTAATTACGCCCGACTGGCTAAGGTTCCATTTGAACTGTGTACAGCGAATTAAAAAGATGAATTTAATAATATGTTGAATTAGGATTTTTACTTAATAGTGACAACAGCTGCACGCTCTTTTTTAATCGGTTGAAAGCTTATCGAAATTACCCACTATATACCATGCCCAAGGAGCATTTCTCCGTTTGTAGAAACTATAATTAGCAGAGACCACAGCAGTTTTCTAGGAACCTGATTCTAACATGTGCTCGAATTCTTCTATGATCAATCGACTACTTTTTATAAAAGATAGAGTACATAAAATGAAAAGTGATTTTTTATGCAAACTATCTTTTCGTGGTGCAAAATTTAAAAATAAACTTTCATACTTGAGTCATACGTAAGCTAACTACTAAAGCTTTACTTTGACTCAAAATGTTTGCTTTTTTAAAAGCTTTACATTGTATATTCTTTAATTAACCAAAAAAGAATCAGTAAACAAAACGAATTATTTGCTGGTGTATTCAAATTTGATGAAATGATATATGTCTGTCAGTGAAAATCAGGGTAGATTTTGTCTAGGGTTGGTAGTCACTAGACTCCCAACTAAAAGATCGCTAATCAGTAAGATATGCCATTTCATTTCATTCCATTCATTTCCTTTCCTTTCCATTCCTTTCCTTTCCATTCAATTCAATTCAATTCAATTCAATTCCATTCCATTCCATTCCATTCCATTCCATTACATTTCATTTCATTTCATTTCATTTCATTTCATTTCATTTCATTTCATTTCATTTCATTTCATTTCATTTCATTTCATTTCATTTCATTCCATTTCATTTCATTTCATTTCATTTCATTTCGATCACCAATCATTTCTAAATAAAATTTAACAATACTCAACTCCTAAAGAATTACAGTAATAATAATAATGATAATAATAATAATAACTAATTACTAAAATACATTAACAACAGGGAGTAAAAGTAAACTATATTTTCTGCACATATATGTATCTAAGATTGAATGATTAAGTAGGGCTCTCTAATTAGGTAAACTAATCGAGGAAGAACGTAGGAAAACTTAGTATCATCTGCAAAAAGGAAAAAAGATAGCAGCTGTGATGAATTTGGTAAATCACTGACATGAATAAGATACAACAATGATCCAAGTACTGATCCTTGGGGGACGCCAAAAAGAAACAACAATGATCCAAGAACTGATCCTTGGGGGACGCCAATAAGAAATAACAATGATCCAAGAACTGATCCTTGGCGGACGCCACAGGATATATAACAGAGAAAAAAGAATTGAAATAAACTGTTTGCGATTATTAAGATGAGACTGGAACTTAGAGCAATGCCTCTGATACCGTAATGTTCTAACTTTTTGACGTGATATGATTTACTGTGTCAATAATGCCTTTTGAAGATCAATAAAGATTCCACAGGCAACTCTTTCTTTGTCCAATGAAGATTTCATAGTTTCAGTTAGACCAATAAGAGCATGATCCGTTGAGTGACCTATTTGCATAGGTCACTCAACATATTATATGTTAGAAATATATATTGCAGACTTTAAGAAATCAGAAAAGGAACTGTGCACCAAATTCCATCAAATCTTAATCACAGAAAATTTTTAATGATTGATATCAATTTCGACACCAGGTGACACCAATTTCACCGAAAATTTATTCTTCTTATCAATCAAAGCTTTTTGGCAAGAAAGCCAAACAAAAAGTTTGAGGAGCATTCATAAAGCTTGTAGTTCCTAAATGTTTTTGTGATGAAAAAAGACTGTAACAATTTTGAGATTTTCTTATTAGAATGATTTGCGAATAATTCTAAGCTCAAAATCACAAATTTTTAAAAAATATTGAGGCTTAGAAAAAATCAGAGTATTCCTACAAAATGTCGTGTATTGTAAAAACAACTGCGAGATTACGTATCTGTGAAGGTTTTCACTCTGTTACCACACTAGCCTCGTCGTTAGACACAGGCACGTCGTCCATAGAAACGAATAGCTCATCGACACACAAAAGACGGTTTCAGTACAGTTCGTAGGATACTGAGACCCATGTTTTCATCAGATTTAAGAACCTGATTAGAGTTCTTTAAATACATTACCACAAGGCAACGAAAAATCAGCTTACAAACAATAATGCCAATCTCTTCAATAAGAAGCTATGGCAGCCTCAGTTTGCCGATTTATGTATGTTTTATAGAAACTTTTTGAAATGCAAAAAACAACATGTTTTGATGAATTTTGCTTTGGCAAAGCATATACCTTTCTATTTGACTGGTGCAAAGACACAAAATACGTCGTTGAACATTTTGAAAGAACCATTTTCATATTCATGTCGATCATTTTAAAAGCACAATACAAACATCGTTGATCGTTCTGAGCAAAATGAAGACATTTCGTTTGAAGCATTCTGAATACTTTGAGTCTCAGGCCGGCTGTTTTGTTTAGTCCCTATAGAGGCTTGAGTACTCCGGCATTTTAACGCTGTTTTCAACATCAATATTACAATTTTATGAGGTCCTATGTAAAACTTTTCACAATTTATTGCTTTTTGATACAAGGTCCACGCCACGAATTTTAGGTGGGAGGAGGGGGGCAAGGCTAGCTAAAGTAGGGGGTCAAGGCTCCTTTGTCCCTGGTGCCAACGAAATTTCTGTGACAGACAGTGAATCGGAGGCGGACTACGGAGTTCTAAATTTAGGTACGGATGATCTGGGTACAAATAATTTAGAATGCATTTAGAAATCAGTTGCATGCATACCACAAATCTTCGCATTGCCCCCCCCCCCCGCTAGAAACAGCCCCTTCGTCGAATAAGCCCTCACCCTAGAACTACAAATTGTCAATAAGCCCTCCCCTCGAATAAGCCCCCACGGCTACCATAAATTCTCGAATTAGACCCCTCACTTTGAAATCTGAGGTTGCCTTTGGCGTTTTATTGAATTACCACAACAAATTCATACTTTTGGTAGTAATTAAATAAATGCTCATAAAGAAATTCCTACTTAAATAAACGAGGTATTTTAATGATGTCTTCTTAATGTCTACAATAATTTTATAAGCCCCCCTCGCATAAGCCCCTCCCTTGAATAAGCCCCCATCCAAAAATATAAAAAAAATAAGCCCCCAGGGGGCTAATTTGAGGATTTACGGTAAGCCTGTGTGTTCAAAACCAAGGCATGTTCTTGGTTGCCTATCATTTTGGCATGACCAACGAGCAGTTTTCTTTTTATCACCAATGGCATATGAATGAGGGGCCCCATCCCAAAAGAATTTTGAAAATCCTTTGTTCCAGTCTAAAAATAGCACAAGAGAACATTTTGCGTCCATAGCCTATCCTTTTCTGCGTATCAAACTGTTTTTTGTTTCAGTGTTTCACGCTGTTGCACCAAAGTGAGACTGAGATACGACTCTTTTATCTGTAATGGTCTGTTTTTGTTTTTTGGATAAGAACAAGGGTGAAGGATTCTATAGATTTCTTTGAAAATATTCGAATGGTAAATTTCGTTGTATTGGCACTTTAACGGGGCTTAAGATCAGTGCCAGGCTCAAGCTTCATCAAGATTTAAATTTTTTTATTTATCTTAGTTTTCTCACAAAGCAAAACGACTGTCACTTCCGCGCTATATAGATGTTTTGAAATGCCTCGAACGAGCGTTCCCTCAAATAGGAGCCCCCTCGAGTCCCGTCAAAAAATCATCTAAGGGTCCCGTCAAAAAAAATATATATTACCAAATTAGGGCAGGAGGGGCAGTTTCGGTGCTGAGGGCGAATCGAAAATTTTACTACTTATATGTTCGAGTATTCCTGGTGCGGTCGGGGTGGGGGCGAGGGGGGGGGGTAACATAATAACATATCAACATGGATATGTGCCGCCCATACAGCTGGGTTTTTTACAAAAAAGGAAAAAAAGTTCCTTATTTTATCTTGATGATTCTAAACATAGAGAAAATGTTGACAAAATTGTCCATACATAGAAATTGAATGGCTTTGTACCTTTTCACAATATTTTGATTTATAAAAATTATGGCTGTTATAAATGGACTGGTTGTAAAATGTTGATTGCCCGCTACGATTAAATACCAATTTATCCTTCTTAGGTTCGTGGAGCTCGTTTAGGCTCGTAACCTCATGGAATATCTTTGCCGCTCTCCCTCTTTTCACAGGCAAACTTGTTATCTTTTGCGTTTTTTGCTGGTTCTATAATCTTTCTAATAATTTCTGACAGAAATTTACTTAACGAGAGTGGTCAAAGTGGTCATCAATTATCGATGAGATTCTATTATATTTTCTTTTATTTCAGGGCACTTCCAGCATCCCCCCCCCCGGTGTAGGCGCCCCTGGTTTTCTTGTCGGAAATACTTTTCATGTTGGTGTTTATTATAAAACACACCCTTTTCTTACCCATTTTCCTTTCCTTTGTTTCAGTCTTGCACGTGTGTCGCCGTCATGACCAACTGACGTCAATGCAGGCGGAAGTGTGAAAATCGGAAGTAAATATTAAAATATAGTTCCAGGCTATAACGGAACCTAATTCAATCATTCGTGCTATTGAGCGGCTAATGAAGTTGCAAGGATTACTATTTTCAATACAGAATTTCGAGAGTTTCGATCAATCAATTAGTTCTTTCATGCAGTTGAATCAGACTGGTGAGTTAGAGGTTCAAGCTTACTTTCCCTTGCAAAGCAAAGTATATTTACCACTCACACTCAATCTATCTGCCGTTGCTCATCGTATGTATTAATCAGAAACAGATTGCCAATTCTTTTATGGTAGTATCCTTACTAGTTTTATGACGAAAGTCGATTGCCCCTGTTCTGTTTGACAATAAAAGTTTTTCTCTTGTTTTTGGATAAGCTTTACTGCACGTGCTCGAGCAAGGAGTAAAGTGAAATGATAAGAAGTATGGGGGTTTCCCAGGGGGGTACTTGTTCCCGTGTTCCCTTTGAAAAACAATCAATGTTCCCGTGTTCCCAAATAAAAAAATTTCCCATGTTCCCAGTGGAAAATTTAAGTTGTTCCTGTACCATTGTTTACCATGTTCCCTTGTTCCCTTGTTCCCTTGTTTCATTCATAAATTCATAAATGTTATGCCTTACCAACAAAGTCTTTTTTACCCTCTAAATGGTGGCATTGATATCCCCAGGCATTTTTGCCTGGGGCGTCACACCCCCTATAGTGACAGACTGCGAAGTTCTGCCTATTTTGTCCCGTCAGCGTCTTTTTATTGAGAATAACTTTTCATCTGAAAGGTATGTTGTGTTTGGTTAGGCTCAAATTTGAGCTAGCAGTAATATGAAAATGATTCGCATACAAACAAAACCAGTCGCGCGAAATCAAAACGGATTTACATTGAAACCGATTTACCCGGAAACAAATCGATCCGCACGGAGAGAGTAGTGCAAAAATCAAACGAGTCGCACAAAAAGAAAACTTCGTCGTACAAATATTGAACGATTCAAAATAGGAAATTCAACGGCATTGGACCAAGCCCAGGAGTAGATTTAGCAAAAATTTTGACCGGTTGCGGGCAGTGTGACCAGATCTAGCATAATATTATGCTTTGGCATAATTTTGGCCAAAAATCGTCCTTTAGCATAAAATCTAGCATAGTTTGAAATCTAGCATAATTCTGGCATAATTTTAATATTTGATAAGAAAATCATTGTTTCCATTGATACGTGATCCGCTTTCTATCGTAACTGCATGCAAATACATTACACCCGCATGTGTGGCTATTATAATGTGATGTCATCTTATCATAACATACCAGTACAAGGAAGGAAGGGTTATAAGTGACGTCTATATTTGGAGGTAGCTGATTGGTTACTGTCTAAGTTGGCAATGATGATTTCTTAAAAATAGCTCTGTCAGTGAAAAATATGGCCCACCTTTATTTTACATCTACAATTAATTAATTTGCGCATGCGCTAGCCTCTTTTTAAAATAGGATTACCTTGATTTGAAAGTTAGCATAATTTTTGTAAATCTAGCTCAATTTTATGACAATTTTGGCATAATTCCGAAATTGTGATCTGGTCACACTGGTTGCGGGGGGTGCTTTCGCTGTTACATTCAAGATTCACAGGGAAACACAGCACTGCGAATTTGACCGCTTTTCTGAAACCTGTGCAACCGGTCTATTGCACCTGGGGCCTCGAAAGAAATCCGCAGCACCTTAACCAGTGTTGCGTGACTCAGGAGCATACCTTGGTAGCGATTTAAGGAAAGGGGCATGGGGGCATTGGGGGGGGGCAGTTGGCTGAAAAAAGAAAATTGCTGATTACACAGGGCATAACACGTAGGTGACTCAAGCCACAGAAACTTTAAAAACACATATAATACGTCACAAGAACTTTAGCTGAAGCATTCAAAAAACAAAAGGACACAGTAACACTTTAAATGTTGAATAAAATAACTGAGAACGATTTTCGATATTGTGGACAAGACAGTACTTAGATATTGTGTTAAACTTTTGAGAATCTGTTTTTTGGTGGGATATGCTGTGCGGAAATGTCCCCTAACCTCGTTTTGTTTTCTTTGTTTATTTTTGACGTTTATTATGTTTTCTGCTGGGTTTTTGTTTTGTTGTTGGTGTCAACACCTAAGAAAAAAGGAAAGAACTCTCACGCTCGAACTCGATTCTCGAAGAACTACACTCATTTTTTTTATAAGAAACAAAGGTCGATGTTGAGTACTCCAGTTTCTTAATATTCTGGAAATTTCAATACTCATTGTTTCTTAAGAGTTTCTTAATTATGATGTCATGAATGATGTCATGAAATGTTCGCGACCTTTTCTATCACGTCAAGAGATTCGTTTCCATTCCGATGCTGTATTTAGATGTGGGAAGTATATTTTTACCCCTTGTGTCTTAATTTCTAGGCCAACAGGGCAATCTTGTTCTTGGATTTTACAAAATTTCGTTGTTCTCAGTTTTATTACGATTTAATAGTTTCTTAATTTTTTTTTCTTCGAGTACTAAAGTTTCTTTATTTTTTCTGACTGTCCAGTACTCGTTTCTTATAGCCAGTTTCTTATAAAATAAATGAGTGTATCGCTTTTAAACTCTACGAAATCGCTCTTGAAACTCAAAGAACTCGAAGAACTCGCAAGATAAAGGTTTTCCGAACAAGAACATAACCAGGTGAAGTCGAAGAAATTCTGAAGAAAAGAACTCTTACATTCTTAGACTCTTACACTATTACATTCTAATTATTCGTTGCCTATTTCGTTTGTTAGATTTGTTAGATTATAAGATTATCGTTGTTTTTGAATATATATACAGTCCTCTTTAATTATTAGACAAATACATCTCTCGTATTTTCCTTGAGCCCTTGTGGGCGTATCTTACACGTAGAATTAAAGGACGAAAACCCTTCGTGTCTACGAAGTTCGTGAATATGCACGCTACAGAAAAACTTTCAAGGACTCAACTGACCGTGGCGCAAAAAGCAAGACCAAAGTAGCAAACAGCTAATAAATGCATTTCAACTTTTTCAGCAGATACACGCTTTTTTAGGGAACCTACCTCAAGGCCTAGTTCCAAAAGTTCCTTATTCGTAGACCTCAAATCATCAAATTGTAGTACCAAAAGTTCCTTAATAGTTCCTTAATTTTCACTGCACATCAAGTGCCATAAAAATAGTACAGAAACAGGAAACACATGAAATTTTGAATTTTGCCTTTACTTGTGGCTAGAACTCAGAAGCTTAATAGAAAGAGGGGCAAGACAGCATATGCGGAAACTAACCAATGAAGCACTTGACACACGAGTAGCAAACAATCTATGCGAGTATTGGCTGCAAATGAATGGAACCGGTTTTTTAGTTCTTGATGCTGGCAGTTATAAAAAATTTTCAAATCGAAAAGTTTCTTAGGGATTTCGTTTTTAGTAGTATAAGTTCTTTAAATATTTCGGTCTTCTACGTGTAGGTTCCTTATGAAGTTGCTCCTTATAAAAAGTGTGTATCTTAATTTGACCAAAGTGCTTGGCACACCCTTTTTGAAGAAGAACCAATAAATTTAAGTTGAGGCCGACTGTTCTTAATTTTTTCGAAAATCTGAGGCTGGATTGTTTTTAATTTGTTCTTGAATTGATAGGGTACAAGCAGTGCGATTGCTAGCTTTTTCACCCCAGCGAGGTATTCAGGCCCCTTTTGCCTACAAAGTGAGCGAGAAAACTTTCATTTGCCGACAGGTTTGAATATTCAACGAAAAAGCACCCGGCTAAAAGCACATGGCCGAAAAATCCTCGTTTTTTAAGACAAAACGTTGTTCAAGATTGCATTTCACAGAAGCTCAGCCTCATAACCTCATGGAATAAATCCTTTTTGTCGTGTAACACTGACTCGCCTCTTCTTTCTTCATTGAAAATAGCAGTCAAAAGAAAACGAGCGAGGCTTTTATGAGATAAAATAATGAGCAAAAAAATTTAACCATGCATTATACTATTGCAGACAATAAATTCTGAAACCACTAAATGAATGCAAAATTTTCAAACCTAAATTGGACATAAGACACGCTTCGAAACAACACCACTACATCATTTTCCAAGTCTCTTAAAAAATAACGAAAGGTTCCGAGTGAGAAAGAAAATAATTATCATTATGCTTATCAAGATTGCAAAGAATATGTGTGTACTCACGGATACAAAATTAAAAAAATTCGAATAAAAGATGAGTTGAAATACAAGTTTTGGAAGTGGAATTTTTAGCGAATTATCATCAGCCTTAACCAGAAAAAGTCAAAACATAGACTCCAAAATTAGCTCCCAAGTAAACAAATGTCTTTATTCTGCTGCTACTAAACTCTAGCATTCTACTGGGAACTTGATATAAAACTGACAATAAGCCTTCCACCCAAAATCTAGAAAAAGCTCTTATGTTTTTCGAGCTCTTTCGTCAATATATTTTGCTTTTCTTTATCAGGATTTGCCTTCAAATAGCTTGTTTCACCCGCACTAAAACAAGTCTAATGAATACGATCTGGATGGCGAGCAAATCTTTCACAACATCAATCAGGTTTAGAGATGATGAGATATCTATTTTCTTAAAAAGTTAATCAGCTGTTTTAAACGCTCACGTCCAAAACATTTTATAAGGCAGACACATTTACAGCTTGGCTGTTTATTAATTATAACAACATCTCAAAGACGTCTTATCAGTCTTGAATATCAGAGTTAAACTTTAAAACAGTTTTGTTGGGAAAGCAAAATTACAACACAACACTTTAAAATCGACAAAAGGCAACATGAATCAAGCCAATTAGTTTTTACATGAAGATTATAAGCTGTACTTATTTTGTTTTTAATATTCATAGCTAAAGGTTCTTGCAAACTTGCGCCATAAATTATTGCGAAAGTGAGTAGTCTTTTTCTGTCGCCAATTGCTTCAAGCTTTTTCTGTAACTTGGAAAGAACTGTCTTCAGGAGATATCTTGGGTGATAGACAAAGAACCTTTCCAAAAGGTGTTGCCAAAATACTCTGCCTGAATCGTTTGTGCATAATAGTGTAGATGACTGGGTTGAACATTGTTGACGACTTTGCAATGATGGCGGAGACTGTTGCCAAGGTGACTGGTAATTCAGCGACATGTGTAAAGAAGCTGGCCCAGAAAGAGAGTAAGGTATAGGGCATCCATGTTATGATGAAAACCATACACATGACGATTGCAAGCCTTGTGTGTCTCTTCTCTGCTCGAACGTTGTCCTTTGCTGCCTTGGACTCACGGCCAAAAAGATTGGAAGCACGTGACTGCATCTCGCGTAGCTCTTGTTTCACTCTGTAGAAGGAATAGCACATGACAGAAACGGGTATGATGAAGCAGAAGATGAACAAAAATATGATGTAGAGGTGGTCTTTTGTTTTCTTCGATGCCCAGTCAATAGAACACCTAAGGGCGTCGCTTTCTAGCTCGTATCCCGACCAGCCAATGAGTGGAAACGCTGCCCACACGAAGCCGTATGTCCAGCATGATGATATGAAGGCTGTGCATAAAATGTAAGAGCCATGGATACGGGTGGCCATAAATGGTTTGCATATCGTCAAATATCGGTCGTATGCCAGGGCTGTTAAGTGGGCTGTGGAGGAGAGGGCCAAGAAGGTGACAATAAATCCAGATGCCTAAAAGATAAAACAAAGATAAATTGTCACTCGAAGTGAATTGAGATATCTGCCTATTGTAGATTCTCCTTGTTTCTTGATGTGAATATTTTTCTTCAGATCATGCATGTTTTCAAACGTTACTTCATTACGACGACTGGCGTTTACGAAGACGATCACAGCACAATGTATAGTTGTTTTTGCTACTGATAATGGCGAAGTGTTTCTATGAAACGACACAAATATAACCGATACTTATAGAAATCAAAATAGTTTAAACAGGAGACACAGAACAATTAATTAAGGGAATTATTGAAGGAAGACCAGTTCCGGAAAGAACAAGGCTACGAGTGGATCACGATCTATCGTCTTGTATCGCATCCTAAAATGGATTAAGAAAATTCAGAAAATTGGCTGAAACGTAAAACACGTCTAGTCAATTTGCAAGATTGGGTTTCGTTATGAGCGAAGAACGAGAAGGCCAGATCTTTATTTGAACTTCTGCTCAAAGATCCATGAGACAGAAAGCCTCGGTTTGAAGCGCTTGATTGCTGAATAAGGCAACATGGGATCTTTTGTGCCTATATATACAAAGCAAATCTGAGGGTGTAGAAAAAGTCCATACAGGGAGGAACACGCACATCCAAGCCTGGCACACAATTTTGTTTCAAATTCCTACAAACTGATTTGCTCAAGTTTTTAAACATTTTATCTTATCTACACTCATTTTTTTTATAAGAAACAGGTTTTAAAAAACGGTAGGCTTAATATTTCCATAGTGAAGAAACAACCCTACCCAAATTAAAAAAAGCTAAGAAACTTTTATAATTTGCAGTTTTAATTTTCCGAGTTGACACTCGAAACAGTCTTGACATCACTGTGTATTTTAACACTACACTTGACACGCAGTTTGCATTCATTCTCAGTAAATTGCAAACTTAGGAAAGTTCCATTTTAAAATTTGCTTTGTCTTCAACTTGACATTGCTGAAGTTCAATGAGCTTAACTGTTTACAGATCTCAACAGAGTTAGTCATTCTAGGAACACAAAATTCCTTGATCACTTTGTTAGCTAAACTCTGAATGTGAGAGAACTATTTACTGTACCTTGGAAGCACGTTTAAAAAATTCATTACCTAGGCAATTAAGAAAATTTAAGAAACTGCCTATTAGCACCGGACCTTAGTTTCTTATAAAAAAAATACGTGTATTGAAGCTCAAGGCACCTTTAAGATAAATCTTAAAGGAAAGTTTTAATTAAAGAGACCATTGAAGTTGCATCTTTGCGATCAATAAGTCCAGTCAAAATGCATTCTACTTGGTCGACGTTGTTTCTTTGACAGTTCAGCAATCAGAATGAAGATATGATCTTCAGAAATGATTTTCATCTTGCAAACGACACATTCCTTAATGCGTTTTGAATATGGGCAAAATTTTGATTCTTTTTCGGCTTAAATTTCATTGTTTAGAAGTTTTCACGATCAAAAGTATGAATACTTAGATGTTGCTTTTGCTCCTGGCCATCAACGTGTCCTGTATAATTTTGAGATTTCGTGTAAATCTTTAGATATCGTTTCCTCACATCTAAAATCGCACTTTAAGTCCAGCGATAAGCCGAGAGTTTTCACAGTCTCGTGAGGATTTTTCCTCGTTTGTTTCTTCTTGTGTTATAATTTCACCTTCTATCTTCCTTTTCACCAACGAGTATCCCGTTTGTTTAGCCTGGCCTCATATCTACGCAAACTGTTTATTCGATCTAATCCTGACTTGAAATTCTGTAGAGTGATATATCCCTCATTTAAGTCGGATTAGGCAAAATTCAAGGTGTTATTTCAAGAAGTGCACATTGCACAATCTTCTTAAAGGCGTCAAAGCGCTGGAGGTGACAATGTGCTTTGCAACATTTTCTGTTCACAGTGGAAGTGCCTTGAAAGCGTGCACGCAATTATCATTTCCTTTGATTTCAAAACGCTATGCTAAATGTATTGTCTAGGACTTGCAGAAAACCCACAGAAAACCTGCATGCTGGTCGCATAATATAAGGCTTCCATTTTGATGACGTAAGAGAGGTCTTAGGGGTAAAAATAAATGTACATAGAGTTAAATATATTTGATTAAAAGTAGAACATCGTAGCATTTCTGATCAAGATGATGCTGTCAAAGAAACGCCAATTTTTAAGGCAATGCTTATAGATGCTATTTCGATCAATGATGCTAGAAATTAAGTGATTTACTAGACCTAAGCGTTTCAAAAACATATTTGCAATAGTATTTTGACTAGAAGAGAGAAAAAGACTGGGTAAATGGTATTTTGTTAATCTTCAATCTTCTAATTACGAGATTGGGAAGTTTGTTTTGGTCAGACGAATTAAAGGCCTCAATCACGATGAATCAAAATAAGATTTTCAGATACCAGGGTCGCAATAATCAGGCGAAAATTATTTAAGTCTCTTACATGTGGCAAAAGAAAGAACGCTATTGTGGCATAACATAAAACCGAATAGACAGGAAACTGAGGCATATCTATATTGAATAAATTTATATGTAACCGATACTTGCCAGATTAATCGAAGTCAAAGATTTCGATGTGACTTTGAATAAGTAGGATTGTACAGGACAGTGAAAAACAAATTTAACTGCAAATGGAGGCTATATGTGGGAGTTTTTACTTGCTATTCTATAGTGAAAATCAAAACGGCGTTAAGAGATACATCTGCTTTGAAATGATGGAATAGAAAGTGCAAAACGATGGAGTAACTGCTTTTATTTGATGTGGTAGCAGTACGTGACCTCTGCAAAAATACACAGAAAGTTTTGTTGACAGACTATTTGTCTCGTGAAACTAATCATAGTTATAATAGGATATGGATTGATCAAGGACTTAAAATAATTGATTATCTTGTTTTAAGACGGCCGATTTAGGATATATAGTCATCCTTGTTACTTGTGAGCAAGAAAGAGTTTCTAGCTTCCAGTCAGAATCCAGTAGTCTTTGCCGAAAAAGCATACCTATTTAAAAGACAAGTTGGCTTTTTCGTTTGCAGATGCGATGTGGATTTGACACTTTTCAGAAGCATCTCTTTCTTCTCTTTCCCTGACTGGCGGCATTTATTTTTGTTCTTTTCCTTGAAATGTTCTCATTCAATCATAAGGGAAAGTCGTACTCTTCAGCTTTAAATTATTCTTACCCGCAAGGCTAGCAAGTTTATTAATGACAGGCATTAAATCATCTATTATGTGGGTATAAAACTCCCAACTCATTTGCTTTCCTTGGCAGCACTTTATCGTCCTAATATAGATTTACTCTTCTTTCTTCCACCTGTTTCAGAAAAACAGAAGCTTTCTCGCTGTGGCTATCTGAAAACTCTTTTGAAGCATAGGTAACACCTGTGTCTCCACGCATCAGCAAACTTGTGAACATTTATCCAATGCGCATCCTTCCTGCTTGAAAAAAACCTTAAAAACTTTGAAAAATTTCTGTCAAAGCCTTTGCTGTCTCAAGTAACATTATAACATGATATCCTAGATAGCCACTGGGGTATGAAAATGCTTCTTATTTTTTCAGCGGGGTATAAAAGCTTTTAGAGAAAATTGGGAAAAGTGTGAAAATTTTTTGTCAGTTTAGAAATTCTAGCCCACCCTGCTACCCAAAGTTATAACTGAATGACACCTCAGCTATATTTTGCTTGAAATGAAAATGAAATTTTAAGACCCCTAATCGAACATAAATTCTTGTTACCTTGCAGAATTCTATCCCTTGCTTTGTCTGTATTTCACCACCTTTTCTCGCCACAATAGAGTAGATCTCAAGGGAATAGCCAAACATCGATTGTATGAGGTCCCCAATGCTCATACTAAGCATGAAGGAATCTTTGAATGTCAACTTCTTCATGCCAATTTTGGCGAAGATGTATATTACAATGCCATTGAGACCGGCGGAGCTAGCCACGCAAATGCCAAGGAATAATGGCGTTGCAATCTGCATCTTGCGCTCGTCGACTGATCTTCTGAATGCTATCTTTGGGGCTGATGTCTGCTTTTAAAAGTGTGTGACAGATGTTTTTTGGATATGGCTCAAGTTCTAGCAGCTGGAATGAATCCGCTGTTGCGTATTCGTTATAGCCGGTTTATCAGAAATAACGTACATTGTAGAATGTTCTGTGGAAATCATTAATGTACACTCGCGCTCTTACTGTGTGTCTGTATGTCGGCAATACTTAAGTGTTTACCAAACTTGTGTAGGGAATGTGCAATCATGTCTAGCTCAATAAACGATATGTCCATAGCCATCAAAAGTTTACTTTCCATTATACAAATCATTTTGACTTTCAGAAAGCATTAAAAATTTAAACTGCTTTTAAACAGTATTTTATTTAGATATGAACTTGGTATAGAGAAATTTTATGAAGGCTGAAATAAACGATTAGTTTAAATATTTGAGGCAGTTTTCTTCCTGGTGCAGGTACTTAGAAGCAATCTGCCCTCCAAAATTAAGCAGTCACGAAACAATTTTTTAGAATTTTGGATTGAATTTTTAGAATTATGAAATAAGGTAAATGAAATACCTCTCACTGTCTAGAATCGGTTGAATTCGTTGCAAAACGACTGAGAAATTCAAACGCGAGCACAGGCTCTTTTCCATCAAATTACCGTAATTCGGTCTAGGTTCTCTAGTCCGTGCACCAGCAAGTAAAAAATTAGAGAGCTGGTATCGTTGAATGGTTAGCGATATCAGCAAATCAAATACAGGCTAAAATCTAATTTTGATAACAGCAATTTCCTTATGTGACAGACTGTCTTTTATGCAACGACAAAAATTATAAACTATTTTTTGGTAGTAGCGAATTAAAAAAGGTATTATAACGCATATTAATGGCATTCTTCAGGTTATATTGAAAATAGCGAAAACCTCTGTTAATGCTTTGAAGAGTTTCAGACAAAATATTTTAATATTTCTTAAGATGTTGCCGTTCAAATTTTGGGTTTTCTCAAGATGGTGCAAGAATATCCAGCCCCGAAGTCTAACTTGAAGTATTTCCAACACATCCTCCAGCTGATCGAGAATATCACAGTATCTTTAAATGGCGTATGATCGTTATCATATTTGCAACTTTTTAAAGGTTACTTTGAATGTCGGAGTATTTTTAATACTGAACAGCCTAATTTAATACTGAAATACTAAACGCAAGTAAAAAAAACAAGCATATCTATTTTTGTCAGTGCTTTGAAGGTTTGACCTCGAAATCCTAAACACTGAACAGAAATCAACAGTGCTTCTTGATTATTGTTTAGTTTGAACTGCTTATCTAAAAAGATAAATGTAATAAGCTTAGTACCTCTCCTTCATTTCCACCATGTTTTTGCCGTCCAACAGCTTTCACCTGCTTCAGTTTCTAAGTAACTCGAAGTAGCCATATATGCCGCCGCCGTGTTTTCTAATTTGATCCCCATTTCTTCCTAGTTACCTAGTTGCTGCATTAGAAATCTTTTCGTTGTCAAGTTTGACCTGTTCCTATTCGAGCGAAGCAAATGAAATATTTAATATTTTGTTCTATTGTAATCTTTAAATAATATCTATGTTAGCAACTACGTCAACAGCTCATTGAAGTTACATCAAAGTGTCATCTGGGTCACTGAAATCGAATTACCTTTTAAGACCTTTCCAGTCAAAACTTGCAATCATCTTGGTTAATGTAGAGTAATCGATCCTGGCGATCATTAATTAGTTTTTTTTATATCATTCGGGTAATTTGATATCTGGTGCTTTCATTTCGAAAGTTGAATAAAATAACATGGAAAGGAATTATCGATAATATGACACTGAGATGTAAATATAGCATTGGGGTTTAATTCGCATTACCACGCCTCGTTTTAACCTGATGAAAAATCTTGCAATGAAATGTCAACTGACATCTTTTTAGTATATGAACATTACTGCAATTTTTGTTTGGAAAGGCATTTTAACTTCAACTACCAATTTTTTTTCACGCAGGAGGCAATCTTCATGGTGGTTAATACCAATGCTTGCAAAGATGCATTATATTCTGTGGCTCTGTTTCATCATATCAATTTCTTGCAAAATTGGCAGCGCTAATCCTAAAGTTCTATCGAGAAAAGGGTATGTTTTGACTTCCCGTTATTCAAATTATTCAAATCGATTTATCAACCCCAGCATATCCACGAATTTGAAAGTGGGAGGGGGGCAAACGCTATAAAAAGTATGGGACCAAGGCTTCTTACCTCTTTTACTATAACTTAAAAACAACTTGTTTCGCAAAAAAAATGGGGGGGGGGCATGGCCATCCTGGCCCACCCGGTGGCATGGGCCCTGTTAAGCATTTCGGATACAACAGCAGCAGGAAATAGCTGATTCGCTAGCAGTTTTCAGTCATCCAGACATTTAGCAATGTAAATCGATTTATTTTAGGATACAAACCATTAATAAACTGTAGAAGTATATGCAAAGATCAAGATCTGAAAACGCGATTTTAAGAGTCCTCTCTTCAGTTTAATTCATAATAACTTAGTTGCCTGTCTCGCCGTCTCTGATATTAAACAAAATCCGTCTCAGTGATAAAAAATCAGGTTTTTAGTTGGAGGGGCCTCAGACCAAACATTTTCCGACAAAAAGAAGACCTGGGAAAGATACCAGGGGCTTGAAAGTTGCATTTGTCGATAACGCGAGCTTAAGGGACCGAGTCCAATTATTTCCGCAACCGATCCTTCGAGGGCCAAGCTCTGCCTCGTCGTCGGCATCTCCCTCTTGCGTGTCTGTTTCCCATGTCCCCTTACTCTCCAGTGCCTAATTAGAGAGGGGGTTGCAAGAGAAGGGACAGGTATGATCACTCCCTAACTATGCCCATCAAACTTTTAAATGCTTCTGACATACCTGGCGATAATCTATGATAAAATGATCTATGATAAAAAGCAGCAAGAATCGCAAAAAAGGAGAAATATTCTTGCAAAACATTCAAAATCTATAGTCGCTTAGAAATTCTCCTCAAGCAAACCAGCATTTTGTGAATAACAGAAAGTAGGGAATTCAAAGCCTCAGAGTAAACACAACCGGTTTATGTTGTACTGTGTTTTGTCTTGAAAGCTGTTCAATACCTTTGTAATCATATAGGTTGTGTTGTGTGCCAAAAATTCATGGGTTTATATTGTCCAGATGAAAATACATCTTGAAAATCGCCACCTTTAGTTGACTTGATATGCTTCTGCACCTGGCTGCCGTACACGCACTCACAACACTTAAAATTAAATTCATTTAATCGTGGGAAAAGTGGTCTTCCACCTTAAATTTTCACGAGTCTTAAGCTGCAGCGTTCTGGCAAAATTTACGGAAGATTATATTTGCCTCCCATTAAACCACCGGTTTAAGCTATTTCTTTCTCAGAAATAGTCATTTGTCGCAATACCGTTGATTCTCACAAACCACTTGCCCAATCTGCATTTGTTTCATAATTTCAAAATTTTCAAACCATGTACAAAATAGCCCAAGATTTTGGTTCCTGAATTTCCTAGAGTTTCAGATGCACTTTTTCAGATTTTTTTACTATTTTTTAAGATCCTGCGTTATTGAAATGAACGAAAGGATTATTCTTGAAAATATTTATTAATGTCTTTTAATAGGCAAGCAACCAATCAATGAACATTTTCCTTTCAACTTTCAAAGGTTATAATTGTGTAGGCTATTTTACCATTGATAGTTTCTTTTAAGTTTTCAATAGAGGCCTCCTCAAATACACCTTGTTTCCAGGACATAGTCTTTCAGAAGGGAAATTAGCTGAGGAGGTAAGCCTTTGTTTATATAAAGAGGAGGACAATAGCCTATTGTTTGAAACAACTGAAAAATTCCCTGTGGCTGGGGGGACATTTGCCCCACTAGCTGGTATGTTAAAGAAGACCTTGTTCCAGAGTCCTTTTCAGTGGCTGTGATTTCTTCGATTTCATTGTAACAACACTTTCTATCTTTCTTTCCTTAGCAAGAACGTTTGTGAGTTTGCAACAAGTAAAACTGCTTACCAGACCATCACGACAAAGGTAACAGCTCTCGAGACATACAAAACATGCTGCAGCAAGTTTCTGGTTTGCTGGAAGAGTTGCGAGAGGAACAGGTGGGTTATCAATCTATAAACACTTCTTCGTGCACTGAAGTCGTCAACCCATCACGCTAGCATGCAGCGCCGCACAAACACCCTAGCGTACAGAGCCGCACTAACACTCAAGCATGTAGTGCCGCACTGACAAACATAGATTAGGCCTTATCAACAAGCATAAAAGTTCGAGCGTTTTATTTGACGAACTGAGATATGCTATTTCCTCTAAAAACCCTGCGGCGTTTATTACAAAATCCAAATTTTTAATGCAGCGTTCAAAAGAGGGCGCGTTTATTAGAGGGTGACGTTAAGTACAGAATGAAAAGTTTATCAAATGAAAAATGACAAAAAAGTGCGATAAAAAGGATCAAAACAGATTTTAAACAATATTATCTTTTCCTCAAAAACACGTTACAAAGATTGTTTGAAGATTTTTTAAAGACAAAGATGTGTTCACGTTACGGAAATGTCAAGGAATGTCAATATCCCTGTTTCTGTCAGAGTTCTCGTCTCTATGACATTACAACTTTCATGGCTTTCGAATAGCAAGCGTAGAAACTATTCATCATTTCTTGTTTGGTGTGTTTTCTAATGAACCCCGTTTTTCAAGATGTTCAATAAAGGGCGGTGTTTATCAGCGGGCGGCGTTCATTAGAGGACGTGCGGTAAATTTCATAATATACAAACAATAGTTTCAATGCTGGAAACTTTGCCTCTGTTGCTAGAAAAATGTTGGTTAATGAGCAAAAAGAATTGATTGATAAATTTTTTTGGAGAAGTCCGTACATATGCCCATAATCAAAACAGAACGTTTCGAAAATTTTCAAAATTTTGATGCTTTTAGTTCGCTGGAAAATGCACCTTTTGAAGCATTTTTTTGTTAATACAACCTTTCTCTTTAAATGTATATCCACTTGTGGAAAGCCATTTCAAGGTTTTAATAGATTTTTTGGTGTCGTTTTTATATGTTCTATCTAGCTTATACAATATAATACAACTGGGTGGATTTTCTTCAAAACTGCCCAAAATTCTCAAACCGGGTGGGCGGGATCAAGTCTTAGTAACAGGACTAATTGGGACGTCTGGAAGTTATAATAGGAAAGGAGTCGAATAGCTGAATTTTACGACTTGGTCCATCATTATCAAAAAAAAATAGCAAGGCACAAGGAGGTTACACACTTTTTCGCCAAAGCTATTTGATAATTTTACATTACTTGATAGATTTTTTAGGCTGTTTTACGTTTAGAGCATCTCTTTTTTTTTGGTTTGTTTAATAAGAACTGAGGTTAGGGTGATGATATGAAAACATGGTTTGTATGATATGAAAACATCCATATCAGTTTTTGAAGTTTGTACACGTCAAGATTGTGCACAGTGTTAGATAACAAGAAGTGTGGTACCAAAAATCTGTTACAGCACAGGTCGGTAATAATTTTGCTTCTTTTAAATCTGGTGCCCGGCCCCTATTGCTTGTAAGGGGATTATGAAACAGTATGAAAGCCCAGCCTTCAAAATTTCTGAGAAGCAACTGCCCACTTGCCCCACCCCACTGTGCACGGCCGTGTTCACAACTTTATTACTTACGCATGCGTTCGTTGTTTGAGTTTTTTAATGATACCCAGTTCAGTAGTTACCAACAGAGATAAAGTTGTCTTTACTGAAATTAACTTCCTCTGAAAATTAACTAGGAACATTACATTAACCTCACGGAGTATGAATTAATCTGAATTGTCCATCTGATGAATCATTCTGAAAACTGCAGCTATTACTTATCTGTTAATTATGCCTATCCCGCCTCGGGAAAGCCATATTCTTCGGAAACATTTTTATACGTAATATTAGGAGACTCTTGTCACAGTGGAACCGTTCTGCACCTGTTATATAGAGGCTGCGCGTAAGCAAAAAACTAGATAGATTGAACAAAGTTCAATTTGCTAGCTGTGCTCATTTAGGCCCATAAATGTTCACAAAATACGAAAGGAAGAGTTTTGGGAATAAGGCAAATTATCAATAGATAAGGGGGGGGGGGGTAGGTGAGAGTAGTTCAATACTGATACAAATGGAGGATGATATTGATGCCAATTTTCGAAGAGAATATCCTGTATGATTTCAGCATTGACATGATGCCATTCTCTGTGCATTTTGCTCACACATGGCTTAGAACATTCGTGATAAATTTTTTTGATTTGACGTTCTCGAAAATTGTAAGTATAATGATCACTAACTAAGGTACTTTGAGGATTTGAAGACTTATTCTTATCCTTTAAAGTACAGAAAACTGCAGTACAACTGCAAGTGGAGCATAGCCAAAACAAGGATAAAAGGTTGAAATCGGCTCATGTTTCAAGTATAAAAATTGTGAATATAAATGAATAACAATGAATTTGATGTTCTCTGTTCAATCCTTTCAGGGTAAAAGAGAAAACCATATCAAGAATTGTATCCAAGTTGGTTCGCAATCGTGTCCTCCATTGCTGTGAAGGGTATTCTGTGGATGCCAGTGGAGTACAATGCTCGAGGCGTTCGTATGATTTACTATTTAATGTTTTCCAATACCAAACATTTACTCTATTTAATGAATACTCTAGTGCATAATGGCCTACTGGCCAACTCCCGAACCGATAGTGAAAACAGTAACATATTGGAATGGGAGTGGTGGAAGTATCTTTGACGCCAGACAACAGGGATTGAACCAAAGGGTTGGTCTCTTAACATGATCTTGTGAATGCAAACAAAACGATGGATCCCTGGAATACAAAACGCACCTTGAAAAACAAAGATTTGATTTTGATATATTGCTAAATTTTCATTACTTACTAGAGTTCGGTAAGTCACATAGCTTGCAGGTGTGTACATTGTGTACATTCTAAAGTAGGCTACATCACACGCTGCAGTTTTTGTTGATAATGAAAATTAGGTTGGACCTTGTTTCCAAAGCTTTCTTTATCTAAAAAACCGAAAGGTGTGTAATGTTCTCCTTGGCTCATGGTACGCTTCATGGTACGCTGTTTCAACCGGTGCTCCTGCATTCTTCCACTGTGAAGATTTCACCTTTCACTGTCTTACTTTCGATTTAGTTGCGTTATTTTGACTTTTAGCATAAACAAACCTGAACTTTTATAGATAATTAAGAGAATGTAATATGCACAAGTTTGATAATGTCAAAATGCTACCTTATTGCTAGGAAGAAGCGCTAATTTTTGTTTTTATAATTCTAGCCCTCTGCGACCCTGCTTGTGAAAATGGCGGCACATGCATCGAACCAAACAAGTGCAAATGTCCGCGCAACTTTCAAGGGAGGTTCTGTCAAAATGGTAAGAGATAGCTACCAGAAAACTGATATCACCTATTTGTTACCAATGTGGTAATCATGCCAACACCCTGAGAGGAATTTTTGCGTAAAGGAAACAAATCCGAGTTCAATAAATGATTACTATTTTGACGTTACATTTTTTATATGCTTTATAGTAGTTTATTTCAAGAAAAAAAGATTTCTTCAAACTTTATGCACAATTACGGCAACTAATATGTTGCCATATGATGCAAATATTGCCCAATACTTGATGGTACGATGTTCAAAGTCGAATGCAGCTATCCCTTTTATGTTCTGGTTAGCTAAATATGAAGTGAAAATTATAAAAAATTGGTTTTGTTCTGACTTTTCATACGATATTTGCCTATACCATCAATATTGTGTGGTGTAATGGGGAAGTGGTTATATTTGGAAAAGGTAAATTATAAGTGTATGACTCAACGTTGCATCTTCCCAGTTGTTCTGGCTGGCATTTTTTTTGTTTTGAAAGTTGTATACATAATCACCCGGGTTTATTCATAAATTCTGCTATAACAGAGGACTTAACTGAAAACTGAGAGTAGGCTACCTGGGTCAAGCTATTCAAACAAATATTAAAACAAGGATGCCCGTTGAATCCTATGCTTTTGAATTTAGAAATGAATTGAACAATTCTCAATCAACAATGATAGCACATCAATCAATTCATGAAGTGGAAGCCATATATTTATGGGCCAACGTCAATTTATTCATAAAGAACTTAAAACAGCATATAATAGTCTTAATTTTCAGCTTTCTGTCGATTGCGCACAATCACGTCTTGTATTTATGAGCCATTTATGATCTAGGTAAAGCGTTAGCAAATATTGATTTTTTTGCCAAAGAGGCGACAAATAATTGTTGGTGAACATTAAAACTGTACAAGATTCATTCACAATAATAACAAAGCTTTTGTTTTCTAGATGTAAATGAATGCTTAGCCAAAGAGGCACTTGGATGTTCACAAGGTTGCATCAACATACCTGGCAGCTATATCTGCACGTGCCGTAGAGGTTTCCTACCTGGAGATCCATTAAGCCGCACCTGTAAAGGTAGGAGCGTGAGATGATTTTCCAACTTTTTTGTTGGTCCTATGGAGGGTTTACTTCGAGCATATTCTCAGCAAGTATACTTCGAGCACGAACGCACAAATTGCAATTCGCTCCCATCTTCTTATAATATCTATTTGGGCGATTTAAGTCAGAAAAAACATTGTTCTCATTAAGAAGGATCGGTTGAACTCTGTTTGATTTGTGGCTTGCTTTACTAAAAACCCTGTTTTTCACAAGCAGCTTTGTGAATGGGACATTTAAAGTTATAAAAAAGTTATAGATGTACTCTGCAACCAATACTGGTGTTTGTCTGGTTCCAGATACTGCTTTTGCAACAATTTCATCTGCCAATTAAGTATTTGAGGTTTCACCGTTGTTTGTTATGTACGAAATTTGATCATTGAATTTGCTATTTTGATTGTTGAACAGTTAGGAAGAAGTTTCTTTCATTTTATTTTACTTGCATTCACCACCAAAGGTTAAAGTTGCCTGTTGCCTGTACATCGTTAACAACTCAACTTTGTTAAATGAGTACCGTAAATTAAGAGAAGTCATTTTGTTTTACTTTGCAAAAACCAAATAGGCGGCAGAACTTCAAAGGCTTTTTTTATGTAAAGTATAGGCGATGTTAACGGAAAGTAGCTCACAGCTAAATGATGTTTATTTTACGCAAGCCAATTTTCAGTTCTCGTGCGGCTTATTTTGAGGCTGTTTTCATCACAAATACAAATCTCTTTGCTTATCAACAAAAGTGCATTATGAAAATAAGAGCAGAACACTGCATGTATTAGATTAATGCACGACCTGAAACCGAGTTTGTGCCTAAATTTTCATTACCGGTATGCGTAGTTCAATCATCTTCACTTTATGCATTCTAGTAATAGTCCATGACGCATTTCATCTTTGGTTTATGATGTATTTTAACAATAGACTATGATTCACTTTAAAAGTAACCCATGGCGTATTTAGTAATGGACCATAGTCCATTTTGATAACGGACCATGATGCATTTTATCGATGGAACATAACCCACATTAAACCACTGACCACTGATCAGTGACCATGATGCACTTTAATAATAGACCATGATGCATTTCCATATTAGCCCAGGACGCATTTTGACCAACATGCATTTTAATAATGGACCATTACCCACTTTTAAGTGGAGCATGAAGCATTTAACAACATACCTTGAGGCTTTTCAATAGCGGGGCATGACGCGGACCATGATGCCTTACAGTAATGGACCATGAAGCATTTAATAATGAACCATGACGCAATACTTTGTTTAGACATCACAATAGCCATGTTAACATAACGAAATTGACTCCATGCTAGGCCTAGTTTCAATTGGCGGCAACCGACCGTCAGTTTAGCTTGCATAATGTTTTCAGGGCTTATATAAAACCTTCTTTAAAAGCGACGACAGAAACTGTTACCGATAATCCAAACTTTTATCAAGACTGATTGCCTGAAAGTAAAAGAAAAAAAGCCCCCAAAAAGAAATTTCCTACATCATCGCCATGATTTTGCACGATGCTTGGGAATGTTTGCACTCCCATGGAATAATTTTTTTCTCAACTGCAAAGCAAGGAGGGGAAAGGTCTATTAAACAGCACTAGGTAATCAATGCTAAAAACGTTTAGGAAAACTTCAAAGGAAGAATGCCCGCTCAATATCCTGCCAGAATCGGTGCCCTTTAAAGCTCTTGCTCAATCGCGCAGTCAAAATCAAATTTTTGCTGCTCTTTTTGCAGTAAAAACACAGTTTTGCAAACGTTTCGCATCCGTCTGGAAGTCTAAGCTCTTCAAATCAGCTTCCTTGCAGAGAAAATTCAGATTGATCTTGTTAATAACTTGCTGTATTAAATCCTACCTATGGTGCAGCGGATATCGTAAAAGATGTATTCAGCGCAACTGTCTTTGAAATTCCGCAAACCGCTCCTTCCGTGCATAATCAAAGTACATGTGTTTGCTTCATGCAGAATGAAAAGCCAGATTTGCCAATCTCCATACTATATCTTTCCAGCAGAAACGTGCCTTTCCTGGGCACAGTTGCAGTTATGTTTCTAGAGGGCCAGTCATGGAGTTTTACTAAATAGTACTCAATTTGAATATTTTTGAAAAGCTCCAATTAGCTTTATAATGAACTAAAAACGATCTTTGGGTCAAGATTTAAAAACTGCAAAAGATAAGGCTGTCCAATAGCATGAAATTTTTCGAGCAGAAGTAGAAAATCCCCTCTTTGAGTTCCTGCGATCCATGGCTGAGATACTTTTGGTCCTTATTTACATACACTTTCGCTTTAAGGATGCGAGAAGGATAGAGAAAGCTGTTCAGACGTATCCTTTAAACTAGAAGCTGTTTAAATTTGGTTCTTTTTTGTAATAAGAAGAGCAAATAAACGTGCAACTGCCAAGTCTGTGTTTGGCGTTCACTGTTTCTGGGCATAAAAATAGTAAAAAGCCATAATCAAAGTATTTCTGGTCATATATAGAACAAAATGTTTTACAATTTTACTCAATGCACTTCATATCCGTCTTGATATTCACCAGAAGTGACAACACTTATGTAAGGAGCTCCTGTAAGTTGAAATTATTTCTTCCGTTTGTTGTTCTCAAAGACACTGAACATACAAATTCTTTTCGGCTATTTTCGTGACGTTGGTTTCTTAAAACCAGACGTTTTTGAAGCCACAAAACCAAACGATTCTGCATCCAGACGTTTTAGATACCCGATGTTTTTGAAACCTGATGTTTTTGAAACCTGATGTTTTTGAAACAGCACGTTTTAAAAGCGAGACAACAGCGTAAAAGATTGAAACTCTTTTGTCATTAACGCAATAGAAAACTTTTAAAAATGTTGAAATGGACCGTGTATTTCAGTTTTTAGAAATATCACTTGGTCTGTTAAAGTGTGTAGAAATTTGAATAAATTTTATCGGCGACATTCATAGCATTTCCAAAATCAGTGAAATTTTGCAGGATAACATCAGCTTTTCAGCAGAAATTGTGAAAAAACCGAATCATATGTGAAAGGAGTCCCATATAGTCATACATATAGTCACACAGTTTTGCGAAGAGAGATCGTGTCAAAATCTTGTGTCCTATTTTACAGATATAGACGAGTGCAAGGCCAATCCCTGCAAGTGCATCGGGTCAAAATGCAAGAACGTGTGCACGAACACTATTGGAAGCTACAGGTGTAGATGTGGAAATGGCTACAAGTTGACGCTTTGGAATACTTGTGTTGGTTGGTCTTTTTATGATTACATTTCCAAGAACATCCTAAAGCTATACTTGGTTTTTCCAGTACACCGAAGTTTCTTTCAATCACATTACGCATAAACGTACAATGCCTGCCAAAAGTCTTGGAACACTGACATCGATTTCCAAGGTCAAAATCAATCATCCCCCTCTCCCCCACGGAACAATGTTGGTTTACTATCAAACGGGTTAGGATTTTAGGAAGCACTTTCTTTTGCGCTTCTTTTATGATATTTCTCTAAATCATCAACATTGTTTTAGGGGGAAGGGGGCGGAAGTAGTAATTTTTTCTTCATGAAAGGAATGAAAGATATCAAATGCAGCGTAAATTGCTGGGTGTTCCAAGTACTTTCGGCTGGCATTGTACATATTACTCAATAAAAAAGGAAGTAAACGTCATTATGAAAGAATAGCTGAGTAATTTTGATAAATTACTATCTGATAAGTTAGCAGCATTAATTGTCTTTGAAAACCATCTTCTACCTTACCTCTGTAGTCTACACTTCAATTCTATAATTTATGATCATTAATATTTTTGCTTATTGTAGAAAAGTTATTGTCAATTATTTTCTTGTAGATGTAAATGAATGCATCGAGAATTCCAATATTTGTCCACAAGGATGTGTAAATACACCAGGAAGCTATGAATGCACTTGTTGGAAAGGTTTCAGATGGAACAAAAGACGCAAAAAATGTCAAGGTAGGTTTTGATTAGAAGCACCAACAGCAGCAGTCGCATCAGTATAAGGGCAGCCTTTTATTGTTGTATAGAATTTCTCCATGTGCCTCTTCCTCACTTTTCGAAAGCTACAACAGGGTACGTCCGTAAAGTGAGGCAGTTGTTAAAAAGAGGCTCAGGGAGTAAATCTAAGTCTTGTATTCTTGTATACCACTGCTATTCCAGGGAGGTTCAACTTCACTGAAAATGCTCAATCTTCTTAAAAGGTTTTTGAGAATTTTATCATAGACATTTGTCTGCACACCAGAACTTTTAGAGTGGCAGGAATTTCAATGAAAATGCTATTCGCTTTATCTTTTTATCATCTTTTCCTATTCAACTAAAATTCGTGTCAAGTATTTCAATAGCCAATGATGACAGCTAAGATAAGGTGAGAAGTTCTGAAACGCTGAATGCAAACGTTTTCATGAAGACAGCAGGAAATAATCACCTAGCAACGTGAAGGGATGCCTTCGTGCTACCTTAGAAATAGAGCTGCAAAATATTTTATAAGGAGATATTTAAGATAAGTAATCAATTATATTGTCATATTAATAAATTTGCTTTTGTCTACTCTAAATTTCAAAGGCTATATTTCATGGCTAGCATGCATAATTAGCGCCTTTCAACGTTTGTATTAAAGAACATTGCAGTCCATTTCTTTAAAATTAATCAATGTCCTATATAGAATTTATTAAAATGAAATTAGGCTTTTTAAGAACTGCTTGGAGCCAGATGTGGGTATTGCTTTCGTCCAGTTTTATTCACACACTGAATAGAATCGCATACTGCGGAAATGTTTGAACTGTGGGAATTTCTATGTTTACTATGTTGATGAAAAGATAAAAATCTTGCTTACTATGTTGATGAACTTTTCATCTGATGTTTTTAATGTTTTTAGACGACATGTTATGTTATCTCTGAAGAATAATATGATTTTAATAGTTAAAAAAGTTAAGAAATACGACGAATAAAAATAGTAATATAATTTTTGAATCTCAAGCAAATGGTTTTGAATAATCTCATCGATTTCCTAAACCATAGGCACTTTATTTCTGCATTATCCGATAACCTCGTTTCACCGTTTGTTCCACGTCCAAAAGCTTATTTCAAAGGTTCAATTCACGAAGTTTCGCAGTATGAATGCTATGTACGGATTACGTTATATGATAAGAATCTTTTCAAATTCCGTTTTCAGGTAAAATTTTTTATTATCTAAGCAGCAGCAATTTAGATAAGCAGTTGGATTAAACTTAAATGCTTCATTTTTTAAGAGTTTTCACCGAGAGTCGCAGCTGAATGTGTTAACTAGGAGTTGAACTGACTGTAGCGGGAAGTTGAATATAACTTATGTTCATGCTGACTGGAAACATATGAAATAATGCAATGTCCCATTTCCCATTCTGAAACAGGTTAATTTGTGAAAATAAGTATTATAAGAGATAAAATGGAACCTGAATCTTAAACAAATCCTCTTTTCTCTTTCTCAGAAATTAACGAATGCAGTATCGGTAATGGAGGATGTCATCATATCTGCCGAAATGTGTTTGGAGGGCATGTTTGCTTGTGTCGAGATGGGTTTAAGTTAGGAGATGATCGACGCTCTTGTATAGGTAAGGAATTGATTTGCAGAGAGAAGTACGTTCATCTGTGCGTTAAGATATCATGGCTTTTTTAAATGAAGAATGATCAAGTTTTTGCAGGGACTGGAATCGGAAAAATCCCGGCAATATCAAAGTAGCTGCAGGAAATCTTCTCCGTCTCTCCATCCACAATTCCGCTTGTCTACCAATTAAGGCAACAGACAAAGCTTAAATGTATAGGCCATCCTGAGCCAGCAAGGCAAATGTTAAGATATTGCTATATCTTCAGTGGTTTTCGCCAAATGACCTGGGAAGGGCTGATTCTTTAAAAGAGAGACTGACATATTCGAAAACTATTTATTTTTTCAAACTTTTTCGCAACTTCTAGAAGATATTTCGATAATCCGTCGAGGCTAGAAGTTTCCATGACGACTACGCTGTTAGGTACCGCGAGGCGTGTACTTCTTTCAATGCAAACACATACAGTGATCAACATGGCAATCATTCTCTGAAGTTCTCTTGAAATTATTGACAGAAACCTTATCTTGATAAACCCCATATCCCCTATAGAAGAGATTACCCAAAATTTACCTAGAGAAAACTTCACATCAGCCTAATATCAAGTAAAAAAGCGTGCTCACGCAGAATAAGATGAAAGTGAGGCTGATAACATGACGCAATTGAAAAGCTTTCTCATTTGCATATCTCAGATAAAAAACAAGACTTCACAATTTACAATAAGATATTCTAGGATAAGCAACGTTCGCATCAGTCTTAGGTTACTAACTTCGCAGTTTTTACATCTATAAGCTGTTTTCTGTATGTATGACATTTTTAAGCCTCCTGTGTGTACTCCCACGGCGGTCCCTTTGTTTACAGGCAGCTACTACGAATACAGCCTCCAGTCTGGATCAGAGCATGACATTTTATCTGCATATGCTGTTTTCGTCTATCATGAAAATTATGTAATATTTGCTCGGTGTATTATCATTATGTAATTGCTGGATAGCAACCTGGGCAAAAATTGGGCAGAGCTTAGGCATAGCTTTGACAAAACCAATGGGTTCTTCAATAAAAAGTTATCTTACAGCTTTCATTTTTTGTATTTTTATCAACTATTTATGAAAAATAGCTCTTAGGGCTTCTGAAACAAAATGTCCTTCTAGTAGTGCTAATCTAGAAAGCAGACTTAAATACAAACTTAGAATACAGCTCTCTCATCAAGTTGTTAGCGATACGGGCGATGATTGTCTGAACCCGGTATGTTTTATGACATTGCCAATGGATTAAAAATAATTTTCTCTGGAACTGAAATTATAGAAAGTCCAAAGCTTTCATTGAGTTTTGATATGCTGAAGTCATCAGAATTTGGAAGTTCGGTTTGTATTGTCATCGCCTTGAAACGGGGATCAAGACTCAAGAACTGTTAGGTTCTATAGTGGTCTAGATGGACCTGTGACAGTTTGCAATCTGTGACAGACTATAGTGCTCTAGACGGTCCTGTGACCTTTGACAGTTGTCCAATTTATGTTCCTGATTTAAAGGAAACAATTGCCAGCTGGGGTTGGTGAGCAATCTAAGCCTAACTTTCCAGATATGCACAACTGTCCCAATCTGAGAAAACAGACCGTAGGTAGACGATCATCATAGAATCACATCGCCCACGATTCTAAAACTTTCTTGAAAAACCTGTAAGAAAGTTATGCTGGTATACAGAAAATATGTTGACTGCCAATAGCCAGTTTAATTCTTGATCATGAGAGTTAATTTCAAAATATACAAAAAGCCAAGAAGCATAACATGGAATACTACAGAGCGTTACGTTGACCTTTTCAAGAAGATATCGGGTAGCTTCATGCAAACACTTGGAAAGAAAAGTTGGGTGGGAAGTACCATATGCTTGTTTTTTTCTTTCTTTCTTTATTGAAAGTTGGTACATTTTCTAGCATGCATACTCTAGCTATGTTTACTTGAGCTATTTCTGAAAGATAAGAAAGGGTCAGATATGAAAACGTCGACATCTGATTGACAGAAACCGAGAAGGTTTGTGGTGTTTGAAGAAAAGGGCTGTTAAAAAACGAAAAGGAAATATCAGGGAGGTAGGGGACCATGTACTTTAAAGCATCAAGAATTTTTTCATAACAATTAACCACTTTCTAATTTTCTGCTTTAAGCATCCTTTGACTTTAAGGGTGAGGCCAAAATCAATTAGCATCAATTCAATCTTAAAAATTAATTCAAAACTGAGTATTTTTTTTATGAAGGAGTGACCTTTTGTTAGATATTACATTTCAAAATCATATTCTCTTGTTCTTTATTTCACATGCATCTTTTTTCACAAAATAATCGCTATTTACCACATATTGTAGATATTAATGAATGCAAGTGGGAAACACGTTGTGATCCTCGGAGAAGTCTGTGCATCAATACACCAGGTAGCTACTACTGTAAATGCAAGGCTGGGTTCAAATTCATTGAATCGCATGGCATCTGCCTAGGTAAGTATCTTAGGTTTTTTCGAACACCTAATACAAAGCTCTTTGTTATGTTCCAACTTGTTACCGTCAAATTGACCTTGGCTTGGAAGATCTGCTTCATCATACTTATCTGTGCACCAAAAATGTTAAATGCAAATAGGCACGCATGAGAATTAATACCAATTTTTACCCTAATGAGGCAAATACAGGAGGCTGCATGTGTATATTAGTATATTAGTGACGATGATCAAAATATTTTATATCATGAAACTTCTATGCGGATCTTTTCAATGCTTTTTTAATAGAAATGATACCTTTTACTATCATATTTACAACGTCACCAAAGCTTTGTTTGTAATAGTTTTGACTATCTTTTCGTCTGCAGACCGAGATGAATGCACAGAAAGGACGGCTTTATGCAGCCAAAAATGCTTCAATGCGTATGGCTCGTACAAATGTGGGTGTGACACTGGCTATCGACTTGACAATGATTTGAAAACCTGCGTAGGTGAGGCTAAAGACAAAAATAATTCAGATTTTATTCACTACACGATTATCAGAGGCACCGGAAATATTTACAATTGCCATTTGATTGAGGTGCTTTCCAATGCATTTGTAAATCTACTCTCTGTTGCCAGCCCTTCCCGTCCTAGTCCAGCCTCACCCTTGGCAAATGCTGCTTTTGTGTTGACATCATATGAGTCACATCTGCCTTCTACTTTGTTTGATGTGCAAATTTTTACAGACTTCTTACATAGAAAGCATTCAGAATTGAACTTGCTGCACAAACCTGCACGTTGTGAGACTTGAGTAAACAAAGTTGTCTTTTCTCTATAGCTATTTCTTATATTGACGTACATCGTAGTATAATCAGGAAAAATTCGGGCAAGCATCCATCTTCTAACTGTTTCATGAAGAAAACGATTTTTTCCTCGCTGTTCAACGTTTTTGGTGAAATCTTGTTTTTTAGATATTGACGAATGCCAGGAGAATAGATGCGAGCAGGTATGTGTGAATACCCCTGGCTCATTCAAGTGCTTTTGCAATCAAGGATACACATTGGATGTCGATGAAAAGTCCTGCATTCGTAAGTTGCATTAATTACATTTTTATGCACATTTATGCACCTTTGATACAATATCTGCAAGTTTTTAAAGAAATTTGTCACAAATTCCCGATCAACTGAACTACTTGCCTGCATCATATCTCTATGGTCTGCAAATATTAACATAATGAAAGCTGAATGATTCTTTTAACATCTTCAAAATGTTTTCTACATATTTTCTCGCATGCACAAGCGTTTTCTTTTGCTATTTTGCATGAAAAATTTGCTTTAAGTTGCAAAATGTTATAGCTTTTTTTCAACAAACATAATTTGAAAGAAATATCAAAGTATTATTGATAGATGGAAAAACAGCGTGTTTTGAACAATTTGCTATGTTTTAAATCCATCTCTAACTTTTCGTCCAGAACTATTTTGTTCCTTATAGTCTTATCGAGTAATCACTTATTTCCTAAATTCAATTAACAATTTGATTATTCAATATGATATACGACTGTCTAACAACATTCATGCTTTTCCAATCTGCATACTTTACAATGGCTGCAGATCATAATTATCATTGTTTAAACGCCTTCCTGTAGCAAATCTCTGTGAGAGGATCCAACCCTTGTTCTTCGGCACTATCAACTGCGATGGATATACTGTTGGGAAAAAGTGCACATTTTCGTGTAATGAAGGATTTCATATTGACCACGACATCACAAGAGAATGTATGCCTAGTGGTCAATGGTCAATGCAACAGCCACACTGCATTCGTAAGTATATCTAATTGGTTTACGTCAATTGTTTTTTTATGGTATCAATTATTCAATAAGATACACGTGTTTTTAAAGTGATGGCATCAGCAGCTCATTCAGTTGAATTGGATGCTTCACTATAAACAAAATATAAACAATACTTTTAATATCATGATGATAATGGCCGATATAAACAATACTAGTGACATTGAGTTGAGTATTTAAAAATCTTAGGCCCTTTAGATTTTAGCAAGAGGAATCCCAATCGTGTATCTGTTTTTGTTTTAAAGCGATTCGATGTTTACTTTTGCGCTTATGAGCTAATAGCTTTTTGAATTTACTGTTATTCTTCGTAAGATTTCCTGGGCACCTTTCTGTTGCAGACTTACAAAAAACATGGACTCGCCAAACGTTTGATAAATCTAGTGTGTATAGCTGGAATTGCTCATCAGTGCCACTTGTCCTCAGTTTGTTTTTGTTTTATATTAAAATTCGCCTTTAAAAACAGAAATAACTAACAAACTGTTATCGTTTTTCTCACAGCAAATCCATGTAGGCCACCATTTCCTCCTCCGAATGGTAAACTCACATTGCCTTGTGACTTTAGCATCAATTCGACTTGTCCAGTGTCATGCTTGGAAGGTTACGTACTAAGAGGCCCGGATTTGATCACATGTCAAATCAGCGGTGGAGGTGCTGAATGGAACCTTGACAATGTCAAGTGCGAGGGTGAGTTTGCTGTTACTAAAATATTTAGTCAGCGAGCCATATGTATAGGCCTTAATGATAAGATGTCGCTACTTAAAAGTAGAATTCGATTTTCTGTTCAAGGAAATTGGTTCAAATCGCAGTTCACTTATTGGCTGTTGTTGACTAAGCGTTTTTAGTAAATCAGATATGCCTCCAGATTTCAGATAGTTAGTACTTGGTAAATACAGAATTTTTATAAAAACTCGATTCCCTAAAAGCCTTATTCGTGAAGATGAATAAATCAACAGCAGCATTTTATAGCTGAAATTCTTTCTCTTTTTATCTTTTATTGTTTCTTTCTTTTCTTTTCCATTGTTTTCTTGCTTTGCTTTTCATTGATAGTAGAATCTGTTTCATCAACTTGTTCTTTCTTAATCAAGGAAAAATTTCATACCCCTGCATTCGTTTCTGACTCACCTCTTTGAAACAATTATTCCGAAAAACTAAATGGGGACCGTTTATTTCCCATCTCAGAGTAGGAAATCAAATTATTCTAAATAATGTTGACTGGTTTTTTGCAGAAATCCTTGTTTGCAAGCCAAACCCATGTCAGCATGGTGGAAAATGTAAGATTGTTAGTCCGACAACCTACGCTTGTAATTGTACCGGTACAGGGTACGAAGGGACTGATTGTAACATCGGAATCATAGATATAGATGCTATTCCGAAGCTGGAACTAAACCGACCTGCCTCAATCGAAATCCGAGCTATGCCAGAGGAGAAAGTTACTATTACAATTCACGCTGAAGATTCCACAATAGAGGTTTCTCCCAAAGTTCTGACGTTGTCGAGCAGTTCAAAATCCGCTCGACTGTCGGTAAAAGGTAGTCAAACTGGATTGAAGTCAATATCGTACGAAATATCAAGCCAGGCTGTCTATAAGATACCAAAACCATCTCTTGTCCTGGTCTATGACCAAACAACTATAGAGGATAGTCGTGTCAGCAGCATATCCAGCCTGGTAACAGTTGCTTTCCTATGCAAGTATTGTATAAAGACAGTACTAACTGCCCTAATACAAAGCTGTACTCGACATCAACCTGGTACAAAAGAATTACTGGTCTTCCATTCACTAACGGTATAGGACTTCTGAAGGTGGGCTCTGCTTCTTTCCCATTGTCCCTACCTGCTTCGGACCAAAGCCAGGTATTTCTCGATGCTTTGAAGCAGCTGGAATACCGTATATTGCCACAACGGTCACCGTGCCCTAGTAAGACTGTAAATGATGGTCATTTGCAATATATTGCAAAAATGGATATTTTTGCAAAAGATTTCGTCAAAGAATTCAATAAAATGTTGCCTTCTTGGTTTCAGTTTGAATTTCGAGGAAATACAAAAAAGTTCTCTGAAGAGATGATAAGAGCTAGTTTAGTAAGTAGTGATAAGATTAAAAGCAAAAAGCACTGCTCGTCTTTAGCAATTGATGAAAATGGCATATTTCTGACTTATCTCATTTATGAGGGGCTTACTTTAAAGATAAAAGAAGATCGTTTGTCAATAAACACAGATGAACCTTTATGTCTGGCTGTGGATATCTGTAGAGGTGAGCCCCATTTTCAGTTCCCTGGGCATTATGCGGGAGAACTCGCGAAACTACTAGCACTCAACGAGTTTAAAGCATATAAATGGGGGCTGAGTTTTAACGCAATTGGTTTTGGTACTACCAACAGTCAAGACACGCGCAAATGCATGAAAAATTCTGGAATCAGAAGCAGAAGAATGTTGTTTGGAAACGTAAAACTTGGTTACAAGAATCAGCATGGGATCAATGCGTTTGCAGCTGGTGAGATGGCCGTAGAATTAAAAGGGACAAACAACAAGGAAGTAAGTGTAAATTTATAAATTGGCTTTTTTCGTGGTACAGAATGACAATGATGGTAGCACTGAAAACATCTTGGAAGCGGGATTATAAGTCTTAATTCAGACCGTCCGTTCTTTGTGCATTTAGTGCACTCGGAGCATCTGTTTGAATAGTGTTATGTTTTATTTTTTCTGTGTCAATACATAATTTGGCACTCATTTTCTCCTAAATATTTTTGCAAGGCTTCTTTCATGATGTTTTGTTTTGCAGCTTCCCCTGGTTCTATTTTCTTCCCACTCACCCTTATCGATTCCCCCTCGTTCCTACACTCGAAAAGTATTTCTTCTGCTCGTTATGTATTATATTACTGCCTGTGTTATGTTTTTTATCTGATGCCATACCTCATTTTAAACTGCATTCTATTTTATTTATACTTAGGTATTAGATTCATCAACTACTTGCGTTGATGGACACACGCTCTTTGAAAGTCCTACTTGGAAGTCAACTAATTTGGGCAGGAAGTATCAAGAAAAGGAAACGCCTACAAATATTGTAAAAATCACAGTCTGTAAGCAATTATATGGTTCTTTTGTTATTTTTGATCGTCTTTTTGCTAATATAGAGTAAATAGAATAACTGAAAACGTTTTATATAACAATGAAGTTATTTTGGAGCAATGCAATCATTTATAGCTGTAAATATGGGGCAATGGTCGATTCAACATGAAAACTGAAGGAATTCACAATTTAATTAACGAGGTACATGCAAGAAAATCCCCATGACCATTGAATCTATACATATTGCTGGTAAATTATATTCAGCAACATGATAAACAAGAATTATAGTTGAACTTTAAAATAAAACGAGAAAATTTACATCCTTTCACTTTGTACAAAAGCAAATTTAGATATTTGCATGAAAATCCTTCAACTGATGTTTTCTTCTTAGCTGATCCCAAGCCTAAAAGAAGCGTTCTGTCATTTCTTCATAAAGAAGGAGGAGTTTTCAAGATCAAATCGGGACTACGATCCTCAGTTGAGAAAACATCAAGTGAAATAAAATTTGATCTCAATTATAAGGTAGTGGAAAAGTCATCATCGGTCGTAGAAGGAAGCAACTTCGATCGGTATACGAGTCTCCAAAGCCTAAGTTTTGCTGCAATGGACGTGGAGGCAGGGTTTGATATGATGTTTTTATCAGATCATTTAACACAGAAGTTGGAAGTTGCTCGAAAAGAGTTGAGATCGATGTCAGAAATGTTGAATGCAGATCTAGATATGCTTATTGCACAAATAAGCGATTCGAAATTGGTATTGTCAAAAGTAAAGCTGTATTACGATAAAGCCAAACTGATGTACGGCAAAATCGAAGCTTTTATGAATTTGGCCAAGAATTCGATTGACTCAGAAACAAAAGATCTGATTCTGCCTGCTTTAGATACTTGGAAAGCCACTCTTGAGGAGCTCAGGACAGCAGTAAAAGAACCAGAGAAAGTGAAGGAATTCGATGGGGTTTTAGTGGGTTTTATAGGAAGCATGTGCTTGTTTAAACCTTGTATAGAGGAGACGCTAATAACAATGCGACATTTATCTGTGGAAACACCTTGGTCCGAGTACTGTTATGATCCGTCAAAAAGTTCTTTGCAAATGTGGGAAACTACAGCAAAACTACTTTCAAACAGAGACATAGGGAAGTTCTTTTCATTTACTTCGGATGATAGGTTCCGTCTCTGCCTTAGCATTCATGGCGTAAAAAAGGGTGAATTTTCTGGAAGACTTAAATTATTGGGAGATTCAATTAAGAGAAAATTCAGTTATAGCCAAGGAGTGATCGGCATGCCCAATTTCGAGCTGAAATTGGCTGGCAAATACCCATTCCGCATGAACGCTACGATGAAGACGAGTTATGAAAGATGGGATATGCTTTCACTGAGGACCTATGGATATGCCAGTTCTGGATCGAAGATAATCGAAGAATTTCAAAATGCCATGAACAAGTTCGTGTGGGAGAAATTCGAGCGTGCTAAGTCTAGAAAACGACTGCTGAACACAAAGCTGCAGTCACTGCTTGGGGAAAAAGGTGAGATTCTTGGCCAAATGAATAGCAACAAGGAAATATTAGAAGAAACAGAGAACAGCTTGGTAGAAGCAAGAAGAAGGTATGAAAATAACAGCAATATTCATAAGGAAATGCAGCAGATTTTCCGTTCAAAGTACAGTGACTTTGTTCGTATGAGGAAAAAGCTAGATAGTGTCTGCAAGATCAAAACTTGTCCTTACAAATGCTTGAGACTTCCACGTTGCAAGGTATGTCAAACGGAATTACACGCATCAAAGACTGTTCTTAACTGCACAGAAGAACTTGAAGACAGGTCATATTCTTACAAAAGTAGCATCAAGGGTACATGCTCACACGTCGTTGAAGATCGCCGATTAAAGTACACAGGGAACTGCAAAAGACCTGACACCGAAATAAACGAAGCAAAACGTATTGTCAAATTACTTAAGGAAAAGATTGACAAGAAACAAGAATTAACTTTGGAAGATGCATGGAGACTGGAACTAGTTAACAAGAAGCAGGGGCAAGAGCTGCGTGCATCCATAATCAAAGCAAACTTTTTCAAAAGTTTTCCAGATAAACTTAAGGAAGGATGGCTTTCTGATCAGGATTTTAAACTTTTGCGCAAGTACACAAATGAGACATTTGAGAAAACAATGAGAGAGAATCACAAAAAAGTGAAACTGTCACATTTCCTTCAAGAGTTGGATGCGAAATCAGAAAGGGGGTATCAGGTAACAAAGGAGGATATTGCACAGGTCAGAAAGTACAATTCTACTTTGGCTGATATACTTGAGAACACTGGGAAGCTTAAAGGTGTTGCTGAAAAGTTGAAAACTGGTAAGCAACTAAGTGAAAAGGAACTTGCCTTGCTGAAGAAGGTGAAGCCAAAGGTTTATGAAGACATTCAACTCAAAAGAGCAGAGCAAGAAGAGAAGCGGGAAATATTCAACCGAATTAAAAGAAAACTACGAAAAGGGAATCTTAATTCTACAGACTTAGATGATTTGAAAAAAATCGACCCCAAAGCTGCTGCCAAGATTGAAGAAGGCTTGAAAAAGCAATTAAGAAGCAAAGTCAATGAAATGAAGTCGAAGCTTTCCAACATAAGCAATGTCATCTCATCTGGGAAAAAAAGTAGACAGTTTACCATTTTGAGCAAAAAGCTCAAAGGCCTTTCTAAGGGGGTGAAACCTTTCGACAAAAATCACCTGAAAAAGCTCCAAGAAAGAATTAAAAAGACTACTGCTAGCAATGGGTCAGTCTTTGAAAAGATTTTGCAGCGGCTGGATCTTGATTTAGAGATTCAAAATATCACCGGGAGGTCAAATGATTTTGATAGAAGTCTTAAAGAGTTTTTTTCGACTCTTGGAAGGTTTGACATGATCAAGATTCTTATGCAGAGTGAAAAGATCTTTTTAGGGAGTCTAGAAGATCTTCAATTGTGGTTCCAAACTTCTGCAAACTTTGTTAAAAGTCTTTGTCAAAAATGCGGCATAAACTGCAATCACAAGAACACCTTAAAAAAAGTTCTTGATGAGATAAGAACATCTGTAGGGGGTTTCGAAAGAAAGTTTTGCATTGGTACAAATAAGATTGCAGCATTGGGGCGAGTGTGTGACGTTGCTAAATTAGTAACAAACTTTGCAAAGAGGTACGATATCATGAAACTCAGAGACTGTGTCGAAATCAATGAAAAATTACTAAAAAATCTTTTAAGGATTTCAGAAGAGCTGCGCAGTTTAAGAAGATCAAATTCAGTTGTATTCGAAAATTTGTGGAAAAGAAGCAGAGTGGTGCGTGACATTAAACAGTTTTATGAAGCAGTTACCAATGGCATTAAAGCTGCCTTGAAAGTTCGGTCCATGAAGACTGAATTTCTTTCACCTGCTTATTCAACCATAACAAACGCGATTTCTAAAATTGCAAGAACAGGAGATTATAACCTTAGGCAAACAGAGTATTTAGTGGCCAAAGAGACAATGATCGCTTTCACTAATGCTACCAGGCTCATTCCTGTGGAAAAACGGGGAGTTTCAACAGTCAGAATTGCTATACCCAATAACAAAAAGAAGCGACTTGTACAAAATTTCAACTTGATGATTAATAAATTGCGGGTGACTATTTTGGGCCTTTGCTCAAGCCAAAATGGAAAGTCGATGCTGGAAAAGGAAAGTCAGCGATTAAAGGATGTTATTGCTAATGCTAAAAAAACCTTCAAAGAAATGTTGGATGCAAAGGATATTTCTGACCTGGTTACGTCATTACAGAAGGTTGGAGCAGTTTTAGAACATGCCCTGTTTTTAAGTGATAGGCTATGGTCTAGTAGCTCTAAGTGTACTCACACTTCCCAGTCGCCTTTAGATGACCTGGACAAGTTTTTGAATGATGCAAGAGAACTAGGAGTCAAAAGTGTAAAGGAATTAACTGAGAGCATTAACAAGAAATTCAATGAGATTGGAGATGGGATAAAAGCCCCAATCGGCAAGCTTGTTGATCTGGTAGAAAAACTTGCTGAAAGTACCCCCATGATTGATTTCTCTGTCATCGTAACTATGGATCACAAATCTGCAAAAATGATCATGGAATCGTTTAAAAAGTACCTTGAAATGATTATTGATATTTTTGAAAAATTTGGAGAAGTGGCTAAGAAATGCAATAGTTGCACTCTTGAGGAAGTTTTTGGCTCAAGCAGTATTGGTTCTATTGCTGCAGTGCTTGACAAGAAACTCAAACAAATATCTCAGAAACTACATCCCTTTATTAGTGACAAAAAGTTTTCACTATCTGGGGCAGCAATGATATTTTCATCATTAGAACAAATTAGAACAGATCTTCAGAGAATCTACAAAAGTGCTACTGGAGATGCTAAAAGTTCTTTTGAAAATATCATCAGAACAGTAAAAACGGCTAAAGAAGGGATTGATGTCTTTATGAAAGGACAAAAGGAATTTATGCTAACAACGGCTGGCATAAAAACCGAGATATATCCATAATTGTGAAGGAACTATCAAATATCAAAGAGTCGACCCAAGATTTATACCGTAAGGCAAAAGACCCAAAGATCGAAGCTCTTTTTATTCAAGCAAAAAGTCTTATTTCGATGGTCCCAACAGCAAAATCGAGGCTAGGAGATTTCAAAAAAGGCTCTGTTAGCCAATTGATTACTACGTTGGAAAAAACTACAGAGCTGGCAAAGGATATAACGAGTAAAATCCAAAGTTTGTATCGCTCTACGTCGGCAGAAAATATCAAATACATAGAAGAAAGTTGGCTGCCAAGTGTTGTCAGTAGCTTAGATAGAATAGAGGAAGCAAAACAAAGTCTCGTTGAATATGTAGTAAGTCTGTTGAAAAAGTCTGGAATACTGACGAGCGAAAACACATCGGAAAATGAATCCCTAATTAAACAAGTACGAAGGAGAAAGTACTCCTCTATGTTCAATGGCATCCAACGCCTTTCAAGAGCAGGAAAGATAAGAAAAGCAGAAAGAATATCAATAAAATCAAGAAAAGATGAAAATTTAATGAAAAGAGTTTCATTTTTCTGGCTTTCTTTGTATGATAAAATAGTAGGTAAAATTGACGATGCTCAAGCACGAATTTTGAAGCTTAGAGAAAAGTTCTACCAGAAGCTAGCTGTTTATAAAGACATAAAAAATGCAGTGAAAGAAATTAAAAAGGGTTCGATATCAGATATTGGAAAGCTAAAAGATTCCATCGACGGACTTGTTGATTCGATTGATCAGTACGACCTGAAAAAGATGCTTCTTGCCGAGCCAAAAGTTCTGAAGAACAAGTTGGGAGAAGTGAAGCAAGTTTTTGAATTGACAAGGAAAGTCCTAATAAGAGCAGACGACGTAATACGAAACTGTGCTTCGTGTTCCGTTGAAACAACACTTGGCTACAGATATGTCAAGCAGCTAGCTGCCAAAGTAGAGAAGGTGTTCTTACGTTCATATGCATACATAGAAGACTTCACTGAGAAATTTTCAGAAGCTACCACAGATTTGCAGGGTATGGGAGACGCAGTAAAGTCACTTAGGAACCGTTTCAAAGCTGTTTCTAAAGGAAATGGTTCTGCATCAAATTATTTGTCTGGTTTGGCATCAGCGTTCGAGCATTCGAAAGAGGATTTGGACAATCTCTTTGACAGTACAGGAATTTTTCTAGCATTTTGCTGGGAAAAGATGTTGATTTGCAAATTTTACGTGCAGGTTTTAACGGTATAACAACCCAGCTTGGAGCGGTTGTTAAAAGGTCTTCGGTTGTTGCCAACAATATTGAAGATACATATAAGGAACTGAAGAAGCTTGGAGAATTAGTGAACATGAACAAGGCAAAAATAGACAAATTAAAATCAGGTCCACTAGAAACTCGAATATCTATAGCAAAGGATATATCGAAAGGGGTGAAAGCAACAATTCATGTGTTACCGAAAATTCTTGCATCGTCAAGCAAAACGTTGGAATCTGCTGGAATCGATAGTGCATGGGTTGATGGACTGGGAACGAAACTTTTGAAAACTGTCGGAACTTTAGAAAAGGTGTGGTCAAAGACAGAGACTGTTTTAGCCACTGCAGATATTTTTGTTAAAGGCAAACAGAATATTAGCAAAGAGCTGCTGCCGGTTAAAGAGAGTTTAAAGAATTTTAAAAATGCTCCTTGGAATAGTAAAATTGCAGCAGGCAAAGATCTTGCCAGTCGTGTTAGTGGATTAATGGACACAGCCCTTGATGTTATAGTTGAATCTTCCACCGCTTTAAACACAACAATGACAAAAGAAGGGTTATTGTCCTCGTTGCAAGATTTCGCTAGCCATGCAAACATTGCCAGAGTTACAAATTTAGCAAAACAATCGCTGGATCGGTTAAATAAGCTTCAAACTGGTCCAATTAGCCAGATTGGGAAACTTACTGACTCTGTTGATGAGTATTTTGAGAGCTTGCGAGATTTTGACATCAGAAATGCTCTGCTTAGTGACCCAGCAAGTTTAAAAGAAAAGATAGGTGAATTCCAATATCTAGCCGACAGTGCAGGAGACATTCTCAACGACATAGCCAATATTACCGGACTATGCAAAGGCTGTTCGATTGACTCTGTTCTTGGTCAAGGATTCTTAAAGAAAATTTCTAATGATTTAACAACAACTTTTGATAGTCTTCATGAAAAGGCCAAAAGTTTGGTGCAACGAGTGAAGATTGGAAAAAAGGGTGTGTTAGATTTTATCAAAACCTCAAAGGAAGTATCCCAGAGTTTCAAGAATATCTTTAAGAACGGGAAAGTCACTCCAAGAACCTTTGAAAGGGCAGCCAATGAGCTGAGAAAATCTGCCTTAAACCTGCAGTCCCTGAAAGATTCTTCACGTGAAATATTTTCATCCATTCTCAATGACGAAAATGATATCATGAAGCTTCAAAACACTTTTGAAAAAGTTGTCGGTACTGTTTCTCAGCAAATGAAAAAAGCTGGTGTGTTATCCGAGAAAATAGAAGATGCATACGAGACAGCGGAATACTTGAAGACGATTTCGCATCAGATCTCGAAAAACTTTGATGATTTTGGTCAAGGACCGATTGAGCTCAAGACTGATCTTGCACGCAAAATGTTGACTGGGGTGCAAGATGTTCTAAAAAGTGTTCCTGTCTTCTTAAAGCAATCAGCAAACGTCACCTCTCATGTCGGTGCAGACTCCAACTGGATGGTTGCATTGAGCAATGATATAATGGGATTTCAGGAGCAGCTTGAGACCGTTTTCACAAAAAGTGACAGAGTATTGGAAGCTGCAGGCATTATAGGTACCAAAGTTGGCAACATAACGGAATCCTCCAAGGAACTCAAGAAAGATCTTGAGAGTTTTCTTGATCTCCCTACTGCTGAGAAATTCACAAACTTCAACAAGCTAACAGCTAAGTTCGACTCTATTTTCAATGAAAGTATAGCAGCAACAAAGCTTTTTGAATCAGCTGTGGCAGATGTGACTGGAACTAATCTAAATGTGAGCAAAGGCTTAAGTGGTATTGGTAGCAGCCTGTCCGGTTTAATGAAGAACGTCAGTAAGGGGGTTGAACTGGTCGAGGGAGTGTATAATGATATTACAGATACAGTGAAGATAATCGAAACAGGGCCAGTAGCTAAAGTAGGTGCTTTAAAGGACTCAATTGAAGAATTTGTTGATTCAATCAAGAGCCACAATTTAGCTGAAATTCTAGTGCAGTCTCCGCGATTTGCTAAAGATAAGATCAATGATATCAGAGACATTATGCAGCATTCTGGAGAGGTTCTTAAAAACGTGGATAGCCTGATAAAGAAACACTGCCCAAAGTGTGACGTGAATGCTCTTTTAGGGAAGGATTTTCAAGGCAAGATCTCAAATGGGTTAAAAAAGGGCTTCGAAAGAATTACTAGAAATGTCACAACGTTTTTGAACAAGTTGGAGCAAGGAGGTCAAAGTCTTTCAGAGATAACAAACGCTGTCGCAGGGATCGAGAAACAAGCACAGAATCTCAGAGATATAAGCTTTGATGGTGATGGATTGAGAAAGGCATCAAATATTTTAAGTTCCACTTCATCATTGATAACAGAAATCGGAAAGAGTGGCACAGAATTGGCAAATGTTATCTTCGCTAAAGACAAAGACCTTCAGACATTGACTGGAAAATTCGAGGGATTTGTAACTTTTGTCGGTGGATTCGTAAACAGCACTGGGAAGTATATTGATAAGATTAGTAGCGCTGCAGGCAAAGTTGACGAAATAAAAAAGACGTTCAGCCAAGTTAAACATGGATTCGATGCTGTAAGCGATGGACCTCTTGAAATGCGTGTAGATGCAGTGAAAAAAATTGCTAATGGATTGGTCGACCTCACATCTGAGATTCCAGAATTTTTAGAAAACGTTCCGTTAGGGGGTAACATTGCTAATTTTATGCGTGGATTCGGCATACAAGTCCGTGATATAGCAAACGGTGTGACAACTATAATTAATAACACGAAATCAGTGATAGATGACGTAACTCACACAGTCGATTCGATCAGTAGCATTGGAAATACTGCCGGCCAAATTAGCAATAGCTTCAATCGAATATTGAACAGCCCGTTTGCAGGAAAAATTGCTGCTGTGAAAGACATGGTTGGTCAAGTAAAGAAACTAACAGGAGATGTTAATTCTGCAGCAAGTAATGTTTCAGGCGTGGTTAAAAAGTTAACAGGGAAGACCATTCTATCGTCGCCTTTATTTGGCAGTACTACCGATCAAATATTGAGTGAAATTTCTAGTGCAGCAGATCTTGTTTTTGATCGGTACCAAAAGTTTGACTCTCTAACAAAGGCAGTAAACAGTGCATTCGAGAGCCTTTCCTCTGATCCTGTGAATTTTGCCCTCAATGACTTACCTAAGCTGTTCAGCCAAGCCGATGGTTTTCTCTCGACTTTGATTAATGACACCAAAGGCATTGCTTCTAAACTTGGGTTTAGACTTGATGGGTTGAGCTTGGACCCTAAGCTTGTGTCGTCTGCTAAGGAATTCTATTCCTTCTCAAAAAGCACACTTGGTACTATCCAGAATGGAATGCAACTCTTCAAGGATTTCGATAATCTTTTCCGTAGTAAAGATTTTGTTGATGGGATGCAAAATTTTCAGCGGTTGATTAAAACTGGAGGGGATTTCATTGGAAATTTGGATGATTTAGGACAAAGACTATTTGGGGAAGGATGGAAAGACATGAAGTTAGATTTTCAAGATGGGCTTAAAAAAATTGAAGATTCTATCGGAATCAACCTGAAAGAAACCGGTAGCATGCTGAATACGGGACTGGAGGTTGCTGGTGACGTCATAGGAATAGTAACTGATGTTAAGAAGTTACTGGATTTAAAAGAACTGAATCTTGATACTGGGTTGAAAGCAGTTGATTCAGTGTTAAAGATTACAGAGAAAAGTATAAATTTGTTGAATAAACTTGGAGCCGGGATAAGTACAAAAGCAATGGAGAGTATTGCAAATAAATTCAACACTTTAATGGCAATATACCAGATTGGCAAAGGTGTTTATGACTTCATAAAGTGGGTTAACGAAGCTTGTGATATAACTTATAAATCGGAGATAAATAAAAAAGAATTGAGATATGTATGTCTTAGAGGAAAGATTTCAATTGAAACAGTGAAAGTCCCTATTATGCGTTGCAAAAATGCAACTAGAAATGTGACGAGGGGATACGGGGTTGCAAAGGCTTGTTGTGATGGCAAAGAATGTGTGTATATCCAAAGCAGCAAATGTCTAAGCGATAATGCCCGTTGTATGCAGCAACGTGACAGTCAATTAGATAGTGCAACCGGAAATGGACAACTGAAAGAGGCATATCGTAAATTTGAACAGGCAAGGCAGTTGATGGAGACGGCAGAACTAGACATGAAAGCTCTAGAAAGACTGAAGAGGAGATATCAAATTGCTTACAATATATCGATAGCTGATCTCCGAATGAACACATTGCGTACATCAGAGGCAAGGCGAAGACAGGCATTGCTTTCTAAATCTTTAACCAGCCTGAAGAGAGTAGTCAACCAGGCCTCAAAAGAATCTAGAATCAGATTTATCAAAGCTGAATTCAATTTATTGCTACATAGTCCTGATCTTGATAGAATTCCATTGAAGTTGGAGCTACAGAATCATTTAGGTTCCACCGAGACTGTTAGTTTCATGATGGATTTCAAGAATGTCCAACAGTCGATAAAGCTGATAACAGATAGTTTGGTTAGAAAGCTGGTAAATCTCATCTTTAGGAAACGAAGAGCCGTTATGAATGACAAACAATCGACTGAATTTGACCAGGCTGTAAAATGTACGGAATTTCAAGATGGTATGTCCTTCTTGCGTACTATGCTGCAAAATCTGATGACAAATGTGAAAGTGCTTACAAGAAGCACTAAACCCTACAGTCGTCTGCGAAGAACTAAACATTTGAAGGTTTCCAAAACACCTTTGCAGGCCAGACGTCAGCTAATTAAAGAGGGACTTCTTTGGCAGTCAACTACCGCTAGTTCTTTGAAAGAACTTGTTGAAAACTGGCAAAGCGATGTTCAAGAGCAGATTATGCGAGCGTATGGAGAGCAATGCTTTGACTTAGGAGACTGTCTTGCTGTATGGGTTGCTGAAATATCATCAAAACTTGATCCTGGCTTTAGGAATAGTGCAAATTTTCTTGAAGATTTGATTAAGTTGTCTAGAAAAGTGGTGAATATTTCGAAAACCCGCCGTCTTATTACACAGGTAAAGAGAAAGATATCGAAGTCCTTGCAGCTCGCAATTAGTCTTCAGGAATCTGCTTCCTTTTGCCGTGGTCCCCCCGTCCTACAAAAGAGGTTTGCAACCTCTGTTACTGCTTATTTGGGAGAGGAGCTGCTACTTTCATGCAAAGTACATACTAGCACGGATGTGTCCTATCTCTGGTACTTGAATGAAACTGTTTTGCCAGCATTTAACGAAGAAGAATTAAAGATCACGAGCATCGGATATGAGAGTGAGGGCTCCTATCATTGCGAGGCTACTAACGATGCTGGGACATTGGTTACTAACAAGGTTCTGGTCTCTGTCAGGAGACGATTTTTATTCTTAGAACACCCTCAAAGCATTGCAATACCAAGGGACAATCCACGCCCTGTGCGTCTGTCTTGCAACACTACGGCAAGTGAAACTGCCTTGCATACCTGGTGGCATCAGACATTCTCCGGACGTATTCGAAAACTCAGCTTTTCTTCGCAGATTCTTACCGTCAATGCAGCTCTTATGAGTACAAATGGTATATACTGGTGTGAAGTGAACAATGGGCACATGAAACTGCGCAGTAAAAAGGCTGTAGTGACTTTGGTAAGGAGCAGTAGGAGGAATTATGGGGTTAGGCTGATATTGAAAGGAGACGTTCGTGGCTCGGGCTGCGAAGTTAAAGGCAATACTAAATTAATTGAAAAAAGAATGAAAGCAGCTTTGGTAAACGGTGCTCAGATTCAGGACTATCGCGCAACTGTTTTTGTGAAACACATGTGGCATAATCTTAAAAAAGAAAACGGAAGTTTAGCTGTTGACTTGGTCTTTCAGGCAAATGGGCATAACAAAGACAGGGACTTGAACTTGGTTGTCAAAAACTCAGAGGTTCAGTATAAAATCCAAAAGATTGTTAATAGATTTTTGTACGAGACAGACGATGATATATTGCGATTGGAGATGGGCAGCTGCAGTTATGTCATCCGGAAGTCCGACACGGTTGTCACCTGGGATCCACAGGAACTCACGTGCCCCCAAGGAATGGGACAGAGTGAAAACAACTTGCGATGTGGTAGGTGCTTGATTTTGGCACTTCGCTAATGATATTCGCTAATTTTCTATAGTTGACTTGTAACTGTTTACAAGGTTACACTTGAAATAGAATAAATAGAATAATTATCTCAAAATTCATACATTCATTTAATCATTTCGTTGTTATATTATTCGAGGCTCTTTTTTTGTAGAATCTTGCATGCCTGGTTACTTTCAAGATGTTTTCAGCGCTTGCAATGAGTGTCCTCGTGGGACATACCAACCACGATTTGGTGCGATGCATTGTATACCCTGTGGCAACGGACTTCTAACCGCACATTCCGGTAGCATTGATCATACCGCGTGCATATCATCAGGTAAGTTTTATCTGTGAAACTAGCGATTTTTGGCTTCATCTCTAGAGGAACAAGAACTTTTCGTCCTTCGTTTTGATCAACCCTATCATGGTTTCTTGTGTTACCGTGACCCGTTAGAATTTCTAATCATTTAATTTGTATATTGACAAGTCATCTCCTGTGAACCATAAAAAAGTTAATTTTCTATAGACGTTATTGTGTAGACATAAGGAGTTTGTTTTTTCTTGGACTCCAGTGACTATTTCCTTATAGGCACGCGGTACTGATTGGATAACTAAACTGGTCATGTGCTTGCGTTTTTCTGATTGGCCTATTTCGATCAACACCTGGGTATATAATTTCCATCTTGTTCTTTTGGAACCTTATTCTGACGTTTTATACTCTGCGGAGTGTCAGACGAAAAGCCATATCATACAGGGTTTATAAATCATGTAAGATGAAGTTGCTAATTTCATACACCTTCTTGACTTCTAGACTTCAAGTGCTATGAACGAGTTAACATGTTAATTGCATTGGATACAACTGAAATGCCGTCGAAGCAAAGTGAATCATACATAAAGGACTTCCTGAAATTCTTATCAAGTCACTTTCTGCATAAAAATAGCCGAGTGAAAATTTCACTTGCAACATTTGGTGCATCAATCAACTTGCTGGCATCATTTGATGGATACAGTACACACTCAGACGTGGTTGCTGCTGCTTCGAAAGTTGAATTTGAAGGAACACAAAGACGAACAGATTTAATGCTGGACCTTGCATTTGGACATTTTGAAGAAGAAGTGGCAGAGGATGACTATAAGAGGGTTTTGCTTGTTATTTCAAGAGGTGCTGCACAACCATACTCTGCTCGAACTGAGGAGCAGGTGGAAAAATTAAGGAGCATCGGGGTTGAACTCTTTTATATGACCGCAGAACATTTGGCTTCTAAAGAAGAGGCTGTGAAAATATCTTCATTTCCAAAACATGATCATATACTCAGCCTTGCTCAGTTTGATGAAATTGTCAGGTCATCCACATTCGTGGCAAACTCTTTATGTAACAACAACAGTAGTTGAGGATGACAAGTTTCCCGTAATAAATTTATAGCTATTTCCAAGGAAACGAAAGCAGCTTAAAGGCTTAGATAAATTTTTCAATAGTAGTTAATAAAGTTCTTTTAAAGATGCAGTTTGTGGCAAACCGGGATTAAAGCAATCATTAAGGATTTAGTTTGTAACTAAAATTTGCAGTCTTACCTTGTTTATACTTCGTACCTCAATACTCAGTATGCAATCGTGTCTTTGGCCCACGTATTTGCTTCTATCACAGCAGTACTCAATGAAAATCTTACACACAAGACATTGCTATTGCTTCTACGGATGCTTAAATGCAAGCGGGTCATGCTTGACAGAAAAAAGGACCAACATGAATATATGTCTCCAGTACAGCTTTTCTTGCTAAATTTAATACAATATTAGGCAAAAACAGATAGGGCACTATTTAAACAACATATGTATTTTATGCATTTGTAGCAAGACTTTCCCAAGTAATTGAAATTTTATATTACAGTAAACTCCGATTATAATCACACTATATGTAGTTTGAAAAGTCGTTTCTGTTATTGAAATGTTACTGTACACGGAGATTAATTGATCAATTAGATATTTATAAATGACTGTTACCGTTTTAGCAGAGTAACAAAAAGCTTGGTCGATTTCTAGACCAGGAACCGTGCAGTTTTTTTCTTAAGAACTTTTTCTCACAAAAGAAATATAATGGCAATTTAGCCGGAACTTAGCTTAACCTCCTAAAACAGTGGCTTTTGTATTGAATTAATAGAATTTGCTTCTATGAGTTTTATTTACAAAATTTGTTATCCTATCTTTGTTTCTATTCTTGTAAAGCTTTCGTTACATCTATTTCATTTTCATTTACTTAAGCATGGTAGCCCATTCAACAATATTTGTCTATAAAGGGATATGCATCTTAAGTAATAAAAAACTGAATCAAAATGAAATACACAGATCTAAAAATTATAAAGTACACTACCCAACCCCTTCTAGCTTTATCTTACCCTACCTGCGCAATTTTTGATACCCTTTATGTTTCATTTCTATTTCTCTAAACATAACGAATCTATTTACAGCATTTATATAATTATTAAAATCAAAAGAATGATGTTAATGCAAAAAATTTAAAGGCTAGGTTTCGAATCCTAGCAGAGAAGATTTTTGTTTTTTAAGATTTATACACGATCGCCTTTCTATCATTTTTAACCAATTCATTGACTGTTTTCCAGCCTAGATTCTGAATCAGGTTTTGCTAGGGGCATTAAAACTGCTATTCGCTACGTTATAATGCTCCTCGGCTAGGAAGCTTCTTACAGCTCTGTTTTGTAGCTCCTGAAATTTCAACAATACTAATATAAAATGTTTTCTGGGAATTTAAAGAATTTTAAAGACATTCAAGCACAAACTTTCCCTAGTACCTTCAAGTGTTTTATGCTTATTTTTGGTACAAATTAACATTCCCTGTGTCTTTGCTACATTTGGTGATAATTTATTACCACGTGGCCAGGAATCTAACTCCCTTAGGATATTATTAATAGGCTCATGTAGGTCCTTTGAATCAAGGTGGCTGAGTTTCTAACTGCGCAGAGAGGACTGTCGGTATAAACTAAGAAAGGAATGGTCTGATACTTGAGCCTTGTTAAGCACCAACTTATATTCTCTGTGAGTTTCTACCGTTAACTCCTACAAAGCTGTTTCTTGTTAGACAGGTGGGACTGAAACCAAGAGAAATTATTGTCGGCAACGAAGCGCATGATTGACTGTACCAGAATCCTTTCTAAGGCCAAAAAAACTTAGTTGATCATATGGCCCTAGTCCACTCTATCGTGCCATTATTTATCTGTTGTTTTGAGTTTAAGTCGAAAATAAAGATCTAGGTTAGATCCTGACTGTCCACTAGAAAGAAACACAGTTCAATCTAAACATTTGCAAAGCCGGTTGAATACAAGCCTTTCAAACAACCTTGAACAGGCAGCACAGATATTGGTCGGTAATTGGACCAACTCTCACAGCTTTCAAAGAATCATGGAATCTAGTATTGAATATCAGTTAGATTGACTTTGCTACATAACGCAATGCATGTTTCAAAACGAGACTTTCAAATGGCCTGTAAGAGGCCTGGAAGATTGTGGGAAACGCTTTTTGAAAAGGAAATCTTGAATTTTGCCTGAATTTTGAAATCATGCTATGGGCAGCTCAGATCTGCAAAATACAATGCTAAGTTTTCATTTGTGCTTTCTCTCATTAAGCTGCTATAATACCTCTAGACAGCATAGCGGACAAATCTTGATTGGTTGTTGGCGAGATCCCCTTCTTGGGAATCCTCCAGACAATACACCAATCACGTTGCGAGAATCAACCTCAGAAGGCCAAATTTTAGCATTTTAACCACAAATCGTTTAAAAAACCCGGTGTAAAATTTGCTAGCATATTTTGGTTATTTTTTTTCAACTAAACTACTCTTGAATCTTATATCTAAAAATCTACCGCGAACATTTCCCAATCTTTCTCGGTTGAAGAAATATCGCTATTCAATTACAGTGCAAGTTTTACTTACCACTCCCTTGACATTATCCGCCCTCTTTATTGAAATTTCTGTTTTCTTGCCAATATAACCACAAATTATACCAATTTTTGGAAATAAGATGCTTTTGCATTTGCCACTGGACTAGAATTTAATCAATGGCGACAGCACGTAACTCTTCAACGGAAAGTGGCGGGAAAATATCACGTGCTATCGCCTCTTTTTATACTGGTTGCCTTCTTTGACCTCGTGATGTGGCCCTCGTGGTACGGTTTGTGAAGAAAAAGAATTTGTTTTAAACTGAAGTACGCTTAATGGTTTGCAGTGCGACAACAATCAACATTCTCATTTTGATTTGATGTTCTAGCATTTGCAGGATTGGTGCTAGTGGTCAATTCGCATCTACCATCATGTCTTGCTTCGTATCGCATGTGCAGTCTTGTAAATGTTCGAAGGTAAAATTTGTCTTGCTGAAATTGCCCAGCTATTGAACTAGATTCACATTCGTTTATGCTATCTAATTTTTTACTTTTGTTGCCTATGATTCGCGCATCGACCTAATCAATTACTTTTACAAATATAATGTAACCTTTTGAATTCAAACAAATCAATTTTGTTGGACTTGCGTGCACCAAGCAAATATCTTACGCGATGTATACATAGTTCATTAAAGTGATCTCCGTTTATTATTCATTCATTGCTGATTACTATATAGCGATGTATCGCGATTGCTGATTACTATATTGTGTTCTACAGAGGAAATGTAGTGATTTTTAAGTTCGACATAGGATTTATGGCCTAGGAATAAGACCCCAGCTGCATATTTTTGCTAATTAATTTCATAAAAGTGAAAAATTTCAGCAACAGCCCAAAGTAACTTCAATCATGATTTGCCAAAGACAATTGACCATTATTACTAATCTTATGTGATGAAAATGGCGAATACACTCACGTGGTAAGACTGGAATCTAATAAAATTTGAAAACGGCGGGAAAAATTTCGAGGGTCGGTTTTCGTCTTTTTTCACTTTTATGAAATCAATTTTGATTCCAGAGGACAAAGATACATTTATTGAGTTCGAGGGTGAATATGAAAGCCTTCGTGCCGTTGTGATAATTACATAGACGATCACCGCCAAATCTAAGGCTGAACAGTGAGTGCATCTATGACGGGATTATGAACCATTCCTAGATTTAAGGTAAGTATATAAATGATTTTGTCTAAATGTGAAATGTCTAAAGCGCTTTGGGTGGGGAGAGGTTAAAGCGTAATTTACCTGAATCTCGACACGAAATTTAACGATCATTTGCAAGGTGTTTTTTTTATATTATTCTTTGTGATCGAACAGTGGCGCCAATATAGGTTAAATAGCAACGCATGATGATGAACTGGACAAAAAATAAGGTGGAAATTTGCTTTGTAGAGGCGTGCAATGTTTTTTGTAGACAATGTGGTAAAAACACGCTGAAATGGCGAAAATTGGCCTAATTCTAGCTCCGAAGCGATTTTGTTGTGAGAATCCTGTGTGCTGATTGGCTTAGAACATGGTAGCGAACAGAGCTCTCAGCCAATCAAAGATTTGACCGCTATGCTGACCTCGCCAACAACCAATCAAGATTTGTCCGCTATGCTCCTCTAGACAACTTTCGTTGGCTTCTTCTAATATTCAAAGCACCGCCATCCGCCCTTAAGTTGTTTTTCAGCAAATTTAATTCTCCAGCATTGGATTTGTGACCCATGTAGCCAGACTACTACTACAACAAGCAAAGGTTCAATAAGCAGTCAGCAGGAACAACGCAAAAAGACGACTCGGAATCTAATTCTCAGAAATCAAAAATGAAAATGTTAAGATAAAGTTAAATTTTACTTACATTAAGCCCTGGCATAAGAGGGCCCCATAAGTGTAAATAAAAACGGAAGGGTAAAATTTATAAATGATAACTGTTTTTGGAGCCGAATCGGACCCTGTCGAAAAATTCTTATCTTTACTGAAGAAAAATTAAAAATATTTCAACGTCAGAAGAAGATTCTAACATAAATTACATGCTCACAGAAGAAGTTGGCGTTTAAGACGATAGCAAATTGCGCAACGGTTTGCAAAAGACGATAATAATGAGGCAAGGCTGGAATAATGGGCGATGATAAATCTTGGAAATCACAAAAAATTAACAGATGCCCTTTTGACAGAAATGTTGGTCTTAAAACGATAAACAAGAGGAAGCTAAAGCTAAAATAAGGCCTTAGAATAATCTACATCTGCTAAATAGACTCTAAAAAGAGTTAACCATTAATCTAATTTTGAAAATATGTTGTTTCAGCATGCATCTGCTTCTAATATTTTAACTATATGTAGATGACCAACTCAGCAAGCTTGCGATTATCCAAAGCGCCAAACAACGATTCGCGTATTTTGACCATGTTAGGATATGGTTTAGGTTATAATAGGATTTTCAACCCAGAATAGCGGATAAATAGAGTACCGAAGTAATAACATCACAGCAATCTTTTTTTTAAAATTTTATTTAATTTTGATCATATATTCCAAAAGAGCTAATGGGATTACTCTGAATGTGCAAAATCAGTTGAATGCGTTACAAATTGGCTGAGATATGGCCATATCAGCATAGGCTATTCTTCAATCACATCTCTGTAATTTGGTCCAGGTTCATAACTATAGTTTCCCATTCGTGCAAATATTTCAGCTCGAATGACATTCTTGACATTACTAAATAACACGAATGTCAGAAATTGCCGCCATTATGATGAAGTCATGCAACATCTAAATAGCACTAACTCGTTATCGGCAAGTCTGATAAAAGAACTTTTTGTTCCTATTACGATGCCAAACAAGATGGTTGATAAATTTCTCAAAAAAGAGAAGTAAAAATTTTGATGACTGGAGAAAATGACGTCTCGGTCATGTGTTTTCTGTCGTGTTACAAAAATGTATCCAAAGCTTAAAATATAAAGCAAGGCCTGAAGTACTCAAGTCAAGAACAAAAACAAAAGTTAGGCACTTTGCTCGATTCTTGCGTGGGAAATTCCCTAGTTGGCAAACTTTTCATTGCCATATCTCGCCCAGTTGTGAAAATGCTTACCTAATTTTGCATATTGAGTAGTTTTTATACCGCTCTTTCAGATTATGTGGTCAAAATTAAGAAATACAAAAATAAATTTTTGATGACGTCACACTTCAGTTCTCTATTGGTGACGGCATCTTTTTTAAAGGCCAGGGCTGGATAATGTCCGGCAGCGCCAGCGCTGTCAGGGAATGTTTAGCACAAATTCATTGAAGGAAAATGTTGCTGTTTGCCAGGAAATTTTCAGCATGCAATCTTCATTGCTTGATTTTAATATGAACATTGAATTTCTGTTACTATATTTCTACGGAATGCTGTTTTTTTGTGATATACGTATATACTGTATAATCTTTGTTCTGCCCTACTAACAAAAAACGAAGATTAGCTTTCAAATACAACCACCTGGTATTATCAGCGTCAGTTTTGGGCTTACATCTTTGAGGCTCGCACCAACCCTGATTTAAAACATAAATTTTAACCATTGGAAAATAAAATAGTATTCTTCCATGTTGTTTGAACTACTAGCTTTGGTGATAAAAATGAGCAGCAAATATGAAACCCAGAGCAAGATGTAGGATACATCAATACTTAAATAATATCTAGCTTGCTAGTACTGATATGAAATTAAATCAAAGTTTTTATAGACACTCAGATCGTGTGCTCGATCACGTTCTCCTTGATCATCTAAAGTATAAACAAAATGCTTGCTGTTCGACTATCTATGATCAAAAATCGAGGACCAAGAATTAGTTCTTTTTTAGTATGAAAGTTCACTTTAGGACAAATTTTTAAACAAATCAAGCTTTGTCGAAGCCTCGCAGGAAATCTTGAAATATTTATTTTGCTGCCAGGAAGAAAAATCTTTTTTCAAACCCTGCTAAAGCCAATCACCCGCTGCATTGTGGGTAAAGCAGTAACAGCCGTTCCTGTGAAATTAAAATTTATGTAACTATTCTTGGGTCTGTATGTACCACAGCCAGAGTCTTTTTTCTCATTATTCAATTATTGGTAAATATTGTGGTCTTCCTCAATGTGGGATGTTTGTAGAGCGCCGACGAAAACGCTGTTTGCAACATGGCACGTATTTGTAAATGTTGCCGTAGATCCATGGGTTGACACAGCTGCTTATTAGGCAAGATGTGAACAGAAAGCAGTTCCATATGTTCAGTTTAGACACAAACCTAGGTGTCATGTCTTCAGGCTTAAAAACTCTCTTATGCCAGATGACGCAGAAAAAGATTGAATAAGGCAAATTCAGGAGAAAGAACGAACAGACAAGAATCACCATCCTTTTTAAGGCCTTCCTGTTCTTTTGCAACCTCTTTGAGACTCCCCGACTATTTTCATGGGTAAACATGGACTTCTTGAGTGTTCTGCTGCTCATTCCGTAAGATGTGATTAGAAACAGGAGTGGAATCGCCCAGATAACCATGTTTAATGACGTCAAGTAGAAAAACATTTGCTGACGTCTTATATGATCAAATACCTCCTCGCACCGGGCTCCGTCGAAACGCCACGCAAACGTGTAAGGAATTGAGATTATTCCAGATAAAACCCAAACCAATGCCAGCTTTGCATAGCTCTTGATCGTCGGGGTTCTATTCCGCAATGGCTTACTGAGCATCCTGCAAAGAAAATTTACATAGTTGTATAAATAGCGGTCGTCTGGGACCGGACCTAATTTCTACGCTAGGGTCCGGCCCGGTTCTGTCTGAGCCGATGACCCGGATGAAAATTGAAACGCAATAAAGTGATTCAGAGGCAGAAATTCCTATTTCAATTGGGGGTGGTGGGTATAGTGACCATGCTTAGGCCATTGTATACTCACCATGACACCCCCTGCGTCATTCACGGCATCACATACCATAGGACATTCCCTTTACCATTGTTTACAGCTTCACTCAAGTAAGGTGCCAGTTACACTATACCGGATTGCTATCTGAGCGGGTAACTTTCATATCGGATAGGGGTTTGAGTTATACTACGCCACACCAATCTGGTACACAACGATCTGATTAGTGGAGTGAAAACACACCGCTCTGGAGGTGATACGAAAATCACTCCGGAGTCACTCCGTAGCGGAGCGCTGTAGTGTAATCGCACCAATCCGACATGCTTCACTTCGAAACAAAGGATTTTCTTATTGCTTTCTGCTTGAAGCATTTCGATCATTAGTGAACAATGATGATTTCTGAGATTTTGTTACTGTTGGATAATGCCCAACGAAAATCGTCTCAACATTTTCGTTTTTGGATTCCATCTCTTTTTAAATTTCATTGAAGCGGCCCTTTGATGAAACACATTCGTAAGCATATCAGACAGAAACGAAATCTCGCTATCCGTCCAACATACCCCATCACTTATCTCTCAGTTTTCAGGGTTTTTCTCGTCATTTCTTGCAGTAGTTATTAAAAACAAATTAATAACAGCAAACAGCTTCGAAAAAATCATCAAATAATTTTTCCTGGTGCATTTTACGCACGAGTTTACAAAAGCGTGCAGCATTGTGTACCAGAAATGCAGAGGAATGCAGGCGTATGAACAAGCGGAGCGTCGAAATGTAACTGCTACTCTAAATATTACTCCGGAGTAAAAGTTGCTCCGCTCTGCTCTGCTCCGATAGCAATCCGGTATTGTGTAACTCTAGCCAAGTCATGCTGGCTCTTTCCCAAGTCTTTATCTTTCCTTCTCCGTTGCATCATCAAACATTTATTATATACATACAAAGTATGTAAATTAGTTATTTAGTTATTCACTTAGAATCAAGACACGCAATGTGCAATAGGCACATCATCTCTTCCCTGGCTGCGTGTTTAGAACTCACTGGGTCAGTATGGAAAAATAGCATTATGCACTGAATAATCTGGTGCAGAGCAAATTTTGTTGGTGCACAGTTTGGTGACAAAAAATATTGCTCTTTGTCTTTCGTGCACAAGTTATTTAGACCTGGAGTGGTGCACAGAACTAGATAAAATATTCTATTCCAGTTAAACAAATAAGTAGGCTTTGAAAGGGCAGGAAACAATTCCACCTTGGAGAACAGGAGTGTTCTTGACTGGTCAGCATCAATTGTTTAAAGATTAGACAATGTTATCTCCCAGACAGCAAGGATTTACAAAGATGGAAAGAAATATGCACCTACCCAGACACATTGTGGGAAGCTTCAAGAAAAAGACAATTTACTAAGCAAGCAGGGTCATCACAAGGATTAAGTTTGGGAGGAAAGCTATCCATTTTCACATAAATTAAGTCTAATTACTGTTGCGAGGGCTGCCAAGAGAGATGCAAATTCCCCCCAACCCAGGGCCTTGAGGTCAAAAAGGAAATCCATTTGAAGAATGGAAATAATTAATTGTAACAAAAGTATGCCTAAAATAATAAAACATTTTAAAAATTCAAAATCAGCACCCAAATTTTCAAAAGTTTTGAAAACGTGCAGCGATGAAAATTCCTTAAAATAAGCCCTAGGTATAGGAGCATCACAACCCCCTTTGAAAAAGATTCTGTTGCAAAAACAAAGAGTAGAAGATGCTGCGTCAGCAAATTTTCACACTTGTTAGTGAATCAAGGATGTTTGTTGGCAAATTCGGCCTGAATACCCCCACCGCTGAACACAATAGCCATGTCCCTGCCAAGATCACATGTCTGTTGCTTTTAAATTAAAACACAATATGCTTTATCAGTCATGACAGAGAAAAGAAAATGACTGCACAAAGTAAAAATACAGTGTAATATTTATAAAATCCTGTTTCGTATTCTTCGAATAAGCACCTCCCATTGAATAAATGTCTTTTCGAATAAGCAACTTCAACGGACAACAAAATAAGTAGACGTCCCCTGGAAAAGCGCAGGTAAAAGATATATTGTATGTTTTCAAAGTTGCAGACGGTGACTTGAGCCCAGTAAATAAAGGAATGGACTTAGAACAAATTGCAACAGAATTTATCTTATCATCGTATATACCTCTTTTGCATCTATATAACATAATAAAAGTCTAACAAATCTAAAGCAGGGAAGGCTCTGAAATGGTAGGTGATTTTTTGTGGATCATCGTCCAATATTTGTTCCATTGAACCACTTGCGTTTTCTTAAATGATCTTGCTGTTGATACCAATATGCATTTGATGCTATACGTAAGCTTCTATCTAATCTTAGTGAGTTGAAAATGCTGGGCATTGTCTTGTATGGGGTGTGGTCTTGCATAAAAATGATTTAAAGACACGCCCATATAAGACCGCCGGTGTAGTATGCTGAAATGGTTTATGCACAAGGGTCTGAAATGGCTTTTGCAGTAAGCCGCCGGTGTAGGATGCTGAAATGGCTTTTGCGCAGTATTCTTCACGGCTTTTGCATGTACTTGTCTTTTGAAGAAGACTTGATAGAGCATCCAAAGGCTCTATCATAACAAAATCATAAGGAAAGCAAAGGTATACAAAGCTGCGCCTTTATTACACAAAGCAAAAGAAGCCCAGCTTCAAGACCTTTCGCAGCGGAAAGGCAATGAAAGAACCAAAAACGAAGATCCTAATGCCAAAAGCAAATATTCAGACAGTTTTCTATGAACCTGAGTAAAGCAAGGTTAAATCCAAATATCCGATCAGTTTGCTCCTTTCCAAAGCAGGTCATCAAAGTGCAGTGTGACCAGATCTGTTATAATGATATGCTTTAAGCATAATATTGTCCAAAAATCGTCATTTAGCATAAAATCTAGCATAATTTTGAATCAAGCATAACTCTGGCATAATTTTGATATTTTTTTTTAAAAATCATTGTTTCCATTGATCCATTGTCTATCGATACCAAATGCAAACAGTTTACACCGGTATCTGTTGTTTTGTTTTGGGAGTGAATTGTGACTTTCCACTTGCTTGTTTAAATTTAGCAATTAAAGCTTTGCGAGATATACAAAATGGCAATGATTACTCACATTCTCAAACTGCCTAATCAAAACGAAAAGTCACACTTTTTTACGAGCCAGTACTAGCACGAAAAACGCCGTAATCCAAGAATTAATGTAAATTACGTTCAGAATAAAAGAATTATATATTTTATCTCCCAATCGGTTTTCTGTTTCTCTTTATCTTCTCTTTAGCCAGTTACAAACAAGAGCGTAGTATGGAGACTTTGATTTGAGGGTAGAGACATAATGGCAACACCATATATATAATATAATCTCGGCGTATTTTAACAGAGTTTAGCAGAACGTCAACCATCTCCGTGTACACAATCATCTAATATACAAACGTTCTTATTAACATCATCAGTGGCAGGCAAATGTAATTAGGGGAAGCAAGCGGTGCCTTTTTCCTTCAATGCGGAATGCCCTAACGAGGGCCATCACATCCAACTGAACCACTTCCAGTTGATGAATCCGAATACCATGAGATACGCAGTTTCAAGGCTGACCAGTAGTGATTCAGAAGCCTATAGATAAGGTCTTACAGTCATGGATGGTGTTCATGAAGTTCCAAATCAAATTATGATGAAAGTGATGTGTCAAAAATATGTAGAAGATTGGCATAGGAAAAAAAATTAAAAATTATTTTCATTAGGTGTTATCAAAATTATTGCGTTCTTAAGAATTTCGCTTTAGATTTTCGCGTTCTTAAGAGGTCCCCCCCCCCCATTTCCTCAAATTGGCACCCACTTAAAATGCTTGAAATGATGAATGTTTAATCAAGGAAGTACGTTATATCTCTGATTTGTTTGCATGTAAAATATATTAACAATATTTGCTACAATGGCATCAAGCTAAAGGATGCTGAACCTTGCTAATGCCGAAAATTAGCCCTTTTCTAGTTTTTTATTGGTTTTGAGCAATTTTTTCCGATTTCATATCACACCATTAGAGACCTTTGAATGGAAGATTACTTTTCACATCAGCATTGAAAATATAATGCAAACCTTAGTCTCTCAATTCCAATGGCAACAATAGACCATGATGATACGGATAGGAGCATAACAACGACGGCGGGTAGGAATCTGCACATCAAGCTGCCCAGATGCCATCTTTTTTCCACCGTCAAGAGATCGTGAACGAAGGCAATGGGTGCAAAAAGGGACGACAGCAAATCAGAGTGTGCTAGTGATAGAAGAAGGATGGTAAAATTCGTCACTCTTCTTCTCTGCACCATAAAGTAACTCGCAGCAATATTTGAAGCGGTGCCAAAAACTGACATCATAACATAAAGAATAATGATGCAGAAACCCTGCCAGGCAAATCCTGTTTCCTGCATTATAGGCGGGTCTTCTTGGCTTGCTCATTTGCAACTCGGCTCCTTCTGTATGATAGTATTTGAAGATTTGCACATACTTTTAAATAGATTTTTAAGTATTAATGTGATAAAATAATTTAGTTGGCCATTTGTAAATATTTCAGATTGGCCAACCACAACGTGTAGCTTTCGAAAGCGGATTAGTGGAAGGTCTAAGCGACAAGAAGAAATTTAATAAAACTCACAGTGGCAGCTTCAGGAATAATTCTGGCAAAAACACAATTGAGCAACGTTCTGATCACGCCCTTCTTGAACCACGCAAATGAGACCGTTTGCAGCGAACCCCACGAAACGAGGCTAGAAAATACACTGAGCTGATAAAAGGGGAGTATCTTGATGGCAGTATCTTAATGGGGGTGAACGAGCAAATCTGAATGGTAAACACAGATAAATCTCGTTATCTATGTTAAATATACATCATTATATTTCTTACTTTTTAATTATGGTTTGCGAAGCTTTATTCAATTCTGTTGATCTAGATTCTAGATCATCGACATTGTGTTGTTGCGCTGAGGTGTAGCTGATGGTTGATTTCCATTTCTTTTCAAAGGTCGCTTTGCAGTAAGCTAAACTTTATAGTTCTAAACTGACTACGTGCTGAAATAGTGCGTCATGAATAACATGATTTCAAGGTAAATTATAGAAAGGAGGACATTCCTATTACACACGGTGGGGTTCTTGTGTAGGGGTGTGTCACAAGCATATTCAAATTGGTACCATTGGCTAGACTAATTTTCACAAAAGCAATACTCTTGGCTAGATCAATTTCTATAGAAACATACTTCCATATTAAACAGTTTCTATTTTCTATAGACTGTAGGACTTGTGGCTAGATTAATTTCCAAGCCATTCAAGTTAACAGAAATCTCAAAATTATGGCTTTGAACTCGGAAATGCCAAAGCTCGATTTTTTAATTTACTGTGTTATAAAAAAGTAAATGGGTTGTCCGGATGAAATTCCTACTTTCAAATGCCATTCCCTAGGCCAATATTGTCAAGGATGATCTTGGCTAAGCAAAAATTGCAGCTAGACTAGTCCCAAAAAGAATACCCTTGCTCGTCTCGCGGCACAACCCTATGTACCCTTTTAGAAGAACCCCAACCCCTTTCGTTGTGCGGCTCTTAAATTGTCAGTTCTGTTGTTAGACTTTACTTTGGCTGAGATGCGCTCTTTTTAACATTTGTATCAATTCAACGATCTGAAAGACCGGGAAAAACAAAAAGATTTCAAAGCTATCTTGATAAATCGGTGAAAATTTTTGTGATACGCATGATTTCAACACTGTGTCTAAAATGGATCTTTTGTAGTTTGGACCCTTGGAGGTGGCCACAAAACCAGATTAATTATGACAAGACAGGCTGGGCACAAAATTGAATAAACTTTATGAATTTGTTCCTCCGGCCTGTCTCGGAATAATTTGGTTTCTGAGAAACCAGAATTATTGTGGGAATATTATCTTTTAATTTCTTGAAGAAATTTAGGTTTAGATAAGAAAAGAATGTTGCCTTCAATCACGTTGCCATGATGAATCACGTTTTAGAAAGTTTGCCTTCAAATCAAAACACTGGCGTGGACTTGCTACTTTATCAGTTAGCTCATATCATAAGTTACCGAGAGATCTATGAATTGCCATGTTTATTGTAAATACTAATATTTTAACCAGGATTGGATTAAGTTCTATCAGGGGTGCATTTAGCCTGCGCCTTTTGGTCTGTGGCGCAGGCTAGGGTGCAGTGGGAGTTAACTTCTGTGTTGTGGGGTGAGGCAAAGCTGAAAATTTCCGACAAAACTCTAGCAAGACTTACCAAATTATAATGCTATGAACCAATCGAACAGGACTGCAACTATTTTAAGGTTCTGGAGTTGGTTGGAGTTAGAGTTGAAGTAAGGATTGTGATTGGCAGATATGTAAAATGAAATACTTATGGGTTGGATACTAAACGGTTTACACAAAGTGGTGATTTTTCTTTGATTCTGCATCTTAAACTTCGTCCATCATTGAATTTTGAGATAGGGGCGACGCTAGAATTAGTGGTCCTAACAAAGCCAATAACCAGGGGGACCTACACAGGGGGGCTGGAGGGGCAGCTGCAACCACAGGTCAACCACAAGAGGGAGAGCGACAAAGACAATAGATGATAAACAAACGACGTGTTCCCTCAGAAGTACTCCAGGAACCTAAGGAGGATAAATCGGTATAAAAACTTAGCGGACAATCTAAATTTTACAATCAGCCCATTTATAACAGTCATGATTTTTATAAAACCAAATATTGTAAATAGCGACAAGGCCTTTTATTACCCATGTTTATGTATGGATAATTTTGTCAACATTTTATCTATGTTTAGAATTTTTGATGGTATAATAGAGCTAAATTTAGCAATTTCACTTGGTTATTTGTATACGTAGGTATTTTATATATTACGTATATTATTGAATATCTTCCTTGTGCACGTGAGAGATGATCCGAAGACTGAAACTTCAAAGAATCACGGTTTCTTGCGAACGCGAGCGGCTATACTTTTCCTTTCCATTTCCATCTTATAACATCCCAAGGCTAAATTTTAATCTAAACAGCTAACATAAACAACAACGGTTCTCCGCGAACTCTAATACTTATAACAATCCAATGAAATATATAACGAGGCACAGCGCAGTCTTTCTCAAGCACTGCCTGTCCTAAATGCAAACTGGGCTGCAAGAGCTTTCGCAAACCTCTTTGGCGAAACGGTTAGCTTCCTTCTGATGTTTAGCCTTCATGTCTATAGCTTCTGAATTTCTCTCCGAATCTCTATGAATCTAACTAACTACATAAATTTATATGTATAAGGAAAATACCAGAAAAGCATAACCAAGCATAAATGCATAACATAAGCAACAAGGTGTAATCCTAATAAGGGGTAATCCTACGAAACGGAAAAGTATAGCCGCTCACAAGAAACCGTCATTCTTTAAAGTATCAGTCTTCGGATCGTCTCGCGCGATTTTAAACCTCCATTTTACAATGGTAAAAAACCCAGCTGTATGGGTGGCACTGTATTCAAGTTAATATTTTATTATGTTACCCCAACCTCGACCCCCCCCCCTTCCCCCCCCACCTAGGAATACTCGATTGTGTTAGTAGAAAAATTCCACGATTTGCCCTCGGCACTAACACTGCCCCTTCCTGCCCTTATCTTTTGCAGGCGTTCCTGCCATCAACTGAAAGTGAATATAAGTCATTTCATTACCACTAGAGAAAGGGAAAACTGATGCTCATATTAGACTGTAAAGTAATTTGACGATAATTTTAGGCACTTTTTCAGGTGCCGATCCTCTTTTTGCTTTCCAGTGGGGTGTAAACCAAAGTTGTGTATAATAAGGCTGTTGTAAATTTTGGTGTGAATTTCCAGATTATTGCATGAAGCACTACACTGAACTTGTATATACATCTGTCATACTTTGCAGATTGGTACTCACCAAAGTTTTTATGTTGAAATATTGATTGGAAGTAAATTGATATTGATAGTTGTTTGCTAAAGGTATCTTGGTTCATTTTAATGGTTTCTTGTCTACTGCAGGAAACTGGAGCTGTGAGAATATGTTTCTTTCCTAAATTGCGTTTTCCTAAAAGCTACTTTGTCCTTTCGTCCATAGTCCTTCAGCCCAGTCTTTATAAAAAGTTCTTGGAAACACAAATCCTTTCCCTGTATAGACTGAGGAGAAGAATGGAATTAAATTTGACGTTTGATGGAATGGAACACATCCATTTTAACAAAATCTCTGACATGTTTTTGGGAATCAGCCCTTTTTTGAAAATCCACACTCTTTTTTTTATAAGAACAATTTTATAAGAACACGAGCCTCAAGATTGGTCAAAAGTTAAGAACAAATTAAGAACAAGCTGAGACTGAGCTTCTGCAAAATGCAATTTTGGAACAACGTTTTATCTCAAAAATGAGGATTTTTAGCGATGTGTGGGTGCTTTTTCGTCGAATATTCAAACTTTTCGGCAAATGAAGGTTGTCTTACTCACTTTGTTGGCAAATGAGGCCTGAACACCTCCCTAGAGCGAAAAAGCTAGCACTCGCACTGCTTACACCCTATTAGATTATGAACCATCCAGCCTCAGATTTTCGAAAAAATTAACAACAGTCAGCCTGAACTTAAATTTACTGGTTCTTGTAAAAAAGAGTGTATGTCCCGAATGAGAGTCAAATTAATTACCCTTTCTCAGTGGTTTTTGAAACTCGTTGTGTTTGGAGTCATATGGAAGTAAACGTGCAGGGATCAAAAGTTATATCAATCGTGTTTGGCGTTCTCAATTACTCGCAGGTTTTAACCCGTTTTTGTTATAAGCCAACAAATTTCCCTAGATATTATTTGAGCCTGGACTGTTCGTCGTTGGTTCTGAAACAAAGTTGAAGATTTTCATAATTATATAACTTTTCGGTCAATCTATTTGCTACGACTTCTTTGTGGGCTGCGGTTACTGCAACATATATCTTTGCTTTCATTAGAACAATGGACGATTGCTTATGCTTTCCGGAACAGTAAACAGAGGAATGACTTAAAAATATGGTCGATTGAAAGCAAAAATTGTATCTTGTCTTGTTTACTGCTAGTCTTTAAATATCTAAAGAAACATTCGTACAAGCAAAATCAGTTAGATGATAACACCCGTAGCAATCAATCAAATGGACCTAAAATTCCGAAATTAGATTATATTCCAAAATCCCCCAATTCTTCATGAATTGGTCGGTAAATTTACAGTTTCTCCATAAAAATCTTTGTTTGTCGCTAAAATCGCCAATCAGTAGATGAAAAGGCAACTACACTTTATGTCGGTACATTTTTCGAAGACCCTCCACCTCTTAGTCTGGAAGATCAAGCTGTGCCACTGTCGAGCAGCATTTGCTAATTGACTTTTCCAAACATAATAAACAAAAGCAATTTTATTTGGACTACTAAGATTAATTTGTATGGTTTAGGCCTATGCTGTACCGTTTTTATTTTATTACTACATTCCTTGTAGTATGCCAGCAATCACCCAGTATGGGCACTCTTTTGGTTCCAGGGCCCGCGCCACTGATCCTAAACATAATAACGAAGGAATGAAATGCAGCATAAGCGGTAAAATGTCAAAAAGTTATGAAATATGATAATTAAAGGTAATGTGTCCATATAAAAAGACTGCGTATACCCAACTTGTCAAGCCACCCATCAAAATAACGGTTTGTGATTGGTTAGTATTCTTGCGATGCAAAACTGCTCACATGAAAAGCTTACTTCGCAGTAGGATAGATAAACAGAACGACCGTAATGGCTGGGACGATGAAACGAAAAATCACATGTTTCTAAAAGCCCCCACAGAGTCGCTTGCTTAAGTTGGACACATTACCTTTAATAAACTACTCAAGGGTACTTGGCTCGATAGATCTTCTGAGTTTTTTCCAAGTGTCCTAAGCTTAATTTTTTCAATATATATCTTTATTATTAGTATATTGTAATAAAAAGCTTGAACTAAATTGAATACTTCCATTTTTAATTTGCTAGTATGACAACGTTTATTCCGAACAAAAAACATTTGCAAAGCGCATGACATATTGAGACGACCTGGCCAATCACTTTTCTATATTCTAATCATGTGACAGGAAGAATCCTCCCACACCCAATGTGAATAAAGAAGCCGCCGTTAGCCCTTTATGGTCAGTTGACGTTTGTTGGATCAGAAAGTTGCTCTTAAAACTGGAACGATCCTGTCTGCGGCCATGAAAGCCACGATTATTGTTCTTTTGGGTCTCTTTTGCCTTTCATTGGCAATCCCAGTAAAGAAAGGTAAGTTTGAAGCCATTCATTATATATTTCATCATGATCTCATACCGAAAGTAAGGAATTAATACGGAAGTCAAATCTGTTTTTGGCTAGGCCAGCGGGCGCGCTTGTTTGAAGAATTTTGCTTTTGTGCCAAACTTGCAGGTTTTTATTCTGTTTCTAATGATACCTTCTCCAAGTCGTATCGGAGTGGTGCCGTGTTTTGCTTGATATCATATTTTTAGGAGAGCGTTCCTTGACCCTAGGCGACCTGTGATCCCATGATGCAGTCAAAAAACTCCTTGACGTGTATGGAACGAAGGTAAATCGGATTATCCGAACCAGATTCTTCACCTTCATTTGAAGGCTGGAATCAATCAAACGTACTAAAAACATGCCTTAAAATAGCAAAAATTTTAAAGGATTGCAAGAAGATGGCTGCAAGAAATATTCTGAACTGCACTTAAGCTGATCTAAAGGATGTGGGCGCAAACAAGAGTTTAAAATCATGAATGGCCTGTCTAGTGAAACTATTTTGAGTTCATCTGGGGATAGAGAATTCTGGAGATCAATGACAGTCAATGTCCTGCCAGGACAAGATACTTTTGTGCTTTCTTTGCAAATTATTTTGGCCCAAAGTATAATTTTCTTGTTTTTCCCTGCCAACTTAAAAATTGCTTGACTGCTCATAATATAAAATATGCTGTTTACTTCCTTCTGGTGTCAGTGATAGCCTGTATCCTCCACTGTAATGTTTTCAAAGGCTAGCTGACATGACTGAAAATAATAAACTGAAATTTTCTACTTTTGTATGTTGTTTTGTATTGCCAAGATCGTCAAAATTTAACTTTGATTGAAGTCAAACATATTTTCATTATAATAATCAAAAAGTAAAACCTACAAATGCTAAAAACACAAACTATTGACTCTAACCAGGTATGATACGATGAGTTTCAGTATATAAGCTTAAATCAATGTGACATTTTTTTTCTGTCCCTCTTTACCATGTTTCAGCAACCTCCTTTTTGGCACCTTGCAAATTTTGGCCAATCATAAATGTTTGTATTATGTATCCCACCAGTTTGACCAAGAAGGATGTCACATTCCCAGGTGACCCAGTGATAGCTTAAGCTGAATTGACACTTAAAGCAGTGCGTTGCGGCGCACCACACAAATTTTTCAAGAATGGAATTCAAGATTTTATATTAAGTGGGTGACTTTGGGTTTCCTCTTAATACAATGGCAGTGATATTGGATTCAATTTCAGTTTAGGTCTAACGGATTTGAAAATGTGAACAATTTTTTTGCGGTACAGAATTGGAAAATGGCTTTGAAAAAAAGCAAACATTTTACAACATACTAAATGCTTTTTTGTCTGACACTCCTCAGAGCATAAAACATCAGAATAGGGATTTGAAAATGCAAGCTAATGCAGTTCCTTTAAGATGAAACTTGGATTAGCTCTCTGTACATTTGTTTCATTTAACGCTGCCTTCTTCTACATTCTATCTTTATTGGGTCAGCAAAAAATCTGTTTCAAATTGTCATTGTGATTTGCAAAACTTTGAGGGAAGCATTCTGTGTGTCTATACTCTGCAGTTCTAGAATATCTTTAGTGATATTGGCTCAGACACTAATTTAAAAGAATGCAATTTGGGTGTTTTCAATAGCCTGGTCATGTCTTATGTCCCGTTGTTGTTTTCAAAGAAAGAAGAACATCTTGTTCACAAAACTCTTCTATTGTTTTGATGTGGCACCTTGTGAAAAAGTTGGATGGCACCTTGTGAAAAAGTTGGATAAATATAACTTGCCGCAATGTGATGCATTGCCCAAGAAATGCAATGCGCATGCAATTCTTCCAAAACCGTCAAATTTATTTGGGCAGCAGCAAAAAACTCATCTAGTGTGAATTGAGCTCAACGATCTAATAATTTGGAGTAAGTCATGTGCCCTCCACCTTGATGGGAAACAAGATAAGCCCCAGTTTCATCTTCATTTCTGTTGTTTGTAAAGAGTTGTTCATGAGAAGATTTTCACCATGTTGGTCATGATGTACACCATGATTTCTATATTCATATGAAATTTCTGTTTTCATTATTCTTATTTTAGATGTAAGTGAAAAAGAGCATACAGAAGATCCTTCAAATAAAGAGGAAGATGAGAATATAGAAGATGCTCTTCCTGAGGATGAAGAGTTTGATGCTTTTGATGAAGAAGAAGATCATGCAGATGATGAACCAGATGAAGATGAACAAGAGGATGACGAAGATGAACCAACTGAACTGGAAGATGCAGCCCCAGGCATGAGTGAGGAAGATGAAGATGAATCCAAGGAAGAAAAGAAGGAACCAGCTGAGGAGGAAAAGAAAGAGCCAGCAAAGGAGGAGAAGAAAGAACCAGCAACGGAGGAGAAGAAAGAACCAGCAACGGAGGAGAAGAAAGAACCAGCAACAGAGGAGAAAAAGGAACCAGCAAAAGAGGAAGAGAATGAGCCAGTGAAAGAGGAGAAAAAAGAACCAGTGGAGGAGGAGAAGAAGGAACCAGTGAAGGAGGAGGAGAAAGAACCAGTGAAGGAGGAGAAGAAGGAACCAGTGAAAGAGGAGGAGAAAGAACCAGTGAAGGAGGAGAAGAAGGAACCAGTGAAAGAAGAGAAGAAAGAACCAGTGGCAGAAGAGAAGAAGGAACCAGCAAAGGAAGAGAAGAAAGAGCCAGTGAAAGTAGAGAAGAAAGAACCAGTGAAAGAAGAGAAGGAACCAGTGAAAGAAGAGAAGAAGGAACCAGTGAAAGAAGAGAAGAAGGAACCTGTAGAGGAAAAAGATGAAGTTGAAGAAGATCTTGCTTCAATTTCTCCCATAAACAAGGATGAAGCAGAAGATAAAAGTGAAGAACATGATACACCTGATGATGATGAGTCAAAGGAAGAGAAGAAGGAGCCAACAGAAGAAGATGAAAGTATTGGAAATGCTGAAGATGAAGGCATACATGGAGAGGATGAAGATGCATGGTATGCAGAGGATGAAAATGATGAACATGACACACCAGCGTACGATGAGTCACATGAGGATTTTTAAAATGAACGAGAAGAACTCTAATCATTTTTGTTATTGCAGGCCATTTCGTTATGTGTTGTGATTATGTATTCTTCCATAACAGGAAAAATTTGGTGATATTTATTGGAAAATTTCTTAATATTGTATCTTTTGAAGGTTCAGTAGGAGTCTGTGTATGTTGCTTGTCCTTCAAACAGCATCATCAATTAATTACACTAGGGATGTCCAAAAAAATTATCAAAGACTCTTATTAAAAGTGCCAGCCAGGGAAAGAATTTCTCTGCAAATAAATGCCTGTCCATATAATATTTTGCACTTCAGCTAATAGGATGCATGCCCTTTTTTATGCATATCCTTCTTTTACTTGTGGTCAAGAAATATTTAGTGCTTTCAGAATTTTATGGCAAGACATTTAAATATAATTGTAAGGTATTACAGTAGTTTTTACCAAAATGCACACAGTTTTTGGTTAGATGAATTAAGTGTTGGTAACCATTACTTTTGCTATAAAATTTTTTGAAAGCTATTTGGTATCAGTCTTCTTGGTCCGTGAACAATTCGGATGATTTCATTTAGACAGCAGACGGAACCTTAACATTAAAAGAATAATTTTGGGAGCGGCTAATCATACTCTTTCTTTTATTATCCATGCAGTCTTTCCAGGCTAAACTTTACTTTTCAGCTAAATCTGTAATACACATCCTTGGTTCTCCGCGAACCTAAATTTATCGACGAGGCACAGCAGTCTCTCTCAAGTACTGTCTGTCCTAAACTTACAGCAACGAGGCCCAGTGCAGTCTTTTACAAACACTGCCTGTCCTGAATAAACCTAAATTACAATATAATATCGACAAGCTACAAGAGTTTTCTCAAGCCTCTTGAGCTGAGCAGTTAGCTTCCTTAAGTTTATACATGAAACTCGGAGTTAAGTCATAATATTCTGCTTTTTTAAGCCTATCTATTCGCCCCGATAAGTTGAGCACTCTAGACGGCAATATGATAATTACTATAATATATAAATTCATTGTCGTGAACTCAATATTGCGTCGAATGCAAACAACTACTCGAACAGTCCACGAAGCAAAGAAATAGACCTTTTAATTTTACCACGCCGAAATTATCACTCAAATCATTACAACTCTACTCTCAAACCATCACTAAAAAATTAAACCTTTAAGGGCACACAGCCTCTGCTACTTAGCATTACGTCACTTTACAAAAATACCTATCGCGATTACATCATACTTGCGAGATTACCATCGAACGTTCCAGAAATTTCTACGCATACTAATCATACCATGAATAATAATTACAAAGCAATGTCAGCGGGGGATAAACAAAGCAAGTCTTAAACAAAACAATCGCATACGTAATGTTTCTAAAGCCAGTTCTAAAGATTATGTAAGTTTGCATCACGTGTCTTCGTGGCACTCAGTGACTCCGTCAAATTCAAAAATATATTCATATACGTATGCGTTCCCCCCGACCCACCACGTAGTGTACTCATTCTTCGTACACAAAAAGGAAGAAAATCAAACGAAATTTCTAAAGGGCATCAAACTGATCACCATCCTAGGAAAAAGAGCACATAATTTGTATGTTCCAGTTACACAAGATGAAGAAGCAGTTAGAAAGTTGACAGGAATGAAAGGAATGTATGACATGTTACAGTAACAACGGCAATATTCCTTCCAGCAAAGCCCAATTCTTGCGAGTTAATGCAAAAAATGCAAAATTTGTATTTTTAAAATCCATTACCCAGGCTAAAAGATATTAATGGCGACCTAAAGAAACAACAACATCAAGAGAACAGAGATGTAGTAGAGATGTGATTTGGGTATAGATTTCAATTATAGCATCACTTATAAACTTTTTGCCACAGAGGTTTGTTTAAAATGAAGAAAAATATCATCGCTGAAACCTTTTGAAAACAGTGACAAATACATTGCGCTCGAGTAAACAGTAGGGTATGAATTGAGCTTGATATTAACGCTAAACAGAACAGTGACAAATACAGGCGACATTATGAATAAGATTCAAGCCTGACGATCGAAACTATCCACAGTCAGATTTATCAACCTTTCTTTCAGCTGCCTTGGGATTTTCAATTTTTGTGTGTGTCTCTTTCGTAGAAGTTTGCATTTCATTTTCTCAAAAATTTCTAACATTGATTGGGTAAAACTATTTCATCCTTTGCAGCAGAAACTAGTCTTGGCTGAACCCTGATCTGATTTCATTTTTATTATGATTTACATTTACCCATAATTATCGGATGGTTCCTTCTTTTTTTAAAAAGGTAAAGTGACAACCCCCCCCCCCTTATATGCATTGTCATAGAAATATCCTCCTTTCCAGCATTTACCTCGTTATCGTGATTTTTGATGATGAAGCAGAAAGCATAAACCAATTTATTTTCCCTTCGTCACACCTCATCGATAAAGACCCCTCTACAGCATAACATCCGGATCACCTTTCTAAATTGTTTCAAAAGCAGATGTCTTTCAAAACTATTTTTTCATTACTCCCAAAAGCCATATCTTACAAATTTCTTTGTTTTCAAAGAATGCAAAGTGGTTTAGCATCAAACCTCAGCTTTCTATAGTTTATCTGAATGCTAGTTTATCTTGTCAGTGTTCCTACTAAGCTGCGTGCAGCAATTGTAGCTTTGTTTTCTTGAGCGTTGATAGGAAGACTTTCGAAGCCCTTTTGTTACATGCAGTCGTCTCTCTAATTTGCTCTATATGCTCACTGAACCCAAATATTTGTTATTACAAAAAACATTCTTAGAGAATTTGCAAATAAATAGAGAATACTGTTACGTATATAGAAGGTGATCATGTGACCGGAAGATTCATCCAACACTCGCTCCTATCAGGATTAAATGTTAGTTGTCATTTGTTGGAGCAGGAGACTGTTGTGAGAACTGGCGATATCCTGTCTGCCACCATGAAGGCAGCAATTTTTATTCTTTTGGGTCTCTTTTGCCTTACATTGGCAATTCCAGTAAAGAAAGGTAAGTCTGAAGCCATACACAACATATTCATACTACAATCGCTGTCAAAATTACTTGGAACACCCAACACTTTGCGCTGTGCTTTTATGTTTTCATTTGTTTTCCCGAATACTACTACTTCCGTCCCCCTTTCCTCCCAAAACAATGTTGAAAGTAAAAAATAATGCCAAACAAGCTACAAGAAAAAGCATACTCCATAACCCCTTTTATTTTTCTATAGTAAATCAACTTTTTTCTAGGGGGAGAGGGAGATGGCTGAATTTGCCTTTGAACACCTACGTTAGTGTTCCAAGACTTTTGGCAGTGATTGTAGTACCAATTTTCATTGCAGATGCAGCGATTGCTCTTTGGTATATCGTTACAGGGTTAGTATTTCATAACCATTTTGAAGGGAAATTAGCTACGGGGACAAGCCTTTGCTTATATAAAGAGGAGGAAAATAGTCTACTGTTCACAACAATGGAAAGGCCCTGGGGTTGCAGGGGTAATTATCTCCTTGGTTAGTATGTTAAAAAAGGCCCTGCCGTATATGCCACTGTTGCAATCAACCGGTGATTTGCCAATGGAATTCACTGTCTGTAGAAAAATATCGAGCTTTCTTTAATTTGGCACAATCATTCGGCATGCAAACATGCGATTTTGCTTAAACAGGGTCTAGGATTCCGTTGAATTGATTGAATTGATGGAAACCGTTAAGTATGTATTTGTCAGACACAAACGTTGAACAATTGTAAAACTCTGACTGCAGTTGAAGCACTAATATGAATCAAATAACGAATGTGTTAGCATATCCATCTTACCGACAACTTTATTGAGTAACTTGGACGTGGGTAATCGTAGAATGTCCGTATGCAAGTTGTTATACCAATAGCTTTATGCAGGTTGTCATACCAAAAGAAAAAAGTGTCAATTAAAGAATTGTTGTGTTAAGCAAAGAAAGTGTAAAATAACAGATTTGACAAAGACTTATCATTTGCATGAAATTTGTTTCAAATAAAGTTGAAACTGTCTGACTGGAATTCATGATTCACGTTTTACAGATAATGAAGATGCACGTTATGCAGAGGATGAAGATGCACGTTACGCAGCAGATGAAGATGCACGTTACGCAGAGGATGAAGATGCACGTTACGCAGAGGATGAGAACGAAAAGGATGAGAAAAGGAAGGAACCAGTGAAAGAAGAAAAGAAAGAGCCTGCAAAAGAGGAAAAGAAAGAGCCGGCAAAGGAGGAAAAGAAGGAACCAGTGAAAGAGGAGAAGAAGGAACCAGCAAAGGAAAAAGATGAAGATGCACGCTATTCAGAAGATGAGGATGCACGTTACGCAGAGGATGAGAACGAAAAGGATGAGAAAAAGAAGGAACCAGTAAAAGAAGAGAAGAAGGAACCGGCAAAGGAGGAAAAGAAGGAACCAGTGAAAGAGGAGAAGAGAGAACCAGTGAAAGAAGAGAAGAAGGAACCAGCAAAGGAAAAATATGAAGATGCACGTTATGCAGAGGATGAGAAAGAAGAAAATGAGAAGAAGAAGGAACCAGTGAAAGAAGAGAGGAAGGAGCCTGCAAAAGAGGAAAAGAAGGAACCAGTGAAAGAGGAGAAGAGAGAACCAGTGAAAGAAGAGAAGAAAGAGCCTGCAAAAGAGGAAAAGAAGGAACCAGTGAAAGAGGAGAAGAAGGAACCAGTGAAAAAGGAAAAGAAGGAACCAGCAAAGGAAAAAGATGAAGATGCACGTTACGCAGAGGATGAAGATGCACGTTACGCAGCAGATGAAGATGCACGTTATGCAGAGGATGAAGATGCACGTTATGCAGAAGATGAGGATGCACGATTACGAAGTCACAAGGGGATTGACTAATTTAGAATGAAACTAGAGAAATTTGAAAATCATTTTAGTTCTAGGTTATTTAACTATCTATGTTTTTGTGAAATAGAAAGGAGCAAAATTTTCATCTGAATTGTCCTTGAAACATTTCCTTTATTGTAGGGTACAGGAATTTGTATCTTTCGAAGGCTTGGTAGGTTTCCATAAATCATTTATACAGTGATGTCGTCAAGAAATACAAAATGGCGGGGGCTCGAGTTGACAGAATTATTTGACAAATAACAAACTTTTGAAAAGAACAGAAAAATGAATCAATATATGTTACGCTAATGATTTTATAGGCACCTGTTATTGCTTGCAAGACATTGGCAAGGGCGCTAAGAGGTTTTAAGAAACTTAGATAAAGCTGAAGACGAGGGATACTTTTGTGACCACGCCCTTAGCTTGTAATGCATTTCGGAATTTTTCGGAAACCCCAAAATTAGAAAACACAGATTGTGCTTCCTTTAAGCAAAGGGGGCAGTGTATGGGGTAGCTTTAGTAGTAGGAAAACATTATCAAAAGGAGTTATACAGGGGTCCGTACTTGGCCCCCTCTTCTCTGTTTCTCCGCTCGGCTCCTGAAACTTCTCTAGGCTTCACCTACCCAACTTAAGATAATGAGCACATTAAAGCTATCTGCCAAAAGCAAAAGAATAAGATTAAGGTTTTTTCAATAGTTTAAAAAAATACTTGACCCTCAAAAGGCAAACCTGTTCTATAACTCATTTATACTGACAAATTCTAACCACTGTCCATAAGTCTTGATGTTTTGCGTAAAAATAGTCCTCGTTGAAATCCATGGGGTTCATAAGCGTGCCCTGAGTGTGCTGCTAAATGATTTTGACTCCAGTATTGAAGAGTCACGGGAACAAGTAAGTCACAAAACATGCAAAAAATTGCAAAAACTTATGCTAGAGATACAATTGCATTATTTGTGGGATCTTCTCTTACCCCTCGAAGATTTTCGATAGAAAAGTGCTTTCGTATACAGTAAATTAAGAATAAACGACCTTCTCCAATTTCCTAAAACCAGGGCTTAAAAAGATGGCAACGAGTCTCTTTCATTGAGGGGTAGCATAGTCATGAATCGGGTTCATTGTTTCATTTCAGGCATGGGGACAGGGTTGTCATTATTATTATTATTATTATCGCTTGAATTCTAGTACATTGCCCGATGACGCAATGTAAAGAAAATGGCGGAAGCAATCCGCTCTGAGAAAACAAGAAAAAAGGTTAGAAAGGCAAAGAAAGGCAACAAAGATGTACAAGCGGCAAAATGGCATGTAGATGAAATCAACGGTTGGTTCTCAATCCTTTGTGCATTGCCTATGAAATTACCTTTGACTAAATTTGGCTTCTTATACCAAGTCAACATAGCCATAACATAACAACCACATCAGTTAGGCCTCTGGCCTAGATAGAAAACCCGGCGCCAATGCACTAGCGTTGCATTGAAGAGCCATTCCGGTAGAGAAACGCTAGTGCATTAGTGCCCTCGACAGAAATGTGTCCCCAAGCTACTAAAACTGTTTTGCAATAAACATTATTTTTTACTTAACCATGTAGGGACGCGAGAACTGCATTTGGGGTAAGAGGGCTCTAGCCAAATTAGCAAGCTTTTATGGTAGTTTTTCAACCATTATTCTTGATGCCACAACATTTAAGTCATACTTCAGCAAAAAAGTGAGGGGCTACAGCCCCCATCCCACCCTTCCAGCTCCTGTGTGCCATGACCTTACCCCCAAACAAACCTTCAAGTGCATAAAGAAGTGAGCCACTAAATGCAGAATTGTTGACTGGAATTTAGGTCCCAGAAATAACCTTGATGTAGTCATAGTCTGTTCTTATGACTGTAATGTAGTTTATTAAGCACTACAGAGTCACTCTCAAATAAACCAGCTATCAGAAATGACATAGCTTATCAGTGTAGTATCTGCGTAATAACCACAGTTTCAAGTATCTTCCATATTATGTTCTTTTGAGCAAGAATCATAGATATATTAAAGATACCTCTCAGACAGGAACCCTAAACCTAACCCTGTGTATGGTTTGTTATGAGTTTGATAGGTTTGTTAGTGTATTAGCAACTGACATTTAGCCTTGACTATAACCTTGGTAACATAAAGCTGTACGCTTTATAGTACTTAACCTGGGTCCATATCTGTCATGCATTTATGATACATGCACCCCAGTCTTTATTGGTAGGGAAAATTTAGTCTTCGTCATTTTAGTTTTTCAAAATGGGTCAAAATGATTTTTAGTTGGTTTGGCCTGTTTATTTTTCCAGCAGTAGAGGTGATAATATATCTAGGGTAAATTTCAACCCAGTTTAACTGTTCCCATGTGATAAGGCTCTTAGTTCATCCAATGTGATAATGTAACAACATTTGCTTTGCAGAAGATACTGATCACAAAGATGAAAAGTCAGAATTTGATGATAGGAAGGATTTCCGCAAAGAATCGCCCAATAATGATAATGCTACCTCTATGGAATATACAGAATCTTCACCAAATGATGTTTCCAAAGAAAATGCAGAAATTGGGAATGATGATATCATGATTACTTCAATGGCCGATGATGATGCCATCAAAGGCCAACTCACAAAAGAGATAAATCCCCCTGCTTCTAGAGAAGTACATGAAGAATCTAGTAAAAATGTAGACAGAACCGATGAAAGGCTTTGCTCTGCAACTGAAAGCAATACAAATCAATTTGAAAGCAACATTGCTGAAGAATCAATAAAAGTTACAGTTGAAAATGGAAAGCTGTTGGATGGTGCTTATAATAAAGAGCTTTTGGGGGAAATAGAAACAGGCCACAAATCTGATGAGGTTGTAGCTGTCTCTGCCAATGAACATGCTGTATTGGGTCCTTCCATGAAAGATATTAGCCTAAATGAGGCAACCACCTTAATTGACCCTATGGAACAAAGCCTTATTGAAGAAAACAGTGAAAGTAATTCTGCTGTTTATGCACAAGATCTTTCATATAAAGGATCTACCATAAGTGAACCTTCTAGAGTTAGACAATTACCAGATGTTAAGCTTAAGGAAACTCTGCCTATTATTCCAGTGCCATCAATAATGGTAGAAGAACTCAGGCCATTTACTGAGGAGCAGCTCAAAATGTTTTACTATAATCCTGAGTTGGAGCAGATTACGGTATTCATTGACCAATTTTTACAGGTGAGGAAAATTATTTTTATCAATATATGACCTTAGATTTTATTTAAAGGAGTTTTTGAAAAGGGTTTTGTTGTATTCTGGTATTTCATGCATCCTATAAAGAGATGTGATATGTTTTTAGACTATGTGATATGCTGTCTGTAGGTACACAAAAATCTCTCACCATGGAATTATGAGGTGGCAAACAGGGCATACCCAGATCCATTATATTGTATATAATCAATATTGTATTTGTATGATATATTATGAAATTTTTTTCTTTGCCTAATTTCCTGCATGCTGCAACTTTATGCCCTATGATTTGACCCAATTGGAGAAATTTGAACTCTTTTTCAGAATGTTGTCAAGGATACACATGAGTTTTATGATCTAGTTAACACCCATTATAAATGCCGGCTTCACTTATTGAAAATTATGGATCAAATCAAGGTATGTTATTATTTCCAAAGAGAATTTTTTTTCGAGGAAGAGTATGTTAATAGATTTCAATGCAACTTAAGATCCACACCAAATATTTTGAAACAAAACAAAATAACATTAGTAATTTTTAACACTACTTGAAATTCAAAAATTTGTCAGTTTGTATTGAATCTATGTAATTATGCAGGCCTTTTCATTTCATGTGGGCAATCTCCCTCAACATCGCCCTTGCGACAGCGGCTATTGACTGCCCTGTCAAAAACTTCTTCCTACAAGAGAAGGAAAGAGCATTTCGGAAAATGTTGGTGACAAATGTCCCTATTGTTGTTGTCACTATTCAATTCTGTTCTTCTCAATAGCAATTAACACTTTTTATAAATTTTGGCACGTAAATGCAAACATTAATGCCATCAGACCTAGTATGCAGAAAGAAAAATATTGATTATAAGTGGGAATGACAAGGACTTGAGAGTAATGGAAAGAAAGACCTGTTGATATTTGTTTGGAGAAAAATCGTAAGCATCCAAGTAAGAGACTTTGTCTTGAAGCTTCAAAAGAATCTGAAAACATAAATAATGCAGTCAGAGGAGACAAGAAAGATAAGTTTTCAGTCGAGTCAGAATCTGATTGCCATTCATACTTAGAAGAAGAAGTTAAAAAAAGTGACAACTTAAATAGTGGTTTTGATTGATTTCAAGTTTTACCTTTATGTTTTTACTGAGCTGGTGAAACTTAACATGTTTTCCCTTTGTCTGTTTTTAAAAGTCAAAGCATTATGAATTAAAAAGTCAAGATTCTAATGAAAACAACACATCATTTTTTTATTGTTGACATTATAGATCATTACATCAAATGTTTTGATTACAAGTATTGGCAGTAATCGCTCATTTAAAATGGGCAGATAATACCCAAATTCGTGGGCAGATAATACCCAAATTCTTCCCTCGGGTCCTGAAACAGTGGCAGACACCTGGAAGTGGGTGATCACCCTCTAATGTTTTGGAATACAATGTTCTTTTGTTCTTGGGAAAATGCATCATAGTTTAGAACAATAGGCTTGCCCCCTCGAATTATTTGAAAAAGTGTCTGCCACTGTCCTGAAGGACTTAATTTAACAAATATTGTTGGAAAGGCAATCATCCTCTATCATGGTCAAAATTATTAAACTCATGTTTACCTTGATGGTAAGAAGAAAGTGTTTTGAGGTATTTCATACCATAAATTTGTAACTAATGCACTTTTAGGCCACAAGATCTGGCATCGCTTCCACATGTGAAAACATTTGGATTACGAAAAAGGAAACATTAGTTTTTGAGGTTGGTACTGTGTATGTTCAAGAAGAGAAATTTGTTGTGTCGTCTTTCCTCCATGTTTATCCCCTTCTTTTCTATCCATTGACCTGTGCTGTATGTTCCTAAATGACTGGCAAAAGAAACTCCTGTGGCATCAAGGCTGCAGCCCTTTATCTAGGTTATAATTGTCACTGACTTTTTTCTTTTATTCCCATCAGGGGCGAAACTTCACTATTTTCATTAGGAGGGTATGAAGCTTAGATGCCCGACGAAAGGGCGTGGCATGCTTGATGACAGGGCGTGTCATACATGAACTTCATTTTTAGAGCACATCGCCTCAAGGGCTGGAATCATCGGGAAGCCCGAGAGAGGGACTTTAGACTCAGGCTGTTTGTTTAAAGTCAAGAAATATGCCTCTAGTTTGTCTGGTGTTGGCTATAAACATTTTCACTTTCTAAATCACATAGCTATTGAGGAAGCAATTCAAAAAAGGGGATTGAAATAGGGTCTCAATTTTATCAAAGTGGAACACCAAAACACAGCTAGGAAATTTCGGAATTTAGAAACAGCTACGCAGATTACATTGTTTCAACAAAAAAAAAAGCTTCAGTTACATTTTCTGAGTTTCATTTTCAATTTTCGGTTGCTCCGGAAGCAATTTCAACATTTTTAGACACCCAAGCACAAAGTACGTATCTTTAAATTCACCATCACAAAATCCCTCAAGCAAAGGAAAGTTTTTTATTGGAGGTATTTTACAGGTGCACCTAACATTAAAGCTCAATTTTTGTGTTTTCGTAAGCTTGTTCAGAAATAGAATAAACTCGAAAGTTTTTTGCAATTGATATCTTAACTACAATTTCTTGATAAATTTTATATTATTTTCCGCTTGAACTGATTAAAACTTTCTGTTACTTGTTACGGTTATTCGAATTTTTTTAGTTAAAATACTTTGGCGTCTGTATGACCATTTTCTAGCGAAGGGTGCAATACTTTCGAACTGTAAGTGTAACTCCTTATGAATGTATGATGAAAGTTTCATACATTTGGAAAAGAAAGTATTGATTGATTTTTCTCAACAACGTATTCCGAGGTGGTATATTCTTCATGCTTTGATTTATGATGCTTCTAAAACTGTCAGTGTTCCATGGGCTCCGAGGCAGAATGGAAAGGGGGGCGGCGGCTTGTCAAGGGAAAATTTAGAAATCACAACAAAGAATTTTGAAAAAAGCTCTCTTGGTTTGCAAAAAGTAGGGGGGGGGTATGCACAGTGTTCATTTCCTTCTCGCATCAAACACACTTTACTTTCCGTCTATACTTTCGCTGTCGATCAATACTTCAGACTTCATCTCGAGGCGAAGATAAACATGTGCGTGTCGAGCTCGAGACGAAAGCGCTGATCGGTGGACAAAAAAACAGAAATGTATATGTGTTGCTGTTCCTAGCCTCGTTTCTGTTTTGTTTTCCCAACTGGGAGGAGATTGAAAAAAGATGGGGAAAAGACCATGAATTAAAAAACCAAGCTAGGGCAAAAAGTAGCAATAAAAGTGTGACATAAAGAAAATTTCCAGATTTGCCGGACAGATACACTGGCAGCCATAAATTTTCCCGACAAAATCTGCTATTTTAATGATTGGGGGGGTGCAGCACCCCCCCATACCCCCCAGTAGTTTCGCCCCTGATTCCCATTTGCTATATAAAATTGTTTCTCATTTTGCAAATAAGCTATGTTCATAGATGGAAGTTATAAGGAATGAATTTGCTAGCCTTAGTTTTTTAAGCTATGCCTATGTTGCAGACTATAGCTCTGAATTGAATTTCACTTTGATCTGCGTTGCTTTTCTCTCTCCATTTTTGAGAGTTTTCATTAAGAAACTTTCTTTCAAGAGTCTGTTTACCTCTAATGATTCTGCTCTCATTTGTCCTTTTCTCTGAAATTCCTTTGTAGGGTTTTTGCCAAGATCGGAATCTTGTTAAGGAAACTGTTCACCATGAAATAGCTGAATTCAACGAACAAGAAGCATCAACAATTAATAGACACTTGAAAGATTTAAGAAGCTTTGTTCATGAGGCAAGCTAATTTCAAGTACCTTTCTTCTTTGAAAGATATTTTATGAAAAATTTTCACGTTTAAATAATCCACTGTTATATAAATATGCTGTTTTCAGGAAACTATCTAATTGTTAACAAGCATTTTGTCTGTAACATCAAAATATTAATTTAAGAATCCACATAATCATAGTATTTTTAGAAGAATATTGAAATTTTTTTGGCAAATAAACACATGCTATTAAATTTTATCGACTTTGTTTGATAAGAACTTTTATTCCAAGATTTTGGTTTGAATTTCAACCCATGCGAATAATCTAAGTAGTCATGATTTTAAATAAAGTGGTCGTACAGTTGTCATACAGTGGGCATATGATTCTGTAGAAGGTAAAGGAACCAGTGCCGATCAGGGAACTGGTGCAGCTATGCTGCTGTATTATCCCTGTTATAGGCTTAATTTGAAGACCAAGTTGTTGTTACAGTACAGCTTCAAACTTTGCCATCCTGCCTGCTACATTTTTCAGTATTTTTAGTTTTTTGAATGTTCAAAATAAATAATATCAGTTAACCTGATTAAAAAGTTATGGCCCCAAATTGAAGCAACTTTGATTTTCCTTGGCACTCGACTTTTAATAAGAGCATATTAATTGGTAGCTTCTGTTTCTGACTTCATGCAAGTTTGACATTTTTAAAAAAGTTCAAAATCGTTTATAGGACTTCCAGCTGTCATCTTATAACAGCCAGCTTGCAAAGATTCGCGTGGAATGCTATATACATGAAATGATTGACAGCTCCCCGTTGTTTAAGGGTATTACAACCCGGGATCAGATATCAGGTAGCCTTGTCTTATAGACCACCTGGGAGCTCGTAACGCAATGATGGAAGTTTTTTGTTCTATAGCTCGTTCAAGTCGCTCAGGCCGTACAAACCAGCGAAGAATTATGATTGATAGAGGCTGCTCTTCGATTATTTTGGTCGTGAAACTTATTTAGCATAGAGGAAAATGTAATTTAAATCTGAATGTCGTTGATTAAAAAAGGACCTCTTTTGAGCTACAGAGGAATTTACAAATCTTGATGATATGGCAAACATTGCAGTTTTTGCGGCTTTTGCCCTACTTGTGTCATGGCGTCGCGAACTCCGAGATGGTCTATTACATTTGTATGTTGCCTTGGCAATACATTTTGAATAATCATTGCCTTGGCAATGCTTCAGATCTTGTTCTGGGCAGTCACGTGACCGACTGGTTTTTTGTAGCCCTTTTCTTTTAAATGACATTTCCGTGAAGACAAAATTTTTTATGTTTCTAAGAATAATAAACGCTGTGTCATTGTATCAGTGTTCAACAATGTGTCATTACCTTTTTCATTTTAAACGTCACGAAATTATCAGACTCTTAGCATTTTTGACTAATTTACTTACATACTAACTTTTGAAATACGTTATTCAGTATTATTAAGCTACAAGAAAAGTAAAAGTAAGTAAATTTAGATGAGTCATCACAATAAATTTAGATGTGGTACAGAGTCATCACGAGGAGCTACCTACTTTTATTTACAAATTTCAAAAGGAACATCGGTTTAATCGTCCTGTCGTTCACGCATCGTTTCCGCAACTCGAAAAGGACATCAACGAAACTGTTGTTTCCGCAACCTGTCAATCACGGTAAAGATAGATCGTTTATCTAAACGCTGAAAATTTCCAGGCTATGGTCATTGGGTATATTTTTCGTAGATTATGTAACAATCATCATTTATTTTCACACAGAAACTTAACTTGCTATCATTGTTAACCTCTAGCTGTTGTGTGTTGACGTTTCTTATTTCAAATGATTATTCAGTGTTGTTATGTTTATTCCCCTTTTATTGAATGAGATTTTCAATCTTGTCTTCGTAGCGGCATTGCCAGGACGCCTTCATAAGGACGATCTTGAAAGGTTGTGTGACCTCCAGGATGCAATCACCATACTTTTCTCATTCAAAAGGCTAGGTGCAGTTGAAGAAGAATTTTGCAAAGATGTTGATACATGGCTTGTACGCCTTGTACGTATCTTTCTAAGAAAATGTTTGTTAACATTCCACTTTCAAGCACCTTAGGCAGCAAAATTTTGACTACGCAAGGCTATCTTAGATTATGTGAATGCTGCAGTCAATAAAATCTCTCTACTCGGTTTATTTTTTCTATTGTCTCATGGCCGCATTTATGTGGTACTAAGGCAGTGGTGCAATGCAGTTTAGGGCACCTTAATTAGATAACTAAGGGGCCTCGTTCAAAAGGGCCCCCGTGATATCCATGTTTTTGAGACTTCGCTGAAGTTCAATTTTTTTCCAAAAGCTCTAAAAGCTATTTAACTGATGCATGTAACTCAGCCTTCCATAGTTAACGAGAAAGGTATCATTTCTACACCTTGCTATCGTGCTATCGTGTTATCATGTTCTTCTTGCTCTACAAGGCCCCAAGGGTTCCCGTAACATACTTTATAATTCACGAACGATTTTTGGCGAACTTCTGTAAAACTGAGGGTGATGAATTGAAAAAAGTTTATGTGTTAGGATATTTTTACAAATTAGAATTGCCTGAATTCACTTGCACACTAAAAAGCATCTTGCATGAAACAAATAAAATTCACAGAAATCTTTTTGAAAATCTTCTCCTTAAAAGTATGTAAACGCTGGTACTCTATAAAATTGTTTTTTATTTTAGATTTCAACCCTTCAAAGGGCGGGGGCGCTTCCTGACCATTTCTTCATCCTCAATCATGTTATTCGATGCCCTCCTGGCTCAATTGTATCAATTGCCAGCTTCATCCAGTTCCCAGATTTCCAGTCAATCGTCACGAACGAAGTTTGGAACTCGCCACTTGTCCATCATTTTGTTGTCATGTTGGCAACCGTAGCACTTCCTATCAAGTATGTCAATTGTTTGCCTGAAAATCATTTTATTATTTTGTTGCAAATTCAACACCCCCTGTAATGCATTTCTTGATAACCGGAGAACCAAGTAATCAGGCTTAATCTGCAGGAAATTGTCAAATAAAAGCCTTGCACCTCTTGCCAAGCTGCACACGCTCCGATCATCTTTTGCTCTTTTTAATTTTATCCATTTTTGATTTAAAGATACCTCGCCGATTGGCCAAAAACAAGAAACCAATCAAACACGCCATTATTTCTCTCTCGTAACTCTCAACCCGCATCTGGATATAAATTTTCTACCAACCTTTCGTTTGTTACCCAATGTTTATACTCTTTGTACTTTGGAACCCTATGTTTCCGCGCCATCTTGAAATTTTTTGGTTCCATAGGATTTTTTGAATATGTTTTCTTTTTTAATATATTAATTCATATTCTACTCAGAATCAGCTTGGGGGAAATTCCTGCAGGTTTTCATCTGAAATTTTTCTAACACTATAAAGATTCTTCAATTTTCCATTCAAATCCTGCATGAAATCCTTGACCAGAACCACTACTGTAATTGATTCATATGATCACCTAAACTTACTATCAAATATATCACCCAACAAGGTGCGCTTGCCTGGTAAGATGTATCAGTAAGAGTAGAATTCCTAATACCAGAATAATTCCGTAATTCACAAGTGTTTTAAACATCTCTTTCAGAGAAAGGTCTAGTTTTCTTATGAAGTACAAGCATTTAATGAAGCCCACAACAATGAGAAGTATGAGCTGGACACTAGTAGATGAAGACAGGGAGGAGGTGGGTTTCTAAACCAGTTATAACGTCTTTGTTTATTCTGCCATTCGTTAAACCAGCCACACACTAACTCTCATTTACGGTCTATTGTAGTACATCGTAATTTTTTCTTTTCGTTGCCTTTAAGTATTCCAGTATTCTTTACTTTTATTTACATGCTTGTTCAATTTTCCAATTTTCGTCTTTTACCATTTTTTTAATTCTTTCTCCAGCTTTTCCCGGGATTTTGAAATTTATGTTGTTACGCTTTTTTATTGCTAAATTGCATACAAGATGAAATTTAATTTTGGCCATTGACACTGAGCTTTTGGATGATTTGTGGTCCATCTGGGGATAGATTTTGGGTTATACTTAGTTTATAGACAAAAGACTTCTTGTTACGATAAAACAGGAGCGATGATTTTCTAGTCTTGTACTTAGGTTTTAGCCTTCTTCATTGGAGGCATTTGTAGCACTAAACCAACTTGACTTCAGTAAAAACGATCTTAAGATGCGAGTTCTACTTTACTATAAATATGCGAACTTCCTATTATCAGTCGAAATTTTTATTAACCAAGTTTCTTTTCCCTCCTTTATGAAACTTATGATTGTTAGATGATTCCAAGTGTCAAAATCATTCTATCAAAAGAAAGCCACATGTTCCTTTTGTTTTTAATCTTTAAAGCTAAATAATATTTTGTGATGTTGTTTATTTTATATCTGGGTAAACTATTTTTGCATATCTCGTTTTCTTTGTTTGTGTCAAGGAAATATATTTTCTCTTGTTTGTATTTTTTATCTCCATTCGCCCTATTTTTTACCTGTGATTTTATTATAGTTGAGTTATAATGTAGTCTTATGATCTTTTTAGGATGAGAACCCTGAAGACACGTGGCACATGCTATTGGAAAACGATCTTGTCGCGATATTTGAGCAGTTTCCATTCGAGAATCTTTTCCACTACTTACTTAGAATGGAAACAGGGCATGGTGCGTTTTTACTGAGTCTCTTTTGAATTCACCGATTTCTTATCCCTTTTTCACTGCTTTTTCTGCTTCTGTTGCAACTTTTTATCGCTAAATGTCATATAATCAATCTACATACGTTGCTTTTATTAAAAACATTTCACAGCAACCTTAGGGCAACAAAACCGGGGCAAATATTGGTAACACAATCAGAAGTATATTCAACATTTTTTTAGAGATTTTAACTTTTGGCTCGAAATTCAACTGTTTTTTAGATAATTGTATATCAGAGTCCCTTGAACAAGCTATTTGACTTTCAGTGCAATTCATGTCTTTATAGGTTGTCATAATTCTTTGAACAACATCATGTTTTGGTATCCGGCAGTTTATGCCGTTCAGAATTAGAATTACTACTCGCTGTTAAAGGCACTACGTCCCAACGAATCTCGCTGGCCCTCTCACTTTCCTATTGGCTGAACTATACAATAGATTTATTGTTCAGTATCCAATTCTCAATGTTTTCTCGATCATAAACGCGCTCCAAAGCCTATTGTTATCTCTGAACGATTAATGCACGGGAAATAGTGACTTTAAGCTCGCTTTTGATTAAAACTGCATCGTATTTCATTTCTTATCGAGTGAAAATTTAAAATGTGTTATTTTTTATTTTTTTCTGCTAGATGAAATAGGATATTCTGTAACGAACTCAACCAGTAATGACATTGTACACCTGTTGTCTTTTACGTCTTGCATCGTAAAACTGCTCGGAAAACTCTTTGACACGTACAATATGCTGAGGTACCGCCAATTCGTTAAGAGGATCAGCAGAATGATCAGGTATGTGTGTCGTGTATCATGTTCCTTTGTTAAAATTCGGGTCTGGTTTGTAAATTGCCATACACATTCTTTTGACAAGAATATTGTGGCTGAAAATTCAATTTCCCGTTTGACCACTTTATTTCTCTACGTTTTTTGAACAAACAAGACAAGCGTGACTTCCCCGTTAATTGTCTAAGATTTCTAAGCATACTAAAAAGATTTGAACTTCTTTCTCTGTCCTTCCTATATTTGCAAGTTTTATCCCTTAGGAATGATTTAATGATAATTTTTGAGTCAAATTAAATATTTTTAAGAATACTCAGGTGAGGTGAGGCAAAACTGAAGTTATACTTGTAAAAACTGAGGGTATATATGTTTACTTTTTTGTACTTTGTACTTTAACGGAACAGCGTCTAAAAGGTGAATAATTTCTCACATTTTACCACACTTTTCAAGATGTCATTATGTTCAAGTTCCCAATTTCAGAGATAGCAAAAATCTCAGCTTCAATTTTGAACAGATTTTACTCTTGCCTCTTAAACCTGCTTAAGCGTTTAACAGGCAATGACTTAGTGTTCACATTACACACGAATAATGTTCACGATCACTTAATTTGGAACGCTCTATCGAAATTCGTTTCAAATAAACCTATTTTAAAGTTTGTCTAATTTTCAAGTACGCATTGATTGTTTGAGCGTTGAACTGAAAATATTTTGGGCTGATTTTAAATCGGGTCTTCACCTATTCTATATTTAAGGTGGATCGTTCAAATCGTATCTGACCACTGGTGTGCGTATCGAAGCTGGAGAATGGAAATATGCGGCGATTCAGACAAAGATATTCCGAAGTTTTTGACGGTTGTGCCACAGTTTAGTCTTGAAAGGCTTCAGTTGGAATTTGATCAGTTTTTTGGTAAAGCTTCGGAGCAGATACTCAACTCGCAGAGGTACATGAATGTGCTCTAACATTGGTTTTTTATTTTGCCTATGAAGACTAGATATTTTTACGGTAGTGTCTTGAGCCGTGATTGGTTCTTGGGGGTGATTTCACGTGCCAAGTTCCTAACAAGAACTCCTAAGAGGCTTTCTTATTTTCGAAGATAAAGAGAAAGAGAGAGAAAGGAAGGGAGGGGGTAGCATTGGAGAATTCTTGGTTGGTCTTGGTCTTTTATACAGAAAGGAGTCAAAGAAAAATCTTTAAACTGCCTTTTGCTGTTTGTTTTCTACAACGAATGGTTAATGCTTGTAAACGGTGTCGAATTTGATGACATCGTCTCTGAAGAGTCTTCGTACTACCTTTAGCAGAAGAATTTCTAAAAATGCAAGTTGTGTCGAGTACTTTAAGTTGGCACCGAGCTAGTAGACTTGGTCACTGAATCTTTTCCAGAAAGTTTTTTACGCGTGACCCTTGTCTCCTTAAAGCAAAGGTTTTTTATTTGCTTATGATTCTAACCCAATGATATATAGGTGACATATCACTGTTTTGCCTCGTTTATATCTTTTGGTCTCCAAAAAGCCAGGCTCTTAGCTCGGCAACTCATTTTCGTACCAGAGCTCTTTTTCTAAACAACCATTCTACTAAATGCTGTTTCATAACTTAGCAGAATGGTATTCTACTATGTCTAGAGCTTGCAGTATAATTTGCATTATGGGAAACAATATAGATCCAAAACAGCTGAGGAGGGGCAACTAATATGTGTGAAACTGGACAATAAGTTAAAATCTGGAATAAGTTTACGTAGTTAACTGTAATATCTGATTTCTCCAATATTTTTATTTTCTTTCCTTCCATATTTTTGTGATCATCAAATTTATATTTTGCAAGCGAGCATTTTCTCGTGTTTGGTTAAGTTGAGATTTATTTGAGCCTGATGTCAGGGAATGGTGTTGCTGTTATGAAATTTTGCACAAAGAAATTTATTTGTTTTTAAAGTCAATTTCCAACAAACTGTGACACGTAAAACTGGTTGCTGCTTAGTGGCACATCCGCGATGCATTTTATATGTGAGCGTCTTCCCCCAATTTACAATTAATCTATTTGAATTAACTTCATAATGTAAGACGAACTTGAAATCGTTTTAGCACCAGTGCTTTGCAGTTCTTGGCAGCGATGCCTTACGAGGCAATATCTACTAACGCTGCGTGGTCGCTGTTGAACAGGCTTGTACGCACACCTGTCAATCAAAATAGCCAAAACACAACGTATTCTTCTGAGTTCCTGAGAAACGCATCGAATGCGTCTGGAGAAATGGTGTTTTTCATCACATCTTTGTCCTTTATGGCCATATCGCGTTCTACAGATGACCAGGAATTTATTGAATGTGCAGCGAAATGCATTGTTGAGGTAATTTAACTATTCATCGCTTCATAATTCAATCATCCTCTTTGAACCTGTAAATTTTTCAGTTACAAATTGCAAAAGACTGCACACAATTAAACAACAGAAATGTTATGTTGATACCACGAAAAAACATTAAATTTGAATAAAACTTTGCTAAAACACAAATTTCATTAGCAATACGATTACACATGGTACTACAAGAGAGATAAACAATTACGTCTCTTCTGCAGCCATTATGTATTAAAACGGGCAAAATCAAACGGTAATACCTTTTTCTGAATGCTGATGTTATTCTCTTTTGCATCAATAGTGTAGAAAATCTGTGAGTTATCTCAATGTTGTTGCCATTGGTGGGTAAAATGAGAACGGGGACAATATCCAAATTTATTGGAAGATAAAACGGTTGTTATCATAAAGCTATTTATATGCCACACCCATTTACATAAAAACCAAATACATCCTGCCTATACCCCTAATTTCACGTCGGGTTTGCAGGGGCTAAAACGCTTTTGAGGTCTTATTTTCTTTTCTTGTAGCACCATTTTCTGAATTGCCCACCCTAGAAGAAAATTGACCGAACAAATCCTTTTGCGAAGCTCTTTTAAAAATGGCATTGAAAAAAGTAAACATTTGAAACATACTTAAGCTTTTCGTCTGACACTCTTTAGAGTATAAAAAGTCAGGGCATAGGTCGAAAACTCTACGCTAGGAAATATATATACCCAGTTCTGGATCGAGGTTTTCGAGTTTTAAATCTATGTTCTGAAGTTTTATACTCTGAAGAGACAAAAGGCCTACCTATGTTTTAAAATGTTTGCTTTTCCCAAGCAATTTTCAATTTCTAATCAAATGTTGTTCTTTAATACCACTGTATTGCATCTTCTTGCATTGGATTTAATCACACGAACTCCTATTTTGTGAGAAGTGGCCACTTCTCAACGTTTGACTCCACTCAATTTACAATGCTGCCAATGAAGAGCCTTACGTTTATCATATGTCCTGTCTCAGCCTTACCTCGTTGTAACAAAAGACACTGAAAGGTAGTCTTTCCTTACAACCTCATTTCCTCACAATAATGCTTTAAATCTGCGATCTCTTCTGCAGTTTTTGAAATTGCAGTACTCTTTTGAATCACATTACTTCAAACCAATTTTTTGCTTGTCATTTAGATCACTTATAGTGACGAAAAAATTAGAGATTTCAACGAGCGGGATTGCCGCGACTCGTTGGCAGCGATTTCATCTGCGCACCCTTTCGTCATGTCATCATTACTACATGATATCGGACAGCTAATGGAAAAGCTTCAAATGGTGTGTTCCATAACTTTATTTATTGGTGAAAACATCTTTATTTTAATCAAATTTCGTGTTGCAGTTGTATGCAGTTCAAACGTTTTTGTGCTTTTGTGCTTTCCATTTTTCCCACTAGCCTCTCTTTTTAGCATGGACAAAATTCTTCTTAATAAATGCATACAATTACGCATTTTTATTTAAACTTTTTTTTCTGATTAAGTTTTTTCTAGCTTGATTTGTATGTCTATGCTTCTGGTCTCGATAAGTAGCCCAGTAGTTCGTTAACTCCCATTTCCAAGAAACTGGCAGCAGAAATTGAGAATTGTTTTATTTTCAGAGCTGTGTATACCTTTTGAAAGCATTGCCATTTGACGTTTGGATCCCAAGAGTGCCCGATCTGGAGCTGCTTAGATCGTGGTTATTAGAGCACCCTCTTGATTCTATCAAAAGTAAAATGGCAAGGGCTGTTTTTTCAAAAATCAACTTTGACGTTAACCAGGTATTAACATACCATCCTTCCTTAAGATTCAATATACTTTTTAACCATGAAGTACTTCTGTCAATTATGATATGATAAAATATATGATTATGTTATACAGTAGACTCCGGTTATAGTCCCATCAAATGTTGCTTGAGAAATTTTGACTGTAAACGGATTGTGACTGTAAACGGAGCTTACTTGAATAGTTTTGCATATTTGGGCCTAACTGTAACCAGTATAATGACTTTAAGCCAAGTGACTATAAGAGGAGTCGACTGTATTATTTTCATTTTATGATTTCCTTCAATAAAATATACCTTGATATGTCTTTAAATTGAATGGATCTTGGAATGTATTATGAGAACCAGAAGCTCTTGTAGTGTAAGGTCTCTAGTGCTCTAGAAATATGGGCCCTTGCATAGCTTTTTCTTCAAATCTGCTAAAATCGTAATTTCTAACTCTTGTAGACATTTCAAAAACTGTTTTTAATGTTAATTTGGTTCTTTAAATATATTTTGATTGTCGTATCCCAAGACTGATAGGCTCTTCTTTCTTGATCTGTTGACATTAAGAGATTTGTCTGCTTCTCTCAAGGAAAGCGGTGGCTTGTTTCTACCACAGAAGTACCACTTTTCGGTGGCTGTTATGCTAGTCGAAGTCTTTGGCTCGTGTGTTCAAGACGGCCCCGGTGGACTTAAGACTTTGGAGTATCAAAACAATGACTTAATAAGTCAGGTTGGTTGATTTTGATTCATCTATCTTGTCATTCTGAGACTTTATTCATGCTAGAGTTTTCCCAGGCTTCTAGCAGAAGTTTCACTTTGCTATTCACACATAACCGTAACCATAATTGTACCGATTAAGATGTTACCTTAATCGTTTTGATAGCAAGCCTAATTCAGTGTTGTTGAAATAATCCTTTTAATCTACGAGTGTTCTTTGAGACAGCTTCCATTTATGTTTGTAGGTCAGTGCATTAGCCTGCCAATCAATCAACAAGATTCTATACTCTAAAGTACAAGATGAATTCCTGAAATGGTGCTGGGATGTTCTACTGTCACTGAAACTGCATTCATTTGATTTTGATGCTGATGAGAACGATGATCAGGACCGCCATGTTTTGCTGGCTCTCGATGAAAACAGGCCTAATGGTAAGGCGTCACAAGAATATAATTCTTAGTTTTGAAAAGGGCATTTTGCGCCTTTTGTTCTGACAAGTATCTCCTTTTATCAAAGAAGGTTTGTCTCTTTGTTCATTAGCTGTCCCGAATTAACATTCCCTTGTGGTTAAGGTTGCTTGAATGTTTTTTGACATAAACTTAATGAACAAATAGTTTTTGAATTGGGGTAAATCAATATCAGCATTTATAAAGGTTTTCTTAATCTATGAAGTTTTAATTTTGATTTGTTTGTTATCCAATAGACAGTGGATCTTGGTTCGGCAATGCACTGTCGTGTTTTACCAAATTTGATCCTGCAAATACAGATCTAGAGCATTGCCCGGTCTTTTTGAATGTGCAGAGAGCACTGGATACCAACGGCTTGCTTGCTAGCTATGTAGCTTTTTCGATGACCTCCCTTGGACACAGGTCAGCTGTTTTGTTATTTACATTAATTAATTATTTCTATTACTTCTACTGATAAGCTATCAGTCTGCTATCTTGAACTAAAATTTATAATAGAAGGTAACGAGAATATGCATAATTTCAAATTATTGGTGACCTTTATAACTGAATGGCTATTACCAACAAGTCAAATAGATATTTAAAGTTAAATACCAGTGAAATACGAAAAAAAGTTTTAATAAACTATAAAAAACATACATCTTCCCTTAACTCACTTCATACTATATACCTACATCGTCTTGATTTGTTGAGAGCCTGTCAAAATTAAATTGCAGCCCTGAAAGATTCGTGGAGCAAGGAGTGAAGCTAATGACAAGAATTCTTGAGTCCGGTTGGGTAGATGCCACTCTCCGGATTCTGAGCAATGTAGTACCGCTCTTTCTGAAGTGTCCGGATATGATCCTGTCTTGTCATGAGTAAGCAACCATTACGCAGTTTTCAATGCAGACTTTTTCCCTTTTGAGATACCACATTTTAACATGATTTCTCCTAATTAGTGGTGGATTGAGAGTGTGCTATTAGAAGCGGGGATGCAATTTATCCTCCTCAATCTCTAAAAATGGTTTGGCGTGCCTGATTTTTCAAAAACTGCTCTACATTTTAAGCACAGGGAATTATAGGCCCCAATTGACTACCCCCTGTCTTTTAGGTTTGTTTTTTTTCTGTTTTCGCTCCAGCTTTTATTGTCCATACTCTGTGCAGATGTCTTATAAGAAGAATAATGACTGATGTCAATTTAAACGATGAGATTAAAAAAGGCTTTGTTTTGACCAGTAATTCCTATTTGCTCCTAGTTTCTCGCAAATTTTGGATACGCTGGTTCATTTAGATGCCAATAAAGCTGGTTACACAGAGAAACTATGGCAATACCCTGAGCCAGGCCTTCATAGTCAGATGCTTGCTTCAATCATCACCGTATGTACCCCTTTCAATAACTCTCTCTAATATACACTGTCGCTTTCTCTTGTCTGGCTTTTTACTCCCATACTCCCAGTAATTCATTGGTTCTCGAACTTCATGTGTTACGCTTTTCTCGATTTTAGTTCATATTTAGTCCAACTTCAGCTTTGCAAGTCTAAACGCATTCTAAGTAATTGTTTTCTAATATTTTTGTATCACTTTCGCATTACTGTGGCTATGTTTATTCAGTGTCAATTTAGAAAACAGGTTTGCTCGTCTTTTAAGCTATTTCCCTGCAGCTTACTTTTCGTTCTCTTTCTAAGAAGCCAAATCTTCATGCTGAAAGTTTTGCACCCTTATTGAAGACGCTGGTTGAATGATTTGGGTCCTGCTGCTAAAAATCTGAATTCATATTTATAAAACACTAAGCTTAAAGCAGCATTCCAGTACTTTTGCAAATCAATTGTTGACACAACATCTTAAGTTTACTTATTGTTGTTCTTGTATACTAAAATCATACCAGACAATTTCCAGTTTGAGAAATTATTGTTTGAACCGCAGAACCATGTCGTTGTTATGTCAAAAAAGTCTGCAGAAACATGCCAATCGATGATAACTTTATGGTTTTTATTACTGAGCCAAACACAAAACTGGCAAAGGTAACTATTATTCTTTTATCTGTTATCATAACAGTATACGAAGTACAAACCATATCCTGCTTGTATTTATTCACTCTCTGTGAGACAGTTTAGGTATCGTGACCTTAGCTTCTTTATATATGTCATGGTGAATTGCAGCCTAAAAATTCCTTATAAGACACCCTTTTGTAAGAACTCCCTTGACTCTTTTGATCAATCAGTTCAGTAACCTTTCTTTACTTCCTGAAACTTGGATCTTTTGGCTAAAGCCTGGTTTCCATATAACTTTTATGCGTCGGCGACGCATCAGCGACACTCTTAACCCAGGCCTTCTAGGGAGCCTTTTCACAAGAAACCGCGCCTAATGACTGGGCGTGGTGATTGATAATGGTTTTTACTGGTTAGTGAGGATCATTTGTTAGTATGCATCCTTTTGTTTATTTGAAAGAAACGGTTTTCCTTGCGTTTGTCAGATTTTGCTCTTCTTCTTTAAGGTTTTCTGCATATAATTTAAATAATTTAAGAACGTTAACCTGTGATAGAGAAATTCATTGATAAATTCTTGTTGTCTGTGAAAGCTTTCAATTTTGTTATTCTCCTATGCTGAGTCCCGTTCATTATTACCCGATGAGCTTTTTCGTTTTGAGAATCACTATGCTACAAAACTTTTCCCACTAAACTCACACCTATAGCTAAGTGTACTCTTGGTATTGAATAAAGTCTGGATAAAGTCTTCTTGTTTCAAATTTCACCAAAATGTCAACGTTCATTCATAGACAATCGTGGCAAAGACTAGTTTTGAATCTATTACTTTGATGATATTTTTTAGGGATTACAGTGTACAAAATTTGCTGGATCATCTCTGCAAAGTTACCCAAATGATATTTTCACATATGTATATCATCGTCCTTCTTCTTCTGGATAAATTTCAGGTCAGCTCACTTTCAATTAAAGAATCAGAATTTTTTTTTTGTCTAATCTAAAAACTAATAAATTTTATTCAATCGAGGTAACATACAGATAAAATTGTCAGTCAAAGTTTCAAAATTGATTCTTTGTATGACAGATAATTCTTCAAAACTTTTAATTTATTTAGGTTAGCAATGACGGCTCATAAGGAACTAGGTGCATGCTTATTGGAAGTATCGATGATGTAGTTTGCAAACTATTTTGTCTCTGTTTACTGTCATCAGATATGGAAATAAGCCCTTTTATTATGCTGCATCAATTGTTCAGGTCTATAAACTTCTTGTGTTGTATACAGAAATTTTGGTTTTTAGGCCTTGGTTAAGGCGCAGTCGAATCGTGGCCTTCTCTCGTCAATGATGTCGTGGATATCGCCAAACGCACCCATCACTCTTTTGGACATAAAAGTGATACAGCCTTTCTTCATTTTTAGATATTTTTCTCTCTGAAATCTGAATGAAATTTGACAGTTTTGACCTTCTAAGTAAAAGCTTTTTGAAAAAAATTATCTGTAGGCCGATATATGTTCTCTGAAAACTGTTTGATTTAAATTGTAACCGAGTTTTGTGAGCAGGGTAAAAACACCATCTATCTGTTGCATAGACCACTGTATTATTGAATGCAAGGGCTCATTATTCGTCAGGCCTGTTTTTCTGTTTAAGGCAAAATCTTGATTAACCGAAGCTTGTGGCGAAGTCCTGATTAATTGGAAGGATTGTTTGCATGTTTCGTTGAGACGAAAAGACCAAAATATTTTCCTATTAAAAGGCAAAAAGGAAATCAACTCACTTTGTTTGCAAAGTTGAATGTTAAAATCTTTATGAACATTATAGATCATTTCCAGTTTGACAGTGTCATTCTTGTCTATTACATATGACCAGCATAGAAATGCTGGTTAACTACCCGTCAGACCAGCATAGGAAAGTCGATCGAAAAAAATTCTGACAGAGAAAGAACTTTTTCGAATTTTCTTCAGAAGTAGAAGTATGCTGTTGAAGCTTCGATTAACCAGGAGGTTTCTTGTTTATCATCGAATCAGGAATAACACCATGATTTTATTTGATTGCTTAGAGCAGCCAAATTTTTTGGATAATCAAATATTTCCATCGCACTCTAGATATCTGGGTACCTCATATCAAGTTCTTTGCTTTAGAAAGTAGTGATCTTCCAAAAGAAAAAATGGAAAGGCTCCCTGCGTTTGAATTTCTAAACAAATGTTTTTGCAAAGCTCTCTCAATACGAAATGATTCTAGAGATAAAGCTTCGGAATACCTATGACAATGTTTGTCGCGAGAAAGGTTTCCTTTGGGTGATTTTATTCCCCTATCAGAATTATTTTGAAAATACTGATGTCTATCAAATACGAGGATTATTTAGTCATCGAAATGTGTTAAAAGTTATCGAAATATTGTCTTTAGGTCTGCAGGATACTTACGCAAGCGATTTCTTTTTATAGAGTCAGCCTGACTACAGTTATTACGCCTTTGCTGTTTTACAAATGGAACAGATGTATGAAAGCAAAATTGGTATTATGAAAGAATTGGCTGTGAAAATGGTATTGGACAGTAACCTGCAAGTCGATATAGCATACAAGGTATTTTTTATCTTTCTATGTCTTCTTCTATAATATTTTGATATTCTTCTTCTTCTATATTACATCTTAATAGACAAATGCACATCAGTTTTCTTCTATGTTAGTCTTTAATATGATGAAATTTAAAGGCTCGGTAACTTTTCGTTTTTGTATGCTTTGGGATTCTGATTTAATGGAACCCTTGTGTGCTACCATTTACGACTTGAGTTTACGACTTGAGTTTACGACTTTCGATAATCATAAATCGTAACTGATCATCAACGGTTTTGTTAGCCAGCCAGAAGCAAACCTTCGAACCAAGTATGATGAATTATAGGTCGCTGAGTTCTTTACGACTCTTGCAATTGATGTGAAAAGTCTCTTGAAGAAAGGATCCACTGAGACCGTTTTCAATCATAAGTATACCAGGGTGCGTGTCGTGGTTTTGTTTCTCCGCCACCCAGTTATTGATTTATTGATTTTCGAAAACCTTCAGCTCCCTAGCATGATGTCTAGTTCTATATTTATTCTTCTTCTGTAGAAAGCAGCTCCGCATTTAACTGCCTCTTACTTACCACCGCTGCAAAATCTGACAATTTACCGATGGGCTGATCAGGGGATGGCAACAGACTGTAATCATCCGTTGCTGCCAATCATTTGGCAACAGTTCTTCTTACTGTTTTTACAAAAGCAGAACACCGCCGATGGGTGAGAATGTCTTGTATATCACCTTTATTGTTTTTTTATGAACAGAAACCATACATCGCTAGCTCATCTGTATCTTTTAAGGGTGTTTTTATTCAAAACATATACCTGTTGTTGACAAGCTGCAATGTCTGCCAAAAGTGTTGGAACAACCCTCGTCAGCTTTTATACTCAATAAGTTTATATGTTTAGTATATGTTTAAAAACATTGAACCTTAACATTGTTTGAAGATGAAAATTTCACGAAAGAAGATAAGGTATTTAGTAGTAGGTAGGAAGACCTTGTAAATTCTTGTTCTAATTACACACATCCAGGTTACCAAGCCGCCTTGGTATTGGTGATCGGTTTTTTGAAAATGACCCCTACTCGTCAATGGTCAAGAAAATGCGTGCCCATTTGTACAAGATAGCAAGCCATCACAAAGAAAAGAGCACTAAAGAGGTTGGTGACGAGGATGGAGGGAATACGTCATCAGATATAAAATCTCACATTCATGATGAAACAATGCATGCGTCTCTTTCAAGGTATGCCCGTTCTTGCTGTTTTAATTCCCGTTTTTAAAAGGACTGTTATTGGCTTGGATCCTGCCTTGAATAACAATAAAACCCTGCAACCATGGTTCTGTTTCAAAGTTTGGCAAAAAATGTTATTAAGATACATCAAAGATCGTATAGCTTCGAGTAGGGCAGTGGGGGTTAAGGTCAATGTCACTCCCAGATTCACTGTTTGGTCTTTGTAAACATTGCTTCTAAGCTGATAAGCAGTTATCGACGATAATAAGGGTTATGTTACTTTCGCCTGATTTGAATTTTTATCATACACAGCATTAGCCTAGACCAAAACCACATAGTTTTAAGTATTTAGAGAGATTTTGTTATTTTTCTAATAGTATAGCTTTAATTCAAGAAATAAGATGTTTCGTAGTTTTTGTAACGCCATGCAGCTTTGTTAATCGTTTATAGACACTGAAATTTTTTCCGGTCCATCTTGTTTCCGAAAAAATTATATTTAACTAATTTGACCATCATTATTTCGATGCATTGCACAATTTCAAGACACTTTTTCTTCACGTATTATGAACCAAATCATGAACACGTATTATAGATATATTTCAATCATTATTGCCAACAATTTTTATTACCGCGATTTCTCTTTCACCAGTTTGTACCAAGCAATGGCCCTGTGGCTTGAAGAACCTCGCCTTCATGACCCGGACCTTTTTCTTAATGCTTTACCGGAAATATACAAACCTGGCGAATTAGAAAAAATATTTCAAGGTGACGACGTAAGTCTGAGCTTGTCAATTTGTTCTTTAAAGGTGGTTAACTGAAATTCTGAGTTTTCTATGCACAGATACAACTGTAAGCATTTTATCAAATGACTATAAATTTAAGCCGAGTTTCTAAATTCTGGTATTGCGTTTAGTGTGAAGAACAAGGACGGTCTTAGGTCCGAATTTCATGGAGTTGCAACTTCACTTCATTTCACTAGCCGTTCACTTCTCCACCTGCATCAAAAATAGTGTACAGCTCTATCTATATGGCAACCAACAGAACATAACCGACAGATCAACAGTTTTAAAATTTATGGTATAGATACAGTCTGATTTTTAGGATGTAAATTATGGAATACTATATCCAACGAATGGAAAAACTCTCGAACTATAAATTAATTCAAAAGAAAGATAAAGGAATTGGATGGACGCACATGCAATTTCAGGATTTATAAATCTTATGTAGCAAATATTGGTGTTGTTGATGTCAGATCACTTTGTCAGTTTAATTTTCTTGTGATATATATCAAAATGAGATTTATTAATCTTTGTATCAAGTTTGTTTACTTTATATTTTGCCTCTCGTTTTCTTTGTTTTTAATGCTATCTGTTTTTCAGTATGACATTCATTTGTTATCGACTTTAGAGCTTATGGTTGCACTTTGTTGATAAAAGATGCATTGAGACAGAAGTGGGTTCTGTTCTCTCCATGTGGACAATGACATTGAATAAGTCGGGCAAAGCAAAACCGTCGGCCAGGAGTCTCGAAGAAACTCGGCAACAGCGACCGACTGGCAAGTGTTTGCTTCTTCGTCTTGGTACAATGCCTGCCAAGAGTACTTGGAACACTCAGCAATTTACGCTGCATTTGATATCTTTCATCCCTTTCATGAAGAAAAAATTACTACTTCCGCCCCCTTCCCCCTAAAACAATGTTGATAACTTAGAGAAATATCATAAATAAAGCGCAAAGGAAAGTGCTTTCTAAAATCCTAACCTGTTTGATAGTAAACCAACATTGTTCTGTAGGGGAGAGGGGGATGATTGATTTTGGCTTTGGAAATTGACGTCAGTGTTCCAAGACTTTTGGCAGGCATTGTACCTTTGTTTCTCCCAAATTCTTTTGTTCAGAATATCTAACATTTGCACTGGGTGCACCCATACTCCAACAAAGTACCTGCCACTTCTTGATAGAATTTCCATATCTTTCATTCATTTTAATGTTTCCATATTTCTACAGGGTTTAATCCAGATGCTGTACAATCAAGGCCTTCGCTATAGGAAGAGTAAGGAGTGAAACACCCCTCTTAAATCCGTTGCGAAAACGATGAGTTTTTTTGCTTCTAGGGGTGCTTATTCTGCTAGTTCTCAAACTTTTTGGCAAATAAGGGGTGGCTCACCCACTTTGTCGGCAAATGAGACCTGGAAACCCCCCTTTAAGTAGTAACGCTAGCAACGGGCCTGTCTACAATTGGCCCTGTTACAGCAACAAGCTCGATATATTAATCTATAAAGAGATATGATACTTTTTTACAATATTTCTAGAGCAAAAGGACAGGATCACGTGTGAAAATTTAAGCAATTTTGAAATAAGCGGTACAAAGAACTTATTTGGCTATTTCAAGCATTGATAATATAAATTTCATGATCAACACCCATCAAAGATGTGTATTACTCTGTCATTACAGCTAGTCAACGGATCATTAAAAGACTGAATCGAGAAAATAAGCCACAACCACCCTGTTCCATTGAGGCAACTACCTCTCCGATTCAAGATGTTCCAATGCAGCTGCTTCTTACTCGGCCTAGACTCATTCAGGACTTGAACGACGATTTGGAGAGAGTCTTGCTATTTGCCAAGCGAATGTGCATTAAACTTGACGAACACATTGCTTTGGATGAGGAATACTCCGAAGTGCTCTCTGATCTTTATGATAATATGCTGGTACAAGAGATTTTGCGCCTACCCTGTGATGGTAAAAAACGACCGTGTGCTGGACCAGCCAAAGTAGTAGCTCGGGTATTTTGACAATTCTTCACTGATCTTCTTCCTAGCAGGGTTGGCAACCTTCCTAAGAGTATCATATATGCACATTTGATGTTTTTATTGATCTTGTTACTAACAGAATAGCCTGTTGATTGCATCAAGCGTGAAACTCAGTTGCACCGCGCTGTTCTGTACACCAGTTTTAGATTCATTCATAAGAATTGTTTTGGTTTCTTTTTGATAGTAGCAATTGTATTTGATGATTTTAAACATTGCTTTCATTAACAGCTCCAAGGTTTTATGTAGGTCTTAATGAATTATTAGGCATTGGCTACACAACAATTTTAACGAACCCCCGCAGCGTCATATTTCCAATGTCAAGTTTAAAACCTACCTTTACCTTAAACTTCAACCATGTGACCAACTGTGTGCAATGATATAAGAGGGTTTTGTTATAATGGTGTTCAATTTTCCTTTCTTTATTCAACTTCTTGAATCTCAGTGAACCTATTTCATACATTTGCTTTTCTTTTTCAGTACCTTCATAAGCACTTGAAGGATCACAATGCACGGAGGCTGGAAGAAAACCGCAACACGTGGGAAAAAAACCTTGAAGAGCTTACACAACCAGTCCCATATGATCTCTGCACAGGAGCAGTTAATGTGGAAAGAGTGATTACGAAGCTTTTGAAAAGCTTGCAATATGCAAATGCCAATCAGAAAGAGAGCCTAGAAGATGCAGGCATTCAATTGTTTTACCTCTTGGCGTCTCTAATAAATGGTGATGTCAAAAGATGTCACCCGGCTATCCAGTTTTTTTCTTCAAGCACAGAGGTCCTCGGAAAAGTAAGATTACAGAAACAATACCTCTAGCTTGAATATTTGGCTACTCATATGCTTTTCTGGTGGCTATTATTTTAAATCATATCGAAAATACAAAAAAACCTTGAAAATGTTTCCCTGTCTAGATTTCATTGTCACTCTAGATTTTTACTCTTCGGCTTTTGTAGAAAATCACAGCTTTTTTGTTTATTTCCATGTTTTCCAACGGTATTCATTGTCATCTCTTTGCATCAAAATAAGAATTAATCATCATCATCATTAATGGCAGTCAATATTTAATTATTTTGTCTTTCTTTCTCTTCAGGAAATGATAGCTGATAATGAAAAGGAACAGCTACGGCTCATCAAAACAATCTTCTCGGAAGAAGCAACCGTCAGCTTCCTTGCGCCACATTTCAGCCCCCACCACCGGCTACGAACATTCTTAAATTTGTATGTCTCAGTGACAGAATACTTTTCCCCAGAAACAATAACGACGTCGTTTGTATTGCTTTCGAAGTTTGACATTAGATCGTGGCTTTCATTAGAGCCGGCATTATCAGAGCGCATTTTCTTTGCTCGCACAATAATTGCAGCTGTCGCAAAGTTTGGCGTGGAGCCTACTAATGAGCTAGAAATGCTGTTTTGCCTCTACCGTTCTCATTTCGTCTTCTTACTCAGTCATAAATTCCCAAGGCAATACAGTGAGGTTTTGCGGCTGATGGTAGAGGCCTCCGATAAAGAGACTCTTCCCTTTCTTTGCTGGGGCGACTTCCTAAATGTCATACGTTGTGACAATGGAGAAAGGTCCCTTTCACCGTCGTACGAGTATGTTGAACTTGGTACAAATGAGGTAATTGGCACTGTTGATTGGCTTGCTGACATATTTGCAAAGATTAGCCAAGCTAGATATCATTCAAACTCGAAGCTTTACACAGCCTGGAGGCTTTATATCCCATATGTTGCCCGATTCTTGAAGTTCTTGTTTACTAAACTGATAGTTCACTACGATTCTTGTGGATTCCCATCCACTATTGCCAAAGAGAGGTATTTCTTATTGTCTTTTTCTGACTTGGTAACATTCTACAGTCCTCCAGCCTTTAACTCTTGTATCCATAATAAACGGGAAGGAACAGGGATCTGGTATCAATTTGTTGCACAATGTTTTTATTGCCCATACCAAACTTAAAAACTTGATAAACTTGGGGCTCATGATTATCACCCGTGGGATAGAAGTCAATTTCGAACATTTATTAAGCAGGGTATTATTTATTTTGTCTCAGCTACATTAATAACATAAACCTATATTTTCAATTCAGATTATTCTCAGAGATAATGCTGGCTTGTTACATACAGTTATTTACGGAATGTATGCTAGATAGAATTGACAGAGATTTATACTGATACTTTTGTTTGAGTAAGCCTTTGACTCACTTAGTCGCATCGGTTGAAGCCTGTCTTACAAGTTTTTTCTCTGCTTTGGTTTCGTTATATTTGAACGAGCTGGGCCACTTAGCATATAAAAAGATTCAAACCGAACGATCATGCTCTCGATTCTCTGTTCGGTGCATCTACTTTGGAAGATCAAGATTTCAGCGCCTCCCTCCCCTCCCCCTCCCTCTCCCTCCTCCCCCCTTCCTTCAGATTTTCAAATAAAACCTATAAAAATTAATTGTTTGAAAAAGAAATCACCCAGAAGTCTTACACTTGGCATATTACGAGGATAATTTGTTATGTGATATAATTTTTACCGTATATCTTATTAAATTTCATTCAATTTCAGGTTTTTAAGCAAAACATGGAATCAGATTTTCGCTGTTTATCGACCATGGATTGTTCCACATAAGGCTGACAAATCATGGCCTGTGCTTTTTGTCGAGGATAGTATTCTTCTTGTGCAATCTTTCACAGAATCTTGTCGGCTAATAGCTGATTTCACAGCCTTCAACTCTGATTATAACATCGGCCTAAACATGGTGTGGGCTTTCTACTGTGCCGAAATTGCCTCGGCTCTGAATCAGGAAAACTCACTACAAATATACCATAGTCTTTTTGCCACCTTGCCATGGCAATCATTTTACCCATCGCTTCAAGACCTTGAACGCATGCTTGAGGTACATATTTTCAAAAGAATATTGCACGAAACAGTATAAATAATTTTTAATCAAACTCCACCTAGAGGCTTTGATTATTATTTGTCTGCAAAGATCTACTCTAAATACATTTTAATCGAAATTGATTTTGACTTAAGAGTAAAGTTTGACTAGGCCTTCAGGCTTAAACTTGAGAGTTTGTAGTGTGATCGCTTGTTGCGGTAAGAGTGAGTTTTGAGGCTGATTGTAACAATTGCTACTGTAGGGTAGTTGGAAGAGATGGCGTAAAGAAATAATATTGTCCTAGACTGTTCTTGAATTTTAAGAAAAAAAGGATTGTTCAGAATATTTCGCTGTACAGGAACTAAAGATTGATATTATCTTGGCGTATTCTAGGAATGGATAACTACGTCTCAGAATATGGGATTTTTTCTACAGAGAGGCATTTTCCTTAACGTAGTTGTGGGGCAACTGCCCTTGGTGTTCTCTATTCTGACGTCTCTGGATGTATTTCATCTTTCTTGTTTAAGCTTTTTTCACCTTACTTATAACGTACTAAACCTCAAACGCAAAGGTTTTGGTATTGTATTTTTGTATTCAAAAATGAAAAAGCTGCTGAACTACTTTAAAATGTTATAGCCACAAGTGTCGTAAAGCACCGTCTCTTTATAATCATTTTTGAATCGCAAATTACATTCTACAGACTTTAATTTCCATTCTATTTCTTCCAGCTTTATTACGTCAATGTCCCGGCATTCCACTTTCTTGGTACAATTCTGTGCGATCTGGACTGGACTCTTTTGATAAGCAAATACGAACAGCTCGGGTATTCAGATCGTTTAATCAATTACCTTAATGCTGTACTGAGGACATTCGTGACATTGTCAACAATCAAACCATTCATGGCCCAGGCACGATCAAAGTTTGAGAACATAGCAAATGCCTTTTTATCTTTTCCATTGAAATATCTCAGCGTTGATAATGTCGAAAATGCATGTGGCTGGTTTGGTGAAAACTGCGACCCAGCCGCCGTTCTTGAAGACGAAGTTTACAAAAACACAACAATAAAAATCCTGAAGGCAATTTGTTATTTTGCTGATGCCAAAATCGATAGCGAAGAAGGATGCTATTTAGATGCTCATACAATCATAAAACAGAATATCTTTGTACAGACCCTCGTGAAAATAATACTACGTGCTACAAGTTTAAAAGATTTTGTGCCAACAAAGATGGACAGTTTAATATCCACCTTTCTGGCAGACATAGAGCGCTGGGGATTAAGTCAATCGCAAAATGGTCTGACGCATTTGTATTGCTCGCTCTTGGCACTGCTTAACTCTATCGGGACATCCTCAGTACTTAAATCTATTGAATCTCAAATATTTAGCTTTTTGGTAAACACGAATAGTGATGTGGCAATAATAAGCATGCTGTCAGCTGGATACCGTGTTATAGCCAGCTTGGACCAGCTAGTGGAGCTTTCCGAAATTACAATAGAAAACTTTTTCAATAAACAGGCTGATGAGGATTTAGATCAAGCATGGACGAGAATTTTGAAAGTATTGCTTGTGCCAGAGTTAAATCAAGGCCAGTTTTTGAGAAAGGCCCTTACCAAACAATGCTGGCTCACAGTTTATGTCTACAACTTACAAAGGTTGTCGTTAACAAGCAATCTCGCGGAAGATCTCACCATACTAACAGAACTATTTCACTGGTGCCTTCAATTGCCACCATCACCGCTTTGCCCGGAAAAAACTCTCTTGATTTGGTGGCAAATTATGAAAGGAGTAAAAAATCAGATTTTTGGGAACACCGAAGACCGTGAGTATGGAAGCCTTGCCCGTTATCTCCTGTCGTTTGCAAACTCTTGCCAACAATACTGCGAAGATAAATCTTACGCTGGAATACTTGGTGCGATTGGCCTAGGCAAGAAGAGCTCCTTTCCGCCAGAGTAAGTGCTTGTGAACAGTCGTACTAAGGCCTTGCGATGTTCTGAATCGCAGCATTTTATTGAAGTTTACAATACTTAATTCAGTTTTGCAAACATTGACCTTTACTGAATTGGCTTTCACCTCTCGCAATTTAAGGCTCAACTATTTATTGTATGCAATCAGTACTGCCTTACACCCTTTCTGGTAATCCCAAATAATCCTATACGTACTACGGCACTTCCTTATTCCATTGCCACTGTACTCTATTTTGCGTCACTGTTTAAGGGTATTTGACTTCATTTCTTGCTCGCATTGTAAAAAATCAAAATCACAAATGTCAGAACGAAATCAGAATTTTCGCTGGATGTTTCGTGTATTTAATTAATTTAGTTTTATTAGGTTTGCATATTTGTTGATTTATGACCAAATTTGTTTTCTTTGTTTAGATTCCGGCTGATAGCACGGAGCATGCATGTCTTTCTGTTGGCACAAATTCCCCATTCGGGCACAAGATTGCGCTGTTTCCCAGATGCGCCCGGTGATATTTCAGGACAAGTGGGCATAGGGAATCAAGAAGCCAAGGTAGCCCTGCAAAATCTGGTTAGTCTAAAGAAGAGTAAAACATACGCTACATTCAAGGAAGAAATTAACTGGTTGTCTGATTTTATTGCCAATCCAAAGACTTGTTTAGCAAACGGGGATGAAATACTTATTTATACCTGTAAGAAGTTCTACTCAAAAGTAAGTTACATAGCTGCGACGATCAGTAAAGGGTCAGAAAAACAACCTTCTCAGATTCCCTCGTGATTCTGTTCGTGTTATTTTTTAGTTACTTTTGATCTTGATTCTTGTGGAAATATGTAGTTAAAAATTTTGTTCATGATAAATTATTAACAACACTAAATTTTTGAGTTTCGTAATTTATGCCTTGTTTTGCACAATATTGTGTTGTGGCTTTTATGATAGCAAAGCAGAAAATAGATTGTTATATAACTGCCATTGTATCGACTAGACATTTACAATCGTTTGATAAGGATAGTTGCAGATAATCAAACATAAGATTTGCTTCAATGGATTTCTTGGTGAATTCATTTGTTTATCCATCCCTAGGTTTACTGCAGGTCAGTTTAGAATCAAAGAATCCAAATCCATTTTTAAGGCAAAAAGGAAGAAACAAGCGTCAAGCTATCGTGTTTGAATTAACTTCATTTATCAATCATTTCCTTGTTAACTCGTTAGCTACCCAAACCCTCTTAAAAAGCTACTTTTGCTATGATGATACCAAGATTCATTTTTGACTAAGGCTTTACGGCGTGATTCAGGAGAAGTTTCTTGGCCTGCAGCTGAAATTATTGATTTGTTTTTTTCTGTATAAACTAGATTTCTTAATATATTTTATACGCTTAGTATATTCTTAAAAGTTATAAAAGCTCTGTGAAATTGCATGAAGCCAGTCTTCGCAAATTTAAAAATAAACCTTTTCTTTTTCGACGTATGCAATTATACCCTGTTGATTTTTCTCGGTTTTTCTGTTTGATTTTTCGCTTTTTTAATTCTAATTCAGAATATTCAACAATACTTTTCTTCATGCATCGAGAAAGGAAAAACACATTTGCGTTAGATCGATTTATTAAATGAAAATGTATATGATTATAAATAATGTATTTTTAGCATTGCCTGGTAAATAGTTAAAATATGTTTTGTGATAAATGCGATTCCAAAATGCAAAGCTTTTCTTGAAGTGCTTGTAGTTTTCTTTCGTGGATCTTCCTGCTTCATGTGATGTCATAAATGATATTTTCCCCCCTCACTTTGCGAGATGAATCAATCTTCTTTATCATTGCAATTCTCGTCAACAGCACTCATGACAGTTTTGCTAAGGTTGGTCATCTCAGTAGTTGCTATGTTGAATGCAGATTCCATCTGATCTTGATGATGCAGAAAGAATGGCTGGATGATTTTGCCGTAGACGAAGTTACTTCCATTTCCTGCGTATGGAGACATGCACCAGATGATGAAGAAAGTACGCAACAAGTAGTAAGCGGGCAGGAGACTGAGAATTCTTCCTGCAAAATACTCAGTTAGTATTAAAGCGCTGTAGACAATCCAGTAGGTTAGCCAACTATCTTTGTGCTCATCATTGGATGCCTCTTTGGCTTTTATTGAGCAGTATAATGGATAGGCTAAGCTGATGAAGTCGCTTGATATGGATGCAAAGTATGACGTCACAATGTAGAGGAACGCCAAGAAACAGACTCCAAGCAAGACATGATCTTTCCGAATCCCCGTTATTTTCTCCACATAAACGAGTTTTGTGGCCAAAGATGGATACCTTTCATGCAATAATTTATCAAGCATCAGCCAAAATTCCTTCCATTTTTGCTTCATTAATTTTTGCATGGCGACGGCTTCACTGCGCTTGCTTGGAGCAGAGTAAGTCGTCCGCTGCATTCGCCGAGACTGACTATCAATCAGAGGCAAGCGACGCTTTTTGTAAATGTCCGTAACCATTATTAAACGTCACATGAAGTGCAGTGAACAGATTATCCGTTACTAAGGTCCAGTATCTCTGAAACTCAGATATGCTAAAATCCTTTATGGTGTACGATGGGAGAACAGCGAATTGATTTATCTCTCCTCTGTGTAATATCACGTTTATGTTTATCGCCTTTTAACAACGAACCGCTGTCCCTTATGCATCTAATGAAAACAACCATTTATGCTAGTGCTTACTGCTTGAGCGACTTTTTAATCTCAAAATGGCTTCTGCTAAGAAAGCCGATTTAATGTTGACTACCGTCCATCCTGATCATTGTCATCCTTCTTTTGTTCTTTTGTGTAATTTATTTCCATTCGTGGAAGTTAAGATGTTTAAGACAAGACTTTGTTTTCTCTTGTCTTTCTTGTTTTTCTTTAGGGTATCTTCCAATAAATACATGTTATTTTACATTTATACCATTTCATTTATATTTCTTAGTTTAAATTCCTCAATTTGCAGTATATTTCTTAATCACTAATTATAGTTAATTGCTACGAATTATAAAATAAAACACACAATGAATTAAATAACAATTACCAATCATGTTATAATAAGGGAGATTTCTTTTGCGGGAGCTCTTGTTTCAAAGATTTGTCGAGGCAAGAGCACCATCGTTTTTTCTTCAAAGCTTCAAATTTGGAATTTAACGGCTAATTATAAATTTAAAGCAACCGAAGTTTCCCCGTTGCCATTAAGGTGAATAATCAGGTAAACAACAAGAAACAGTATTGTATATTTTTACTTAGAGCAAATTTACTTATAGACAGGAAACCGAAACCTTTCTCCGTTTTAGTGTACACGATTTCTTATGTATTAGCCTTGACCTTAGTTTTTTTCTTCAACAAATCTCTGCTTTTGTCTTTGGTCTCTTTCTTTCATTCCTACATTTGCTATAGTATTGGCACACAAAGAAAGACAAGAGCTCTAAGAAAGTTTTAAATGCATTCCACCACTTTTCATCCCCTTTTTTATTTTTGCCCCCTTTCCCTCAAACAAATAGATTGGATTTACGTTTTAACTATCATATTCGAAACAAACTTTTCTATTTTTCAAAATTTTTATTCCTAGTTTAAAAAAATGTTATTTTTGTTTATTAATATTGTGTATTGATTTATAATTACTTCAGGCAAATTCACATAAGATGGCACATGGCTCGAAAGCCCCCATGGGTTATTTCCATGTGTCATTCAGCTATAACTTTTTTTATATCTGAACCTTATATGTATTGAAGTATAACTGAAATTGTATTTTGATTAATTGTTTGATTAGATCAGTATATTGTAATTAAGCTGAGAATACAAATGAAAATTGAAATTGAAATTGTTTTCTCCTTCTTCCGTTTTTTCCGCGAAAGAGGCTAGTGGCCAGGCCATCAAAAGGAGGCTTCCGATAAACCTGATACATGAAGTACCTTTTCAGTATATGGCATTTCATAAATTTTGTAGGCCTAAGTCAAAGAAGAAAGACAAAGACGAACACTTGAATAGAGGACGAAATGGTTAGTTTGTTTATTTCTATCAATGTCAAAAAATCTTGGTTCAATGATAAAGCCTATATATGCCAGTTAACAAGGTTTTTTGTCATGAAAGAATCCCTTTTTTGCCAGGGTGCATTCCATGTCATCAACTGTACGCCGAAGGTCCACCGGGGCATTTGTTTAGGTACGCCAAAAATATAAAAGCAGTTGAGTTAGTAAAACTGTAAACAATGTTGCGCCAGACAAAGAAAACTGATTATTAGAGGAAAATATGGTGTATGAGTCTTTATTTTACGTCAACTATGTACATGGCTTCATGTTTAGCATGCCAACTAACGGAAATTCTAAGTACGCCAAAAAGTTTTTTATTGGTTTGCACGCCGAACGCCGAAAAAACCTGGTTGTACGCCTAAGATCTTCGGGCCTAAGTACATGGAATGCACACTGGCTTTTTGAGACTCTCTTTAATAAAGGACTTCACTTTATGCTGATGGTACCATATATACAATGGAACCGGTAAAATCATCTTTGTATGTGTAAAAAGATATTTTGTCGTTTAGGCTTATGACTGTTAAGCTCCTGGGCACCCTGGCCAGAGAGTAGGCAGAGGGTTAATGTGATCACATTATTGTAAATAATCTTCTGCAAAATTTTTAAGCTTAATTTTATACCATCCAGCTGACACAGCATTTAGATAGCTCCCAGACTAAAAAGTTTGGTCTGTGCGGGGAATGCGTTCCCCGCGCAATAATTTTTGTCCTTAATTCTGCCCGCACATTATTAAGAATCTGCCGTAGATTCTGCGCAAAATAGTTGTTTATCTGGTCATGTTCCTCTCAAATATTCCACCATTTAAAACTTCTGACTTCTGATAACAAGAAAAAACAACGAATACAAGGTCTCTTCGAAAGTCTTTGCTTCAAATTCCGCGCACGATATTGCAGGAAGTGTTCGTTATCTGAAATTTCAAAATTATTGTTCTGGCATTACCCGCGCAGAAAAAATACTTTACAGTCTGGGATAGCTCTAGAGTCACGTCGCTCCTTATGGAACGATTTCAGTAAAAAATGTTTCCTCAGCTTTTTGGTACTCCCTAATAAAATAAAAGTACTACAAGTACATTTTTTGCCGTATTATCTACATGCTTGTGTAAAAACAGTCTTATCTTTTATTCTCTCTTTATGCACGAGCAACATTACTACAGGCCACTTTACTTCATGAAAAACTTAGGCCATCGCTCCTTATAAAACGACTCAAATTTAGGCATGCAAAAAGGCACACAATGGAGAAAAACCGGGAATTATCATCTGCCTTCTTTCCTTCTACCTTTATCATTTATCAGTATCAAACCAGACTTTCATTGATCCATTTGTTTTCAAATTCAGAGTAAAGAAAAAAAGTTATCCCCCAGTATGGTTTTCTTACTTGAATGAGACTTTATCATCATCAGCAAAATAATTTCGCACATTTTTTTTAAGATAAACGAACCTAAACTCCTTCATATTTACTTTTATCATTGCACAGTTTTTATCATTTCAGATAAAAATTGAATCATTCCTTAAGGGGCGATGTGACTCTATATTTTTGCTATTTCAGAATTTAGTCACATTATAATAATTATACATTAATGTTTCACTGTCTCTGGCACTGTCTCAGGTAAACTACATTCCGGGCAGAAGTTTTTATCTGAAAAAGTTACTCATCAGAAGAATCAAGGTGTTCCTGAATTCTTTATTTCACATTATAGGGTCAAAATCAATCAGGAGGAAATTCAGGACGGGATGATGGAAAGAAGGATGACAAGGTAATTTGTTTGCAATACATTTGATCTTATTTTTATCTGATAAGCTTTACAGTGTAATTTTGTCTTCTTGAAGCAAAGAATTTGAGTTAGCATAGACATGTTATGAGATGCTCAGTAATCTGTCCTAGAATTTTTAAGCTTTGTATGATATTCCACCTTCAGTTTCTTTTTTTATTGTAAAACTTTTTATTAAATATCCAAGAAGGCATTTTCCAGGAGAAATTTATAAAGCTTTTGGCACTCCTTGTTTTCTTACTATTGACATGTTGTTGTATTCTTATGTATGAACAAGAAAATTCTTAATATACTTATTCTTATGTATGAACAAGAACAATTTCTTAATATAATCAAGCTTTCTTTAGTGTTTTGAGATTTATTTTGATGAATTTTTACTTTAGAGTCCTTAAAGTTAAAATCTAGTACTTGGTGTTTTGGATTTGTCTTTTTTGATTATATTTTTGCCATCCAAACCATAGGAAAAAAAGAGAAAGTATGAGCCACCAATTCCAACAAGAATCGGGAAAAGAGGAAGGAAAAATAAGGGTCCAGACACTGCTAATAAATTACCCCAAGGTAAATGTAGACTTATTTAGCTTGTCCAAATTTTTCAAAGAGATTATTTGATAATGAAGCTTTGTCATTACTGTCTTTTGAATACGGATTGTCTTTTTATGTGCAAATATTTGGGCAGGCCACACCTATATTTGATGATTATTTTGATATGTCATAACTTTACAGCCACTTGAGATATTGATTTCAAATTTTGGGCAATTTCGTTTTTTGATAATACCTACAAGAGTATCAGATTCAGCTAATTCTGACATAGAAGGTTACAAATTTGTTAAAGACCTGATGATTGCATATGGAATGACTCCAAAAAAATTTCAGTGTCTGTTACCCACCAGCTACATCAAACTGACCATATTGTGATCAGCATTTGTATTCAATAGATCTTACCAGTTTAGTTTTACTTGTTTCAGAGAAGTCAAAAGCAGATACATAAGACATTAGTACTAACACAGCTGTAATGAAAATAGAAGGCTTAAAATTCTGATGAAGCCCTGTATGCCGGGGCAAAATATTAGTATTCTTTCAATTTAATTTATTTTGAAAATTTATTTCATAACATTGGATTCTCGTCGCCGTTTTGCTTTGTTTCTGAATTTTATCCTCATATTTATATTATACTCATTGCAAAATTCACCGAATCTGGCAGACAGCCTATCCTGTTGTTCTTCCTTCTCAAACAATAAAATTATTTGAATCCTGTAGCAAAAAGTATCTTGCAATTCTTTGGCAGCAGAGGACCTCCAAAATTGACATTTAATTTGAAAACTATGCTACCTTTAAAGAAATTCTACAACTTCATTTTCATCCATTCTAGTAACTCCAAGTAGGAATTGCAGATTAAAGCTTCTAAAGTTAGAAAGGATAAAAGATTATCTCCTCATGGAGGAAGAATTTATTCAGAATCAAGAAAGACTGAAGCCTCAAGAAGAAAAGCAAGAGGTAGTAAAATTTTCATTGTTCTAAATTCATCAAACTTAAACTGCATAACATGATTCTCTCATGTGGAGGAGGGTTTTTTTGTTACAAAATGTAAATTTCAAATTCAATTATATTGAAAGTATACCTTTTTGTTAAGAAATTTTCACAAGGGCAACAAACTGTCTGCCTGGATGAGTTAAAAAGGGTGATGGCCCATCCAACAATATTTGTTAAGGGAAGTCCACTGGGGTCTTAGGTAATTTGAGGTTATCATCTGCCCACAATTGCATAACCTTTGGCTTTGTAAATGCATGATTACCACCAATCTGTGAAATATCTGTTTTGATAAATAATGTGGATAATGAAGCAATTGTGCTTTGTTTTCATTAGCAACTTGACATTTCATTCAGGAATACTGCAAGTTATAGGAGCTAACTTTCCAAAAATGATCTGCCTGTCTATGACAGCGAACCATGATTTTGTAAGGGTGGTCAGTAGTCCCCATCAGTCATTTAGCAAGGGGCATCTAGCCCACATGAATTTGCTAGATGTAAGGTTTTCAACTCTTCTAATGCCACATAATTTTTGCATTTAATTTTTGACAGAAATCAATTGCTCCAAAAATATGTTGAATTCTTGTAGGTTTAACATTGAGGTTGAAATATGGAAACTTAATAAAAAGTGTCTAAATAGTTCTTGCTATTCTCAAATGAAGAAATCTGATTAAAAAAGATTCAATGCCACTAAAATGTTGTTTTTAGGAAGAGAGAAGCAAAGTAGATGACCTCCGTGGAACTCCAATGTCAGTTGGCAATTTGGAAGAAGTGATCAATGAAAACCATGCCATTGTTTCCACATCAGTTGGCTCAGAGCACTATGTTAGCATCCTTTCATTTGTTGACAAAGATCTTTTGGAACCAGGATGCTCAGTCCTACTCAATCACAAGGTACAATAATATTTTGTTTGCCCTTATTCAGTGTAGACAATCCAGTTCTCCCAATTTTCTTTTTATGTGATTTTATGCATTATGCATAAGATTTGTATTAATCATGGATATTTTGCATTATGAATTTACGTTCTTTCATTATAAATTATATACATTGTTTATGAATTCTTCCATTGTAGGTTCATGCTGTTGTTGGTGTTCTTGGTGATGACACAGATCCTATGGTTTCAGTGATGAAGCTAGAAAAAGCACCACAAGAGTCTTATGCTGACATTGGAGGCCTTGAACAACAGATTCAGGAAATAAAGGTGATTCTTTTGCTTAGAAATTTGTAAAATTTTTAAACTGAAGTTTTGAAAATGAATATAATCCAAAATAGGATACAGCAAAAACAGGATGTAACGGAGGTTATCATTTCAATGTCAAGAAAAGCTTTAGTTTCAATACATCTGTTTTTAGATTAAATTTTGATCGTCTTACAAAATTTTGGGCTTTGTAACTAATTTACCTTTTTCATTATTAAGTTATAAACAGTTACTGCATTTTCATTAAACCCTGAACTCTCTGAAAAGATAAATACATGCCAAGACATTGTTCTTCGCAACAAATTGTGCTACATTTGCTTTTCAAAATTGAACAGTATTGAAAAATAAATTGAAGGTAATGCCAAGAAAGGTCTAATTTCATTAACATATATTTCTATAAAAGTATAACTAAATCTTCAGGTGGAACAGAAAATGAGAAATTGAAGATATTTGAAAAGATGGTTTCCTTTTATCGATATTTTGCTTTATAGAACTTCATATGCAAATTTCTCAGACATGTAAGTAACAATTCATTGATCAGCCATCCCTATTTCAATACAGTCCAGTGTTTAGAATGACAACTTTAAATTAATCTCCTCTCCTTTTTTCTAGGAATCAGTTGAACTACCTTTGACTCACCCTGAGTTATATGAAGAAATGGGAATAAAGCCCCCCAAAGGAGTTATTCTTTATGGGGTTCCTGGTACAGGTATATACCAAATACTATTAGTATGCTTTGTTGCCTGTTTCAACTTAGAGCAATTGTGTGTTCTCCATTTATACTGAAGCATGTACAGCTCTGCCTTTCCAGAATTTAAGCACTATATGGCAGACCAACATATACTGGGCCCAAATGACAGTAACTTTTCGTTATACCATTTAAAAATAGTTAATAGACTTTAAACAACATAAGAGCAATCCAGATATTGGTAACAAAAATCAGGATTTAAAATTGCTAGGGTAAAAATGTCCTATTAATAGAGATGCAAAATCCTATCATCATTTAATACTTTGGTGTGTGTTGACGCAAATGCCTAGTAAATAAAGTGGAAATTGTCTTGTTGTCTGTTTTTGTAACATTGCCCTCAAGGAGTTTTTGACTCAAACAATCTACCTAAGATTTAACATACTATCATAAAACCTCAAAATAACCCCCTTTGGGGCTTATTGCTTTCTGCACTTGTTAGATGGGGTCTTTTTTGATGGGAGCTTATTTGAGAAAGGGACATATAAAAATCATTTTCAAATTGTCCATACAAATAGCTTGTTTCGGGGCTTTTTTATTGTTTTCAAGTTCATTTGGTTTGCAATTTTACTTCATAAATCTTTGTTAAAATATCAAGCCAAATATAAATTAAAGCACAAAACGATAAATTAGTCTAAAAGATAAAAATATTGATATTTTCACAGTCTTTAGCGATCTCCATATCAATAACTCTTTCATTTTAGAATATTTTATTCCCTGTTCACCTTTTTATCAATAATGAACCTAATTGGTGCATGTTTCTGTTGTATCTCAATAAGCCACCATGGGAGCTCATTGAGATGCAAAAATCTGCATGTTAGAGTGGGGGCTTATTCTAGGGTGGGGCTTATTCTAGGGTGGGGCTCATTAAAACATTTCACTATCTGACATCCTATGTAAATCTCAAAGTTCTTTTTGCCTGGTGTCTTAACATAGAGTAGCCTTACTGACATTTGTTACTTCTTTTTCTTCTGAAGGTAATTTATCTGTTTAACTATTACGCTGATAAAATTTGTATTTACATTTTTTCTTTTTCATCAGATCATGTCAAAGTTATTTTTTTTCTAGGTAAAACATTGTTAGCAAAGGCTGTAGCCAACCAAACATCGGCCACATTTTTAAGAGTTGTTGGCTCAGAATTGATTCAAAAATATCTTGTAAGTGTCTGTTGGTTTTGATGCTTAGTGCAACATTAAATTATATTTCTTTCTGACAACCATGGAAGGTGTTTTGCATCAGCTAAAAGGAAGCCTGAAGCAGTTGTGCAATTTTTGATGGCAAACCGATTGTAGAAAATTCTCACAAATATCTCAGTCATTTCAACAGAGGAAAATTTTAACACACAATGGTAAAGTGGATATGCTGCTTAAAAACCTGGTGTTAGATTGTTCGTTTAAGCTTGAGCACAAATTAGTTACCAACATCCTGATAATTCTAATTATGTTGTTCCAAACATTTTATGTCTGTTTATATCGGTTGAGTAGCTTTTGTTACAACCTTAGTTTCATTCTTCCAATGAAAATTGGTATCACCTTGAATAAAAGCAACCTTGATTTAAATCTGGTATGACCTTGAATAAAAGCGAGAACAACTTTTGTGTCGCAGTTAAAAATGTTCTTGTACCCCATCCTTTTCATTTTTAAGGGTGATGGGCCTAAACTAGTTAGAGAATTATTCAGAGTTGCAGAAGAGCATGCACCATCGATTGTTTTTATTGACGAAATTGATGCTGTTGGAACTAAAAGGTAAAAATAGTGCGATCAATTTTATTTTATACCTCTGTCTCTGTTCCTTTATTCATCATGCCTATTTTTAAGTATAAAGGGTACATATTCTGTCATTTTTCTGCTTAAAATATTTTGGGGTTTCTATAAAGGAGATTTTTCTTCTTTGAAAATTAGATACGCTTTGAGCGCCCTCCTAATTTTTTAAAGCCTCCAACATTAACTGCAGAAATTTGTCATGCACTTCAGCAAAGTTTTTCATCTAGAAGAGAAGATTACATTTGCTTTTCAACTATGTCTTTGCGACAATACACTCTGTAGGCAAATGTTATGTTTCCTTTTCCAATTCCATAGGTATGAATCAAATTCTGGAGGAGAGAGGGAAATCCAACGAACTATGTTAGAACTTCTTAATCAGCTAGATGGTTTTGATTCACGAGGCGATGTTAAAGTATGTATCTTTTTTACTCAATAAGTTAACTCTCATTTAAACTTTCAAGATTTGAAGTACCTTCGTCAGGTTGTCTCCTGTCACCAGGAGAAAATATTACTTTGTTCTGTTTCCATTTTGCCTTGTTATGTATCTTTGTTTAATTTTGGTTTTATTGTAAAATGACCACATTGACTATAAATCTCAGATTTGCAACTTAGAACTGTCCTGCTCTACACCCCAAAGCGTAACTTTGTTTCTACATAATATTACGCTTATTCAATTGTCTTTGTTATTTATTCAAAACCACTGTTATTTTGTTCCACTAGGTTATAATGGCAACAAACAGGATTGATTCTCTAGATCCTGCTCTCATTCGACCCGGTAGGCCATTTAACGAATTCTCTTCACTCTCCATGGTTTTTTATCAATTTTTCGCGTCCTAGTATTACTGCATCATCTTCCATTGCCTTGAAGCATCATGAAAATAGAAGTAGCAACTTACTATATTGCTCAAATTTTTCGGTTTTTAATTCTTCTTCACTACTTCGTTAGCAATGCAGTTTTAAAAGGATTTATAATAAAAAATAAAAAACCCAATATGAAAATACTTAGTAAACTGCCAAAATTTCAAATATTCTAAACAGTCGTATCTCTTATATGTTTGCGTGACATCCCAAAATTGAACTTATCTAGCACTGTGGCTCCTAATGACAGCGGTAAATTGCTGATTATGTTCCTTGTCAGCCCTAATAGAATTCCCGGGTCTAAAATGTTTATGCTTCATTCCTTTGTCTCTTCGAAATTTTAGGTCGTATTGACAGAAAAATAGAGTTTCCACTACCGGATGAGAAAACGAAACGCAGGATTTTCCAGATCCACACCGGACGCATGACACTAGCTGATGACGTTGATCTTGAGGAGTACATCATGACCAAAGAGGACCTTTCTGGAGCAGATGTTAAGGTTCGCGATTAAATTGGCTTATTATGTGAAAAACATTCTTATTTTTTCCTAGTTTCTATTGCTTTACATGTGTATTTTTTTATATAAAGTTAAATGACCGACTTTTTGTTCTACGCATATCTGTAAATAATTATGATCACAGCAATGTTTTAGGATACCTAAAAACATACACAATTTGATTGCACGCTTAATTTCTTTTTCAATGCATCTGAAGTATTTGATGCAAGGCTAGGGAAAAAGTTATTCCATATGCACTGCCTAGAAACCGAAATATCGACTCATTCCTAACAGAACTTTTGAAATATATACACGTCTATTTTGTACCCCAGATCAGCATTAATCTATAATTCATATGTAATTCCAGTTCTATTTGTCCATGTTTTTAAAAGTTGGACCCGTGCTCGAGGCAATTTTTAAGAGGTAAAGACAGTGCAAGCCGTGCCTTTATTCTCAGTCCACATCCTTCAAGATATACTCGGTACCAGCCCCCCTCCCACCCTTTGGGACGTCATATCAATGAGAAAAAGGTGGCCAATATTCCTATATTGTCAGATTTTCTGCATATCTAAATATAAACCTTTTAATGCTATTTTGTTGTATTCTATCTTGTACTATTCTATGTTTTGTAACCTCATTCTGAATATTTCTAGGCCATCTGCACCGAGGCTGGGTTACTTGCCCTTCGTGAACGTCGTATGAAAGTGACTCATAGTGATTTCGGAAAAGCGAAGGAGAATGTACTTTATCGCAAGAATGAAGGAACGCCAGAAGGACTTTACCTTTGAGCAAGAGGATTTGGAAAAGACATTACCTAAAAAATTTCAATTCTTTCTGTCTTTGACATAATTCGTAAACGTAGACAGTCGAAGTTTAAAGTCACCTTGTTGTCAGTAATCTTAGGAGAGTTAGTCATATGACTTTGTTCTATTCGTTGAAGCTGTGTTCTTTTATGTTTTCGTGTTCTTGCATTTGACAGGACAAGTCTTTTTACCCAATTGAGAATTGGCCTCCCTTCTTTCCCTGTGTTTTAGAAAACTGCTTTGATAAGGAACAAATAATTCCCTTCCGCATGCAAAGCGTATTCACTCGATCTCTCACGCAGAAAAAGGAAAAAAAACAACTTTGTGTCTTGAGAATTATTCATGCGTTGGACCTAGTCCCAAAAGCGTGCATCGCTGGATAGTAGGTCCCTTTGGGATTCTGTCGTATTTATTATGGATTTGTGTTGCAAACCATCATTTCGGAGATGCTGTGTGGTGAGTGACAGTCTAGTATTTGTTGTAATGTGCAGGTTGTAATTGTCGTTTTGCTGTTCGCGAAACCATCTGACGAAATCTGACTTGGCAAGACCGACAGTGGCTGGAAAAAGGTTTGTTCTTTATATATACGCGGTTAATTAAAGTTGCTTCGAAATAATTGCATTTTGTGTTTCAAATTTCAGTCGTTTCTATTTCTAGCCCATGAACGTGGCTTCCCCGCAACAATGGCTGCCATACTAGCGTCGTTTCTTCAAGCTTCTACCTTCGGGCTTTGGAGATTTCGAATAATTTCTCGATTATTTCTCATGTCCTATATAGATTTACAATATCCTCGTAGGATATTCTAGTTTTCATTTCTAAATTTATTTTATTTGAGGAAAATGTTAAAGAATTGCCTTATCCGCAGCGAGAGTTGTGACTATGGGTAACGGTCCGGAAAGGGACTTGAAATGTACCGATACTTTTTGAGCCTGCTTGGCACCCTTTTAAGGCAGCGTCAAAGGGAATACGCTCCATTTTCTTTTTTGAATATTTTAGTCCTGGTATATTCAAATTCAGCTTCCTCTGATATGAACATCTAGTTTTTTGTATTGTTTATACCATAATATTCTTGAATCTAATCGAAACTCGGTAACCAAAATTTTCTTGGAGATTCAGAAAATTTTCGATATTATACCAAGATAAGCTGATTTTTCGATTTCATATTGGTATCAAGGTTTATATTTTCCTTCACAGTTTAATACTTTATTACGAAATAGATTCAGTTGTGTGTTTTTATCGTAGGTGATTTAAAGACGACATTTTTGGTTCATCTTCGAAGCAAATCGTCATGAAGTTATTCCTATGGCTGATCTTAACCCAGTGGTCATTCTGTGTATCCGAGGGCAATTTTCTTTCCGGTCTATCAATGGAAATGGATAGAGCTGCTCTGGATGTGATGGAGGCGAATTTCCCACATAGTCGAAACGTGCGAAGCAACCATGAGCAGTATCAATTTGGGAAGAATTTAAAGGATCTTCAAAGTATGTTCAAGTTATCATATTTCTCTTTCAATGTTTCTTTTACTATTACTGATACTCGTATTTATATTTATACTAACATTGACACTAATGCTTACACTAATACTAACAACTATACTAATACTTACACTAATACTAACACCTATACTGATACTTATACTAATACTAACAACTATACTAACACTTATACTTATACACTTACTAATACTATTACTGATACTCATACTAATAGTATTTATATTAATATTAATACTTATACTTATACTTATACTTGAACGTAAACTCTTACTAATACTTATACTTGTAATAAAACTGATAATGCTAACACAAATACTGCTACTTTCACTAATACTTATAGTAACACTGATAGTAAGAAAAATGTTAATAGCCAAATACTGATAATAATTCCTGTATATTGGCTAAAAGTTTTTAACAGATTCTAAATGAAAAAATTAAATTTTCTAATAAAGTTAGTCAATGTCGTTTTATACTTCAGGTACTGTCGATATTAAGATCACTTTTATTAAGATCAAGCCAGTTTCCAATATTTGAGAATCTAGAAATGTTAATACCCAATTGGTAGACAGCATGACAGAAATCTTATTTGCGAACAAAACATTTCTCTTTTTCCTATTTGATAAGAAGCCTAAACGTTATAATGGATAAAAATTAGAACATACCTCCTCCCCTGGTAGCTTCGCTCTCAATGTACTTTGTGAAAATTCAATACCGTGTAAGGTAACTTTATTCACTTCGCTAAGGGACTGTCGAGGGATGAAAAGTCTTTGTGACCTTTTCTTTCGTATCTTGAAGAGAAAAGACACTACAAACAAAGGGAAATATTTCTTTACCCCGAACTCTTTGCTTTTAGACACTCACCACTTACCAGCCATTCTCTCCAACCTAACAAACATTTTCCACTGGGATACTGTACCTGTTCCCCGGAGATGTGTCAGAAGCACGTGAAACACTCCCACTGTTTTCTAATTTTTTTCAGATTAATAGACCTTGTACCTTAAAATTTGTCATATTATCTAAATACTTAAAAACCTTGTTTGCCTAGGGGTGGTTCACAATTTTCAACATTTTTACAAGCGTGCAAATCGTACACTTTGCATAGGGGGTAGAGGATAAATGTGCTTTTTCCTTACTAAAAAAATTTTTTGATCGTTTTTAATGAACACACTGCTTGCTCACCACGCCATAAGTCTCGGTCTCTGACGAAACTTGTACACGTGAACTTTCAGTTGTTCGCAAATAGTAGAACTGTAAAAGTCGACATGTCTCATTGAAGTACGCAATTGCGAATGACTGTGACTTTGTTGAAAAAATCGCGAAGACTGTCACTTTTTACGGACAAGAGCGTTGTTGTCCACTGAAAGCCAAGAAAAAAATAGGTCTTTAAGACATTTTTGCTTGTTCATGTTGACCCAAACGAAAAAAATTCGCCCAATAAAGGCAAATGATATTTTTAGTTTATACACCGGTTTGAAAGATGCAAGATGCTTTTATGGTATTTTTGAAAAAAGAATATTTAGGGAGGCAGTACTATCAACTTTAGTTGAAAAGTGCAAGATGAACATGTGAAAATAATTTTCCAAGAAGAAATGGTATACTGTGTCGTATGCATATTAAATGTTTGTTTTTAATGTAACTTTTGGGTGTTGTGTGATGGCTTTCATAAAAGTTGACTTTTTTTAATTTTGTGCTGGGAAAGGGGTTGGCGGAGAAGAAAGTTGGGAGTTGGTCTTTTACAAAAGTATGCTTTGCGCACTTGCAAAAAAGTTTAAAATGTTATTCTCAATTGATCCCCATGCTTCCTATACGAAAATTAATCAAATCCTTATCAACCTATGCTAGTCTGCTTTTTCTTCTTTTGTTATGGTTTCGTTTTAGGCTGAATAGGCCTTTCCCTAGCAGTAGTAGCTAAGAAATATATTAGTATATCACCATTTTTTGTTTGATATGTTTCACCATTTAATACGACAAGAAATAGAAGCAGAAAGGAAGGTTATTTGATACTTTAACAACTATGTTTCATAATGGGGTTATAAAACCAAATCTACTTTAATCTGACTATGGTTCTGTCATTATGGCAGAAATTCTCCTGGGCAAAATTGAGGGGATCCAGAAGATAGAGATGAGCAATCCAACTGACTTGAGCGTTTTTTCAATGGCTGAGAATAAGGCATCGAACAGATACGAAGATTATTCCCAAATGCGAATTGCCGTTGCTGAGAACTTCCATGACCAGCTCAACTATAGTTCTTTTGTGAAAATTTACTCATACAAAACCGATTCTTTCAAGCTAGAGGTAAAATTGACGGAACATGCCCCATACAGGCTTGAGCATTTTACGATTTATAACAGCGGTGGTGAATTTATGAACAGTTATCTAGCTGTTGGAGGCTTTCTTCCGAACCAGAAAATAGGAAGCCCAAACACCCAGCTCAGTATATATGAACAGGGCAATCAATGGGTCAGAGTATTTCAGATGTCCATGGCAGTCACTGCCCTCAGGTTTGTCTCGACTCAAAATGTTGATATGCTGGTAGTTGCCGAAAAGATTTCAGAGTTTTCATGCTTTGTCACATCTCTGAGGTATGATCCTTACAAAAAAAAATTTGTCCTTCATGACCGTTTTCCAGTGGCTAAAGTCACTGATATTGAAGTTGTCAAATACGGAAAAGACTATTACCTTCTTATGGCTGTATATCAAGACTATTTTGGCAATCTCCAGGCTGACTCTCTAATCTATAAGTATAATTCAATTGATAGAAAATTTAGGCCTTATTCTAGTTTTCATACGATTGGTGTTTTGGATTTGAACGTATTTACATATGAAAGCAATGTTTATGTCATTACTGCATACGAAGCAAGTGGTCATAAAGATAATAAGAAGTTTGGTATTCCTTCTGCTATCTACCGTGTGCAGGAACCATTTAAACTGAAGCCTGTTACGACAATTTCAACAGTTGCTGCTAGACAAACAACTACGGTTATCTTTCCCTCTTGCACTTCAAAGATATTAATAATCGCCATCGATAATAGTGATAACATTGATCAAATGAGCTTACACGTGTTTGATGCTCGGGCTGAGAAGGTGACCAATCAACCTCTATCTTTTTACAAAAGTAGCAGTCACAATGGCAAGCCAAACCCTTCTAAACTTGCCGCCTACTTCATTGGTAAGAGACTTTTCGTGCTTCTTGCCACTGCTAATAAACAAGTTGATAACCTTCTGGAAATCAAATATGAAATAGAGGATACTGGCAATCCCCTTCAGAAACTAATCGAAAGCACAAAACTAGAGTTAGATAAGACCGAAAGCAGTTTACGGTCTATGGAGAGCTTCATTGTTAACGGGTACAAAACTTTAAAGGGTGCTGTAATTGCCAAAAATGAACAGTCGCTAAACGGTACTAAAGGTTTTATTGGGAACGTCTTTATTGCAAACCTGACGGCGAATTCAGTTATAATTGAAAATGGGAGCATGCTTTATGAGACGAATTCAACCAGGAGTAAAGCTAACCTGAAGAAATTTGAAAGTGAAATAGAAGTAGATGATCTAAAATCTGAATTTGATCAGCAGGAAAGCCAAAAGAAAGTTTCAAAACAGCGTATGTCCGAATCTTTGTTTCTTAATGAAGAATACAAAATTAACGGATCTTACAAATTTCACACTGTTACCCTGAATGGCGACTTTCATTTCGGGACTGTAGTGGTTTCAAAGGTCAATGACATTGCTGTTGATTTCCTGATCGGTGATACAGTGCTACGAAACGAGAGTGACGTCATAGGCGGCCAAAAAACCTTTGATGCTGATTTGGTTGTAGGAAACGTAGAAGTAGCAGGGAAAATAAATAAAGTGGATGTTTCTCATGATTTAGTAACTGTTCATAATGATCAGCTCATCAAATCATCAAAGATTGAATCAGATGATTGGGGTTTTAACGATAGTTTATATCTCGGTGGCTCGCTAAATTCTATCAACATTACCAATGAGTTTGTTAGCGTAAGAAAACACGAAAAACTGACAGGAAAGAAGTCATTTGCGAGTAATCTCGAGGCTGGAGACGTAACAGTAGGTTTGCTAGACGAGGTTGCAGTGGACAAGTTTACAAAAGATCTCTTGACTAAAAACAATTCAAAAAAAGTTACTGGAATAAAAACCTTTAAAAAATCGCTACCGATACTTGAAGATGTGTTGGTTACAGGATATGTGAACAAGATAAGTTTGAAACAGCTGAAAAGCAAAGTTTTTCGTCTAAACAATTCAATGTCCGATAGGGGAAAAGCCTCCCTAGCATTTGCGTTGCCTGTTGAAATTCTAGGGAATCTTACAGTCGATGGAAAAATAAATTGGCTCGAATTTTCACGTGATTTGGTATTGACTAGTGGGAATCAAACAGTCGAAGGGAGAAAAACCTTCTCTAATGGATGCAGTGTTAAAGGGGATGTAACTGTTAACGGACTTATAGATGGACTGCAATCTGAAGATCTCTTTCTTACGTCATCGGATCAGGCAGCCACTGGAATGAAGATTTTCGCAAACTCTTTAGTTCTAAGTGGCAATGTCATTTTAAGAAAAGGAAATACAATTGGAAGTGTTCGTTTAGCTGAACTCAGAGAAGCTGCTGCGTTAATATCACGTGATCAAAATCTCACAGGGTCTTACAAGCTTTCTGAGATCAATTTTGATGATGCATTGGCGATTGATGATGGCACAGTTCATGGAAAACCTTTATCTTTCTATCAAACGTTGTTTCAAAATGCTGTGTTACTTGATTCTGATCAATCGATCACAGCTGCAGAGAATTTTGTCAATCATATAACTGTAAATGGAAATCTAGATGTAACAAAGAAGTTAAACAAGCTCTCTTTCCCGTCTGATTATCTTCATAAAATGAACGATCAAAATATATCTTCGATTTTGAGATTCAATGGCAACCTGTGGCTCAATAACGGAATCGAGGCTCCTAAAGTGGGCATGGCTCAGGTACGGAATGTAATAGTCACGATGGACAAAGATGGAACTATTCTTGGAAAGAAAACGTTTCTTGATGACATGACTGTGGTTGGAGATATTGTAAGTGAAAATGATGCTAAGGTCACTGAGGTTTTTAACAGTCTTTTCTTGAAAAATGGCGATCAAAGCGTTCAGGGTTCAACGAAAACCTTTGAGAGTGCTGTTGTATTTGGGGGCGTGAACGCATTCGAGGACGTTTCAGTGGACACTACTGTTGATGATGTTGATATTTCAGATCTCAACTCGAAAACATCTATCGATAGTGAGTCAGTTATTGTGGTCGAAGAAAAGATTTTTGATGGAACTGTAGAAGTGGGCAAAATGAATATTAAAACTGTGAATAACGTTAGCCTTGAAGAATTGCTAAAAGATATAGTTACATTGACTGGGAATCAAAAAATTCAAGAGTTTAAGTCATTTGATAGAATGGCAATCAGAGGAAATCTTATAACCAATGCAACTATTGATGATGTGGCGATTGCAAACCTCAGTAGCAATATTGCCACTGTCATGGATGATTTTGCTGTCGATGGAGCTCTGAGCTTTAATGATATATCGTTAAATGACCTAGAAGTGGATGGGTTTATCCATGGAAAAGATTTGTCTAATATGCGCAGAAATATCATCTTAAGATCCGAAGATACGAAAGTATACCAAGTCTTACTGTATCAGGAAACCTGAAGGCTTCTCAAAATATCGACTGCAAAATACTAAATGGTTTTCAACCGAGCCTCGATTTTGTTGTGAAGCAAAAGCACCAGACAATCAAAGGGATTAAGAAATTATCAAATGGTGCAGTTGTTAAGGGCAATATGGCAACAGAAGCCCTAGTAAATGGACTGAGTCTCATGAAATTGGAGGAAGAAGCTGTCACTAAATATACGTCTCAGGTAAGTCGATTTCTACTTTCGTTTGATTCCAGGCTTCTGTCACCAGTTTAAATGTTACTCTACTGTCTCCATGGTTTAGTTTTCTATTTTACCAGGATGTCTATAGCAAGAAGTTTGCTAGAAATCCCATGCTGATGGCAAGCAGCGATTTTACATTATACATAGAAAATTGATTAGCTATGAACTGATGATTTAAGCATATATGATATTTCTGTATTTAGTTAATTCAAAATACCCATTAGTAAGCTACATGTTATCTTGAAGTTTGCCACAAATTGTACTTTTAATGCTCATTATTATTGGTTTAAACGGTTTCTCTCTTTAAGGTGATACGTGGAATAAAAACAATAAATCGTGCTATATCCAAAAGCAATGTTATGGTCTATGATCATATCGATGGTGTTTCATTAAGCTGGCTGGAAAATAACATTGCATATATCAACAGGTAATCTTTACCGATTCTCTTTTGAATTCTACTTTCTCCTGTTTGACGTAACGCCCTCCAAGCATGGTAACTTGCAGTTTTTTTAGTTATGGGTACACAAATTTTACTTTATTGAGTGTTTCTTAAGCTCTCTGCCTACAAGGAGGTTTATCTCTAAAAAAGTATTCTTAAGTGATAAAATGTTTCTTTATTATGAGCTCTAATTTCTTGCACAACAACTTTCTTTTGCGCAGAAATTGCTCGATCAAAGGGCCTTTAGTGTTTAAAAATCAGTGCTTCATCAACGGTTCTTTGAATGTCAATGGCCTGGTTAACCAAATCAATCTTGGTGCAGCATTTGCTGATGCTGTGACATTATTAGAAAACGATGCAGTTGAGGGACAGAAGGAGTTTGACATCGCAGTAGTTAAAAACATGCACGTGGAACAGAATGCTGAAATCGAGGGACTCGTTAACAGTGTCAACATAAGCTTTTTGTATCAGGACGTACTGCAGACAGATGGCAATCATGTTACTAATGGGGTAAAGAATTTCAAAAAATCAGTTCAATGTCTAAATGAACTTCAACTGATTGGCCTAGTAAATGGAATAGATCTCGGTACTGATGTCGTTTCCTCCCACAGAAATCAAAAGATATTCGGTAAGTAAAGTAGAAAATTAAATCCACCAGAAAAAATGTCATATGTCAAAAATGTTTATGGTATTACAATTGTCTTCGTTTGTTAATCTTCATTTTGTTTGACTTCTTTGTTGGTGTTGAAGCTTGCTTCACTTGTGATGCTGTTCAAGATAGGCTTAAATGCTCATAGTAAAGGTGTTAAATGCTCAATTTTCATTAAATTCGCGTAGGAACTGTGCTGTGTTTTAGGAAAAATCAATTAGCAAATGAATACTGTCAATACTGTGGATTGTTATCGCCTCTTAATAATTTTATGATTCTCTTTAAGTTTGAGTCTCTGATAGAAACAAACACAAGTTATCAAAACCTGTTCTTCATTTAGAAAAACCTGTTCATTTATTTTTTTAATTTAGGAATGAAATCTTTTGACGAAGGTTTGAATGCAATCGGCAACATAGCCGTCTCAGAATTTTCAGATGGGTATGATCTCTCAGAAATAAGTGAAGACACAGCTCTGAAAGCCAACATGGGAATGCAACATGTAACAGGAATGAAGACAATAAAGAAAGGAACAGTTTTCATGCAAAGCATGTTTGCAAGTGGGAATGTAGATGGTTTCAATTTCTCTGCAAATGAGCCTATAACACTGTCTGCAGACCAGACTTTGTCAGAGCCTGTCGTTTTCAAAAACGCTCTCAAAGCTGAGTCTGGTATCCGGGCGAATAATTCAAATTTAGTAAAACGATTAAAAAGTATTGAAAGCAGAAGAGTTTTACTCAATCAAGACCAAGAGATCCAGGGTAACTATCAGTTTGCGAAGAATATCCAGATTCAGGAGACTTTCAAAGTGCATGGGTTAACAAGTGGGGGAAACCTAACACTGCTAAAGGATTCAGTCGATGGACTTAGTGCTGCAGTGAGACAGGCAGAATCAATGCAAGGAAATACTTGTAAGATGCTGAATTACATGCAACGAGTATTTGAGAGTGAGTTAACTCAATATAATAAATATAACTTGTTTACAAATATAATACATCTGTCACATTCTCAACTGAAATATGGAATATTAGAACAGTGCTGAGGTTCTGCATGGCAAAAAATGAAATGTTCAGCATATTTTTTTCTTCTCACTAAAGGGATTTTTAAAGATGTTCTAAAAAAATTTCCACGATTTTTCCACAATAGACAAAGTCTATTATTTTTAAAATGTTGATGGAATGGTTTATTTTATCGTAAAAGATTCCTATCATCTCTAGGTACATTACTCTTATATTTCGATGAACATACAGACATAAAGTCGTCTATGCCTGTTTCCTTGCAAATGACAACTTTCTCACTTTATCAACAAATATATAAAGTCTTGCATTTAAATTGAATTCTTGGTCTCACAAGGCAGGTTTGCCTCGTTCACCACCTTTTTTGAAGCAGTGATGTTCAATGATTTCAATAGTTAAGGCATGTATTTTGTATTTCATTCAGGTGTGCCACTTCAAATCGACTACTTTGAAGATTACCAAATTTTCGACAAACTTCAAACTAAAGAAATGTACCCATTTACAATTGGTGATGATAGATTTATAGCAGTGGCTGTTGTTTGGAATAAAACGGGATGCACTACAGCAAAAATATTAAAGTTTGATATTACGCATAACAATTTTACAGAGCATCAGATACTGCCTATAAAAGGTACTCATAAATTTACCTTTTTCGTTGAATCTGGAGTGGAATATCTAGTAGCTGCAGCCGACGCGCGTCCTTGTAGTACAACAAGTAAGTTTGCTGTTTTCTCCCAATAATTCTTTGATGGAACATATTTACCAAAACGAGACGTATGAAAAGTATTCAGAGATAACTGCTAATATATTCCAATGAAACATGGCTTTTAGGGTTGCGAAACATACTGTGCTTCATTTCAACTTCTTCAAATAGCCTGATGTTCGCATATAAAACTATGTTTCTATGTACCTTCTTTTCGATAAAACTAATTTTTGTGGTCGGAGATTGGCAGTTATAGAGAAGATGAACAAGTGACTCAAAGCAAAAAAGTATTTGCAGTTTAATAGTCAGCCATAACTTGAGAGGAAACTAGGATCAGGAAATCATTGTGATATTTCGTAAATATAACTCCTTTTTTATTTCTATCGACCATAGAAACAAAAGCTGTTAAAAGCCTTATTACTGAAGTTGAGGTTTTAAAGATAATTGAATTAGATGTTAAGCAGATATACAAAGAGAACAGAGAGTTTTTAAATTCATAATTAGAAATCGAGTCATTTTTACGTTTACTTATGATCAGTTGATTCTATTTATGGACCATTGATTCAAACCCTGCAGTTTTTCATCTTTGAAATTTCTAAATTTGTATGCCTATCATAATTGTTTCAGGCACAAGTGTCCTCTACAAGCTAGATAGAAACACAAAGATGTTCATAAGGCAACAAATCCTAAGCAGTGATAACATTGTCGATGTCTTGTCGTACAACGATGGCGGGGGACAGAGAATTGTGTTTGTAATATCATCTCAAAGAGAGCATTACGAGTTTAATTTGCAGATTTTAAAAAAGACAACCGATGTATTCAAAGCCGTTACAACACACAATGTTGGTGATTATCGTATGCGATGCATCGCAAGTCACAGAATAGGAGATGTACGTTTTCTAGCTGTAGCTTTGAGCCCACGCATCGGCCTTCTTCCGGAGACTCAGTATATTTTCAAAATAACAAACGATGATTTTTATGTTCATCAATTGCTTAATGAACATAATGTGCACAACATTGCTTTTTTCAATCACCTTTCATCGACATACTTAGTGATGTCTCTCCAAATCGGTATAGGAGTCCCCACTGGAAAGAAAGGTTATACTTCGCTGCTAACTCTTTCATCTTCGAAGTACTTCCATCATTTGATGTCTATTCCAGTAGAAAATCCGATTCAAGTGAAAACTTTCAATATCAAAGGCCAGACATTTATCTTAGTTCTCCATTTGCACGCTGGATTCACGCTCTTCAGATTCAGAACAAATGCCGTTCTTGAAAAGTTACTGAAAGTCCCCCACATTGGCCTAGAGCAAATTTCTCGCTTCGATATCAATGGCACCCATTACCTTACCATGGCAGCCAATTGGCCTGATAAGCTGACCACACATCGTGTGCAGAGGATACCGAATTCTAAAATACTCAAGCTCATTACATCAGGTATTTTCTCAATTAGCGTCAATCTTTACTATCAACTTTTGTCATGAGCATATAGAACATAATTTTCTTGAAAGTTTCTCAAAGAGCAAGAGATTCAAAATTCCGTACAGCTCATTTTCATGATTGTCATTCGCTTTCATGACAGAATGATGCAAAAAAATTGGATACATTTATTAGATAGTTCAAATATTTTTTCATTCTCAAATATAAATTTTGTTTCGATTGTAAATGAAAGCAAAATATTTAACGCTTTCTTTATGATTTTTTTAATATCTTTTATACCAACATATGAATGTTTGCTTGCATGCTAAAAGGGTAACATCTTGCTTTGCAAAAAAAATTAAAAACTAAAGGCACATTGGATGATGGTCTTATTGATGTTTTTAACTTTTTATACCATCGATGGCTCTTATCACCATTAATTTTTTGGCAAGGCATTCAGATGATATCGCTCTTCATTTTTTGAGATAAATTAATCATTCTCAATTTTATGTTGACAGGCATTGATCAACGCTACACTGCAGCAAAAAAAGAAGATTGCTAATCGACAATTCATTTTAGACACTTTAACATTTTATTTTTTATCGTTTGATTGTTCACTTTTAAAATTTGAAAAAAATTCCTGTTGTGAATTCGTCATTTTATAATGTTTAAAATGATTTTATCGTTTGACAATGTTTCTTACAAACCCTAAAAATTTAATTGTAAATAATTTCACAATAATTTCAAATTGTTCGTGAATTGAATGTTTTAATTGTTTTGATAATTTATTTGTTTCAAGTGAATAAAAAAGCGAAATTATTAATGTTTTTATTATCTCTTCTTTCTTTCTCTTAAATTGATGAAAGAATAGGTTCAGTAGTTTAATGTTGATTATACTACGTGTGTAGACTATCATTGAAATGTGCAAGGCATACAAATTTAGAAATTTCAAAGATAAAAAACTGCTGGGTTTGAATCAATGGTCCATAAATAGAATCAACTGATCATAAGTAAACGTGAAAATGACTCGATTTCTAATTATGAATTTAAAAATTCTCTTCTCGGCCACGGAATTCGCTAAAAAGCCCGTTTTGCTTTTCTTTGGCCCGTCATGTTTCAAGATGTCAGCACAGCTATAGAGACAATGCTACAAAGTTTAAACAATCTGTAAAAAAATTACTGATCAAATCTTGCTTATAAGCTTCATCAGTGCACATAGGATAGTCTGTTCTCTGCATGTTATGACCTATCAAATGCATGTGCATTTTGAAGTTTGGTTACTAATAAACGTTAGGTCAGATGTTAAAGGTACGAGGCAGAAAATGTGAGAGGTTAATGGTCATGACCTGCAACCTAATTTTCTTCAATAGGCGTAGGCAAAAATGCCTTCCATGAATCTAGGTAATATTGCAAAAATTAGCGTGTTTCGCGATTTCCTTAAAATTTAGTTTCAATAGATCAGTTACTGTAAAATGCTGTTTTTAAAAACTTATTTTCTGGGTTAGGCTTCCAAGTTTCTTTTGAAAAGAATGAATTTGAAAAGGCTGAAGAGTTTCTCACAAAATTTCTGAAACAAATACTCACCTGGAAAAGGAAAGATATCATTAAAGAAACAAAAAGGCTTTATACATGCATCTCATAACAAGCAGATTGTTTCTGGAAAATGTGATTGATATTTGCTTGGCTGCATGAGATTTTGCTCTGAAATAATACCTTATAAAAATGGATAAAATCCAAGCTCATCAGTTTCTTGTTTTTTGGTATATAATTATAAATGTAGGCCTGCATTTTCACAAAGTGCAGTCTTTTTCTCTAAGCTGTTTTACAACATTAGATTTTAAGTTCATTATCAATGAAAACGACGTTATTTTTCAAAAAATTATGAGAAGCTTTTCCCGTTTACTTCATCAATGTCTGCATTATGATAAACAAATATATTTTCTAGAGATTCTTCAATAGGGTAGAAAGCTTCGTTGTTATAATGAACTATATCATTTCTTGCGGCTGATCGTCCTGCATGCGTCCCTGTTCCAAATGGATAGGATTCACTGATTGCGTAGGCATCAATAATTGGGATACTGTACTGGCACATGATATTCGTCGCATAGGCATTGTACAGTTGGATTCTCTGCAAGGGAAGCAACAAATATTCACTATTTTCATTATTTGTTGCATAATCCTCCGAATTCAGTAGGAGGCTGTTTCATCATTGCTTTCGTTAAGAGAGCCAGCGACTCTGTCTTATTTTCTTATAATATTTGATTAAGCTATGATTTTGATTAATAAGTTTAAGATTAGGGAATGAGGTTAAGAATACATGACTTATGAGATGAATGAGCCCTGGGTACCAAAGTCACCATGGGCCTGTGAAACTTGAACCGCAAGAGCAAGAGATATATCCAATTAAACAAGACATAGAGGAAGTCTAGATAAACAGCAGACTACATCAGACTATGATTTATTGTTTCGAATATGATAGCTTTTTACGATAAAGTTATCTCTAATTGTTCAAGTTCTTTTCTCATTGATAAAATCCTCGTTAATTATACCCAAAAGTTACTTACATGGTTTGTGAAGAATCTTCGCCAATGTAACTGTGGGTAGTCGGCTCTCTCTTTGTTAATGGCTGTCGTTGTCTTCCAAATAATATTACCCATGAACCTTTCTTCTCCGCTTTCATTTTGATTTGTAATCAACTTTGCAAATCCTTCAATTAGTAACTCATAGTTTGAAAAGTTCGTACTTTCGACATAATGCAATCCAAAATTAACTATAACAATACTTTCCCTGTTGTTATACTTTGGTACAAAAACAACTCTTTTGAAGTCATCCAGGATTTTTGTAATGTTAAAATCTTTTTTATCTCGTTGTTTCTTTGCCAATGAAACATTTTCTACCTGGTAAATCCAGTTGTAAGAAAAGCCACATGATCTAAACAGTTTCCTGCAAATTTTGTAACGATGTTGAAGTGACTGTGCAAAAAATACATTGACTGAATCGCCATAAACTAGCAAATGTCCAGCTGGTTTTTCTTCTGCTAAATCTCTTCTATTTTTAGGTGAATTGTCTGCAAGGAAAGGAGACAAATATGAGTAAAGGTATTATCTACGTATCCTATGGTGCATATTCCTGTTGGCCTAGGCCTTGGGAAGCTAGTTATTTAATTCATTTCTAAATAACCAGCAAAGCCTTCTCTGTAGCCTCGATATTCAAATTTTATAAAGAAAAAATTATATTCGTTATTTGTTGGATCGAGGTTGAAGGGGGTCTTGAATCAATGTCTTAAAGGTAACGTAAATTCACTACTTCTTTGATCAACTTAATATCAAATAGTTTTACTGCTATACTTTGTAACTAACCTGTGAAGTATGAAAACCATGTGTTATTTCTCCATCTACCATTTCCATCCCAGATGAATCTGCAATTGCTTTTGCACAGGGGAGCTATCCAGAATAAAATGCAATGTTTAATTTGTACGAGTGCAAAAGGATTTTACAATTTCACAAGAAATGATCGATATTCTAACATTCAATATTCAATATTGCACACAGCAAAACGTTGTTGTTCTCTAGCTTATCACTGAAGAACACTTATCAAGTGTGACAAAACTTTCGAAAAGGAATTAAAACGTCACATTAAAGCATTTATCCACCATGAAAAGTTTTTTCTGTCATACAATCACAAGTATTTGGAAGAGAAATCTAGACAATAGCCATGGCGTAGATAAGATCTGCCAATCATGAAATCTGCACACAAATGAATGATTTTCCTTTGTGGAAAACAGTGAGGGAAATTCATTTTTCAAGTGGGGGGGGGGGAGGATGTCCACAAAAAAGAGCAAATTTGCCGACAAATGACATAATTTTGCCAACAAAACCGACAGTTTGGCAAAACCTGGGTTGTCCCCACACCCCCGCAATTTGCGCCACTGGTGGAAAATGCAGTAGTCACCAGGCTGAAAGGTGAATGAGACTTAAGTAAAGTTTGTTGGTATTGAATGAATGATAAGAAAAACTGTTTTTCGATTACAAAGCCTGCTTTCTGTCGTCATGGAATTTACTCTTTAGGGTAGACTTTTTCGGTCAAATATTTAAGATTTCATGTTTTAAAACGTTACTTTTCATTTCTTTGAAGAAATTTTTTTTGCTATTCGTTACTTTTGAGACAAGTCGATTCGTCAGGGCCTATCCCCTTGTCTGTGCAATACCTTGGTTTTGGAGCTATTTTTCCATTATCTGTGATACTTGATTGCTGTCAGTAACGTTGGTGACTTCTTGGTTGGCTTTATATATAAAGCAACCACCAGAAACATGAAAGCTTTTGTTCAATGTACGAAATGTTCGATTTTCGTAATTGCGTCAGGTAATACATAGCATTTCATGTGGATCAAACCTCTTGCAGGAACTTGTATTCTTCTTTCCTCAATAAGTATTTTGATAGGCGTGCCTTTTAATGGAGCCATCAAGAAGTCTTTTGGTTTTCCAATGACGTCAACGCCTTGATACTTTCCTTGTGAATTGCCTGAAAAAGGGAAATATACACTGACACTGCCAACTAATTTTTGAAGATTCTTTGCTGACTTATTGTAAACGACTTAATTTTTTGTCTGAAAAGGCCAGACACTAGTCATGACAAGCATAAGGGTTCCTTGTTATAGGATTCATTATCTTCATACAACAAGCTCATTGATTGAATTTCCTATTTGCCCATATCTGTTCAAAACATACTCAAGCCATTTTCTATCCAAAGCTCGATTCCAACCTTGATATAGAGGATGTAAATGAAGGAAATCAAGGCGAAAAGTGAGGCAATTTTCAAGATAGCCAAAGGGCCAGAAGCCACAAACAACGTGTAATTGGGCCAGAAAAGCTTTAATCAGCAGTAGAGATTGAAAGAAAACTGCGAAATAGCCTGTTAAAATAACTATTATAATAGCCTTTACAAAGCCGTTAAAATAGTCTTTGCAAAAATGTATCTGCAGACAGATTCTTGTGCAAATCCAAACATAAAATCTTCAAATTAATACATTTTAGCATAATTAAATCATCAACCTAGTTAACTCGCGTCAATCTGCGTAACACAGTAGCCTACTTCATTAAAGATGGTACATCTCGGTGAAGTAAAATCAAGCATTTCATTTAACATTTTATAAGCAAATACCTCGAAGAATATTGGGCTTGCTGGACAAACTGATTTGGAGAAATAGCCTTTTTGCAAATGCTTGGATATGGTGTGATCCTAACTTGATTAATTATTAGCATTTAACTTTGTATCTTAATGGCACAATTATTATTGCAGTTGTCATGTGTGGGTGAGTGTCACGATTAGTACTGTACAGAAAACAACTGCGATAAGCACTTGGTATCCACGTCAAATCGCAGATGTAGTGTGGCATATCAGGGGGCTTTTGATATTCATCATCGATATTTATTCATCATTAATAAATAAAAGTTTCCATGCTCATGAATGCTCATTCTAAGTTCTAAAAAAGATATGATATTGATTCTCATTTAGTTTTAATTGTTACAGATTTCGATAGCAAAACAGTTAAGATATTGACATTAGAAATTGCTTTTGTACCCTAACCTCGTATGAACCAGTCTTTTGGTGGATTTTTCAACCCATTGCATAAGGAATAATCCAGGTATATGCTTACAAAGTAGACTCCAAAATCGTAACACAAAAATGCGATTTCGTATGTCCCATTTCCATAGTCTAAGACACTAACACTAATTGTAGCGGTGCCGTTAATTTTGACACGCCAAGAGTCTCCACCAATTGTTTTTATAAATCCCTGTCTAGTTTTTGTAGTAATGAAAATCTTTGATATTTCACCCGCTGGTTTCAAGTCGATCATAGATACGAAAGTTTTGTTTGAATCCGTTTCAAGTAATGGAGACAATTTTCTCCCAGTTTCCCATGACATAAATTCTTCACAGGAACTCGAAATCGCACGCCAATCGCTCTTTGATCTAGAAATCCAACAGAATTGATCTGCGAAATCGTTTCCATATCTTGTGCCCCCTATCACAGTATTATTTCCATTCTTGAACGGTTGGTGTGTTGCAGTATTTGGCAGCAGTTTTTTGTTGAAATACTGGACATAAAAAACCAGTAAAATTCCCACTATCACAACTAGAGTAAAATATTTCTGGTTGTATTTCATCAACATCGAAATTAAACGAAAAACTGGAATCTTAGGCCATGAATTATTTTATGAAATGTAAACAAAAGGACTATCTTTTGAGAGTAAAAGATTAGAAGGTAACCTGTTAACTGGTACCAACTGAGGACGTTTGCATGTATATGCATATGCAACACAGTACTAGGCATTTATTTTATAGGCACACCAGACACCCTCCTTGCAACTGCTATCTTACTCAATATACTCAATTACCAATGAAAATTTATCTCATAACGATGGATTTTCGTCGCCGTTTTGCTATGTTTCTGAATTTTGTCCTCATATTTATATTATACTCATTGCAAGATTCACAGAATCCAGCGGACAGCCTTCTCACACACACAATACCAATGATTAGTACATGTTGAACTTTGTAACTTGTAAGAGCGGAGTTAGTATGTAAACACACGTCACCTAGAAAGCTAAAAAGCTACAGGAAAATTATCAGTCAATTGACAAAGTAAATCAAACGCGCCATTTTATTTTCCGGCATATTTTTTATTACAACTTTGATGTAACTTTTCATTTTCATTCTCATCATTATCCAATTTTTCATACTCAAAAGAATGTTAGAAGAAAAAGTGCTTTTGACCTTTGATGTAAAAAAAATTGTCACTTTTCTTGTAACTTTGGTAAGAGAAGAATGGCTTATTTGAAAGCTTATTAATTCTTTTGTAATTATACTGATTCAATAGCAAAGCTACAGACAATTCAAAAGAGGGTGTAACTTTTGATACTCTAGCCGATATACTCTTTCTTTTAAGAACCGGTAGAATAAAGTACAGGCCGGCTGCTCTTAATTTTTACGAAAACCTAAGGCTGGATTATTCTTATTTGTTTTTCAATTTTTAGGGTGTAAGCAATGCAGTTGCTAGCTATTGTGCTCTAGGAGGTGTTCAGGCCTCGTTTGCTAACAAAGTAAGATATCATTTATTTGCTGACAAGTTTGAAAATCCCTAGATGCCACAAAACGCCTCGCTTTTTAGATGAAACATACTTAAAAATGACATTTTATAGTAGCTCAGCCTTAGCTTTTTCTTAATTTGTTCTTGACGTTTGACCAATTTTGTGGCTCGTGTTCTAATAAAATTGGTCTTAAGGAAGAGGTGTAGTGAAAATATAGCTCAATTAATACGTTCAATAAACATTGATATGACATAACATGAGAAGATATTATATATTCTCACTATTCTGAGACGAAGAATTTAGCATTTCAGCATGATTTCATGGGCAGAAACAGAGAGTAATACTTGGCAGATCAATTGAAGGGGGGAGGGGGCATTGAAAATTTTGTGTGAATGGACTGCATTGGCACATATACTTTATTTTATTAAGTAAGAAGGATGGTTATTTGAAACTGTTATTTGATTCTATTGACATTGATAGTAGATTCTGACCGACGTTTGTCATTGGATTTGCTATAAAATGCCCAGTTCTTTTTACTCAAATTTCGTCTAAACCAGGGATTGGCAATTAATTTTTGCAAGAGGCCACACGAGAAACCTGAACTGTGTTGAAGGGTCGAACAAGCGATTACTTTACTCTAAACAATGTTCATTGTCTTTTGATGCAAAAAGCAATGACTTTTCAAAAAATTAAAAAGATTTTAAAGAGAAAAGTAGCAAAATCATAACAGAAATTTTATAATATTTTTCATCAATGTTCTGTTTAAACCAACATTCATGGTTCGGACAGCAATGTCCGAATGGCCGGGTGCGGCCTGCGGGGTGAAATTGCCTAGGTCTGTTCTAAAAGAAAACTAAGAAAGTTAAAGAGTTTCTCTGTTACGCTGGCACGAAATAGCATAAACACGATATACTTTGACTTTCTTTTAATTATTTAATAAACATTTTGACTTTGAATGAAACATTGCCAATCCACGGCATTTTTAAACTTTTTCCCAGCTGAGAAATTAGCATTTTTTCTGTAAAACAAAACAAAACGACATCTTCTGGAATTAGAGCACTAGGGAAATAAGGCACCAAATTTTAAATTATACTTTTTAAGACGTATTTAGATTTTGTTTGCATGTTGATATTGCAAAAGCCAAACCCGATTACTCATTGGCCTTCAGAAGAAGTAATTTAAAATATAAAAAATATAAAGGCCTCTATGATTTTCAATATTTTCGTATTTAAAGTGGCTGAAATGTCATTTATGATTTATTTATTGTTTGATATTCCATCAACGCATAATAAAGCTATATGCCAACCAAAATTTTAAGAGCAAGGTAATCCTAAATGGGAACACTTTCAGCAAAATCATACTGGCTCTGTCGTTAAGTACTCTATTCTGTTATAAAACATTGTTCTGTTTAAGTTACAATTCAATTTCAGTAAAAATCTAGGCAATGCGATTTTGTGGTGTTTCTCCAATCATCTGATCAAATAACCACACCATTCTTTGTATAGAATTAGATAAGACAAGTAATTGCTACTTTCCTGAGAATTTGAAACAAAAGAACCCCGATAAATCTTCACTGAAACTCATTAATCATATATGGACGCCGTCACCTTCAACAAACTTTTTTGCAGAAGGTTGCTTCGCCATAGAAATATGCGTCTAAATTGATTAGACGGTCCAGGTTATTCAAAATGCATGTACGCTCATTTTTTATAAGAAACAAATGTCGATGTTGAGCAATGGCGGCGCCAGCCACTACGCTCTGGGGGGGGGGGGACAAAACAAAAGATTGTAGGCCACGCCCTTTTCTAGCACCAGAAAATGCCCTTTTACTAACAAGGAACGCCATTGTTACCTGAGGGAACGCCCATGATTCACTTTTGGCTATATTGTAATAGGGTTATTTGCCAAACGAATGCATACACCCTATCATTATCTTCGAGACTAAATGGTCCTTCCATCAACGAGAAAAGAAACAAATAGACACAATGATAATGTTGAAACCTCTTTCTTCAGATCAAACGATCTTTCCGCGATAAAAGGTTCTATAAATATAATATTTCTCTACGGTTGTCCCGTAACGTCGATTCGTTCTCTTAATGTCAGGCACAGTCTTTCTCAAGCACTGTCCTCTCAAATATGTCAGATAATCCACAATAATCGTCACGCGCGATGTCTTAAATAGCTATACGTATCCTATAAATCCATAATTTATGCCGACAAGATCTTTTACAAGCCTCTTGCCAAATAAGTGAAACGTCGAGAACCTAAATATACAAAATATCAAAACTTAACCTAATCGCTCTTAACCGACTTCAACTCCAACTCCAACTCCAACGAACTCAAAAACTAACTCTATATGTAACACGCCCAAAATATAACTAAACAAGAACTTTATGAAATGCTACATATCTATGTAAATTAACATAATAATAAATCTACATAATTTGTTGTTTCTTAAGAGATTCTTAACTATGATTAATTTTAACATCGGGCAATTGTTCATGCTGTGAAATTTTCCAGCAGAAACATTTGAGGAAATTTTTCGCAGCTGCAAACAGAAAGTCTCGTCGATGTTTTTGTTGTTTCAAATGCTCGTGGCATTTGTCAAAAGATTTGCTTATGTCCTTATGCTGTACTTAGATGAGGGAGATTTAATTCATTAAACTATATGTGTCAAAAGTTTCATGCAGACCAACCAATCATATTGATGGATTTCCATGAAATTTTGGAGCTCTGAGTTTTATTGGAATTCAATTATTCCTTAATTTTTTGCTGCTTATACTTTTCTGGAAGACCCGTACTCGTTGCTTATAGCAAGTTTCTTATAAAAAATGAACGCAATGTCCTTTAGTATTTGAAAAAAACCTTCAATCTCAGTCTGTACAAAACCTGTATCACGGTTACACAGTGTGCATAGATCATATTTACAAATGTTCGTAAAATTTCAAATTTGATTTCCTCTTCGATGAGTTCATATTCATCCCGTTCCACGCCACGATGTTAAACAGGATCCCTTTTTCTGAAATTATTTCACAAATAAGCTGACTTATCTCTGACACCTGGATAGGTTTTGAACTCTAATTTGTGTAAACTCTCATTGGAAAGAATAAAACATAAAACAAGTGTAAAATAGTTCTAAAGATGGGTTTGGTCATGCTTAGGAGGTCAAAGGATAATCTGGCTTGTGGAAAGTGGCCATTTTTGGTTTTCACTAATTTTCTCAAAACACCCCTTTTAAATAGTCCACTTCCCATAGTTTGAGCAGTAGAGACCCATTTGTCGGAGAATTCGCGAAGTCATGTAAGGATGATAAATTTATTTCCTGCTTTCGGGGACATTCATCTTCCCCCGAGTAAGGGGCTGCATCATAACTACACGTATGATTCATTGAATTGAATTTTTCATTAATCACGTGACGTGGGCGGAGTATGTGCTCCAATAAAGCGTTGTCAAGCAAATGATGTTATAAACCTCATTCCCTAAGAATCTATCTTTTCTTAATATTAAAATTAAATTGTCTGTTGAAATTTATGTTTTTGTGTCACGATGACGATATCAATTTGTCTCTGGCCTTTCTGTTCTTGCATCCGACGCTGCGTAGGAGCGTGGGTGGGAGTTCCATCGATGCCTCTGCTATCACATCTTTCCGCATAATTCAGAAGCAAGCACAGTATTTGCCTTCCGTTCTTGCTCGTCGTTGTTCTTTTAATTTGCCTAACAAGATGGCTAACGACCAAGAAGAAGAATATTATGGTTATTATTACAATGAGGAAGAGGATAAAGGACTCCTAGATCCGGCTTGGGAGCGTCAGCAAACTAAGGTACCATGTTTGACAGTTGGCACTGGTTTAATTTCTAAAGACACGTTAAGTGTTGTGAGAAATAACCGCCATTATAATATTGTTTTAATCCCCTCTATTCCTTATTGTACCTAGTTCTTACCATTACTTAAGAGCATGCAGATTTTCGTTAACGCGGCCTAATACCGTCTTATGCAAGGAGTCAAGTTGTTAGACAGTTCCTGAAACATTCGCGTGATTGTAGGCTAAATTTTAGTGACAAGGATTGTCAACCGCTTGAGTTATAGAAAGCTGCATTTTCATCTTGGAGAGGCTTTCAAGTTGCACAGCAGTGTGATTTATTCAAAATTATTTAATAATCTGAGAGTCGTTAATGCTCACTTTGCCTTATTGTCTTTTGTTGGCATTTTTGTAAACTGGAACTACCCATCTTGGATGAGAGGTGGTTAGGCCATTAGGTTGTAATCTAACATGTAAACGCTTATTGAGAATTGTTGTAAATTATTTGTATATTTATTTTGCGACCACATTCATTTATTTTTCAACAGACTTTCACAGCTTGGTGCAACTCACATCTTCGTAAAGTCAACGTTCAGATCGAAGCAATTAACGAAGATTTTCGTGATGGGCTTAAACTTATGCTTTTATTGGAAGTCATTTCAGGGGAGAAGTTCCCACAGCGCCCAGAAAGAGGGAAACTACGATTTCATCAAATATCCAACGTGAATAAGGCGCTGGATTTTATCAGCAAGAAAGGTGTGAGGCTCGTTGGGGTGGGGGCTGAAGGTAGGTTAATGCTGCGAAAATACTTCTCGTTTCAGTTTTGTCCGTGTTTGACTTCGCCCGAACTTCTGTTTCACCTTTAATCGATAGTCGAAGTTCTTTAAAGTTTAAAATATGTATGTATGGTGATATTAATAGGCATTATTAATAGATTTGATAATGTTTGTTTATTATTTTCATTAAATTAAATGGTGTAGCCTATTGAAATAAATGTTAAAGATGTTTTTTATTCAAACCACACAAATTAAAATGGCTTTTTATTTTGGAAACATTTTTGAATGTAATAGTGCCTTTTGTCATGTTAGTGTTTTATGGAATTAAATACCAAAATCAAAACAAAAAGTAAATGTGGATGGTTGTTATGAATATTGCATTCTTTTGAGACCAATCTTCAACTAATTGTTAGGAAGGAAGTATTTTTGTGACCTGATTTGATGGACTAACAGCAGGTTTTTCAAACACAGTTAATTTGTGGTCCTGTCTCTGTTTTTCAGTCATCTAATTTGTTGAACACAAAATGTACCAAAGTTTATCTTTGATTTCAAAACCTAACCTAACTAGTAGGGAAACTAAACAATATCTTAAAACCATGTTTACTGCTATAAATCCTTCTATGTTTGATGCAAAATACACATGAATTAAGGAAAGTCAATATGTTTGATTAGAGGCAGGTAACTTATCCCCATGAAAACAATCTCCTAACATTAACTTTATTTATCTTTTGGAAATGATTCATTAAGTGGATAGTAAAAGTAGACTGTAGTATTTTTCTTTAATATTCTAGCTGTCACAGACTCGCTGAAAATATCAAAGGGGTAATTAAAAGGAAGGGTGAATGCTAAACATGCTTGTAAATAAAACTAATCCTGGAGTAAAGAAATTTTAAGCATCTACATGTTTTTTGAACAATTTCTGTATTGGCTGTAAGGTTAAGTTTTCTATAAGTAAGATTATACATGTTTGTAGATGCAAGATTAATTTTTAAGTTAATATTGAATATGTTTACAGATGAAGGATTATATAATTTTTTATGTTAATTATCAAATGTATATATACATTTATTTTGTATAATGTGTGTTACAAACTCAGGTAATCATATTTAAAACCATCAGCTAGCATCAAAGTATCACTAACCTTTTCTTCTCATAATTGCTTTTACATTTACAGAAATTGTAGATGGAAATTTGAAAATGACTCTTGGTATGATCTGGACAATTATTCTGCGATTTGCCATCCAAGATATTTCTGTTGAGCGTATGTAGAAAAAATATTTTCTTTTTTTCTATGGTGTGCATGCTAAAGCATCCAAGATTGGGATTTCCCTTCATTTCCCTTAAAATCAGGGTTTGGTTTTCATATATTTAATAGACCTTGACGAGAGTGTAATATAACTTGATGTTATTGAAATGTAATTATGTTCAATGATAACAGTATAAGTAGCTATTTTTAACTCTTTTTTAAATAAGCAAATAAATGAATATTGTTAAATCTGAAAACTTATTTTCTGATTTTTGAAGCATAAATTTTGTTGAATAAATCCGAGTTTTTCCCCCATGTCACTTGTTTCATAAAAGGCAGTTCTGGATAGAAGAAGTTGAAATGGATCAATTTTGCTGTGTATTGCATTTTCTGTAGTTTTCCCACAGGTTATGTTAGTAATGGCTCATTTGTATGATTAATTGATCTTTATGCAGACTCTTCTCTTAACAGCATCAACATTATCCCATGATTTTTTTGAATTTCTTTATCTGATTCCTTTTTATTAGGATATTACATGCATTTAATTATTATTTTATTAACTAATTAAAGTTTGACACAATTCTTTCCCACAGAATTTTCATCTAAGGAAGGTCTTTTGTTGTGGTGTCAGAGGAAAACTGCTCCTTACAAGAATGTCAATGTACAAAACTTCCATATGAGGTAAAAACACCACAGGGATGTAGATAAGAATCAGTGCCCTAACAAGGCACTTCCTTTGGATGAAGAACTCACCTTATATTCTCAGCAGGTTTACTTCTGTCTGCTAAGTGTCTATTCCATCACCATAGTTCCAACAGGGATAGCAAAATGGCTTTATCCTCTTACTCAATGAATCTAAAGGATCATACTTGAAGTACTTTATCCCTCTGTATGTGGCAGCATATTGTTTTGTTAGGCTATGAAAGACTTAATAACCAAATGTGCATTATTATTAAATGATGTGGAGATATGTTTGTTTAAGTTTATGACCCTTTTGTAAACTTGAAAGTATACAAAAGTAGACTATGGTTATAGTCACACAAAATATTTCTTGAAAAGCTATGACAGTAAACATATCATGACTATAAACAGAGCTTTATTGAAGAGATTTGCATATCTGTGCCCTAAATTTAATGTGATTGTAAATAGTGGTATTGTGACTTTTAGCTGAGTGACTGTTGTTTTTTATTTTCATTTGTACTATAAATAGTGAATAATATGTATAACACAGAATGTTTTCTGTATATATTTACAAGCAAATGGAAATAACTGCTTAACAGGTTTGTCATTAAGTGCAGAGCTGTGCAGAGAAACTCTGATTGGCAGTTAAGAACCAAAATGTTCTATACATCAAAGGCATACATTTATATGCATGTTATCTTTATCACAATCTTAATTGCCTGTCAAATTTATATTCCAGTTTCAAAGATGGTCTTGCGTTCTGTGCTTTGATTCATAGACACAGACCTGATCTGATTGATTATGACAGCTTGTCAAAGGTATGTAAGGATTTGATTAAAGCAATGCTCCAAGCAGGTTGTCACATCTTTTCTAAATTTTTTTAGTGTCAAGTTGTGTTGAGTGTCCTGTCCAAGGCTCACTGAAAGTTAGGTAATTTTCGTGGCATAGCCTCTTAATGGTTGTTATACTTTGATAAATACCAAGATGGGTGCATTTGGTGCCAATATTAATTAATATACAAAAATCCATTGCATATCATTCCTCCACCAGTTTGATTCTTTTGTAAGCAATGTTCATTTTTTGACTTTGACTTTTGTTTCGACTGGTAACAAACCCATCATTTTTTTATGCTCAAACTATTTTCTTGCTATAAACAACAATGATTGTGTTCATAAATTGTCTTACAACTTGTCATATTTAGAATGGTTGTCATATTTACAACTTGTCATTTTTTATCTGTATCTAACAACTTGTCATATTTATAATAGTTTACTATTAAAACGCCTCATCTAGTGACATAGGTTAAATAGCAGGTCATGCGACTCATCACTTCTGACAAGATTATTTTTGAATTTTGTTGTTTTTGAACCAAACAAGTTTTCTTTGTATAACTTCTTGTAGCCTAACCTTTTTGGTTAAAAATGATAGTTTTATGTTTATTTGTTTTTTTTATATTTGTTTGTCTAGAAAAGTTATCAGTTTGACATATGATTTGAAATGGCAATGACATACACATATTCAGCATTGATTCTATATAACTGACTCAATATATGTGGTAAACTTTTGATGCACATTTGAGTTCAAGTAATGAGTCATTAGCTAATTGTTTGTACAAATTAATTAAGCAACTTATAAAATTTGAAATTGACCAAACTTTACAGTAATAGGCATATTGCATCATATAGTGGCAGCCCACCAATTTTTGTGTGAAATGATTTTTCAAAAGGTCTTTAGCGAAGTATGAATAATCCTGTCTTTGAAAGACTGATCACCCTAATTCTTCAAATACTTTGTTTGTTAATCCTAGAAAAGCAATCCACAGTATATTGAACTTTTTTCATGTTTCAAAGGGCAAGTTCAGGATTATATTTCCGGTTTTTAATGGAAGCTCTTTCGACATTCCAATTTTATTAACTCATTGTTGTCAGGAATTCCATGCACTTATATTCAAATATGAAAGATCTAACTCTGTTTTACACAGAGCACTCTTATGTGGCAAAAATGGAGTTTTGGATTACCCTACTGAAATAGCCATTAGGGAAAGGGATTTGTGCCTGGACTTGCTTCGTCTCGTATTTAATTAGGCGGGATTAAGAAGCTCAGTGGCACGAATAATAGAAACAGGAAGGAGATTCTTTCTTGAACAATGCGTCTACTGGAAGGAGCTGCGCGCAATTTTACTTGGGTATCCTCGATGGTAGAATTGTTTCACAAGACTTTGGCCTGCACAAAGACTATTCCAAAGTAGCCTGTTTTTATAGCTAATGTGATTTTTCCTCGATTACAAGGAGTGAATCACAACGACCTCCTTTTGGTAGAATGCATTTATGTCCAATGATATAGAAGCGCCGAAGGCGCTAGATGTCTAACTGGGCATAATTGCCCTTTGAGCTGGTGAGGCAAAATCACTGAAGCGGTAAAAGGGCAAAAAGACGATTCCGCATAAGGGCTCAGTACAGGACATCGCAAGTTTGACGAAGAAAAATCAAGATTATCGAAAATTAGCATAATTTTGAAAAGTTAGTTATGCTTTGCCAGCTTGCCGTATTAATTTCAAAAGTTTTAAGCCATAAATTGTGTTGTTGAGTAGGGTTTCAAAATTTTTAAAATATTTATTGCTGCGGCGCTCGCACGGTCCACTCTGGCCTAGGCAATTTTTACCTTTTCAGGTAGACTGTTTTCGGGTTTATTTGCAAAAAACCAAATATAATTTCAAAATTGGGTTTATTCTGTATTTTATAAGTTGAAGGGTAGATGTAAGCAAGTACTCTTAGTCTTATATCATTATGACAACTTGTTAAATGAACACTCCCTTACTTCGGCAACCCCCTGCATATGACTTCTAGTAAAAATTTCAGATGTAAGGAGTGAAAATTTTTATTATAAATATCCATTTCAAGTTTTTCCTATGACAAGACCTTCCCTCTAACATTCATCAGCAAATCAGACTTTTATTTACGGACATCAGGATGTTGTAGGAAGGGGGCGTGGCTGAACCAGGATTGAAGATGACCTCTTTTACCACGGTTCCTTAATGTTACGATAAAAAATTAACACAAGATTTTTGTATAAGCACGACATTTTTGTAAATAAGCCCAAAAATAATCTTCCTAGAAATATGAATATTCTCTAAACCAGAGTGCCCTTATCAACGCCACGGTAAAAAAATTTTTTAAAAATCTCAAAACCCGTGTACAAACAAAAATTATGGCTTAAAACCTTCTAAATGCATACGGTAAGCTGACAAAATATATGTCACCTTCCTAAATTAAATAGATTTTCTAAAATTTTTGGTTTCGTTTGCCAGCTTCGGAATTTCCCATACTGAGCCCTTATGCGGAATCGTCTTTTTGCCCTTTTACCGCATGAGTGATTTTGCCTCACTTGAGAACAATAGAGTTAGACATCTAGCGACTTCGTCGCTTATATATCATTGTTTATGTCCTTATATACCAGTTTGCTCATGCAAGAATTGTACGTCAGGATCCTTGGGGGCCCTTTTGAAATTACATTCCAGCTTTTGAATGTACTTTCAAAGGAACGTACAGGAATTTCAAGCTATTGCAACAAAGGTTTGAAAGTTATGATGTATTTGATACAAAAAATCGTCCCCCTTGCGCAGACTTAATAACTTCCTCTTTTTTAAAAGTCTGCACACAGCTGTACACAGGCTACTAGGAGAATGAAATCAAGCTCATCTGAAACCAAAGAACACCGAAATTCATTGAATCAAATGTAACATGAAATACCAAGAATGTCTTTGAAAGAACGCGCGTTTTGCTGAAAGGGTCTTCACATTTCATAAATATTTTTTTATTTTTTGTAAGACCTGAATTTTGCACTAAAGACAAACTGATCCTTCAAGTAATAAAATCCCTTGCTCAGAAAATTTGAAATGCGTGGATGAATCATCTGAAATGATTTCAGTTCTTGTGGTTTGGTTAAGTTCATTTACAGCTCAGCGCAGCGTGTTTGGTTGAGCCTCCCCTTTTGGTGTAGTTGCATTTGACTTCCTTATTGGCCGAGAGAAAATTCTTGGATTTTGTAGCATTAAAGGAATTAGCATAAAACCAGAAAACTTGGCTCCAATTTCAATTTACTTTATGAATTTCTTTAAAGGTAAAAGGTTGCAAACTCAAACCGAAAATTTGCAAATACAACTAATCAAATCTTTGAAATGTCTTTGTAGAAGACCATACCACTTTTCTTTTGGTAAAATTTATTTTATTCATTTATAAGTTATCTCTGATCTCTACCGGTGTGAGTTTAAAAGATATTGAAATGAGATTCTCTTTTTCATATATAAATTAAATAGATTTTTTAAGACGTGTATCTGATTGGATATATCTGAATGATTACGAATATGATCGCCAAGTGTTTTGATTTCATCACTTAATTGATTGCTCGTTAGTAAACCTGGATGACAGTTATTGTGTCGACTGTCTAACTTTTATTAATACCTTTACGTTGGCCTAAATTCGCGATTCAGCCATTTTTAGCGAGTCTTATTAAAAAAGCCCTTCCACATGTTTGATCTCTTGAAAGGATATTCTAACGTATCTCAAATCATTGCTGACCGGGAAGGTGTTATCTTTTCGTAGGACAACCCTGCTGGCAATCTCAATTATGCATTCGAAGTTGCGGAGCAGCACTTGGACATCCCCAAAATGTTGGATGCAGAAGGTAAAAGCTTCCCATCTAACCAATTTATACCATATATAACAACTCTGGCCATTCAATCTTCATTTTGACACAAAATATTCTTATTTGAAATAAATATAATTTATAGCCTTGATAGTTATAGGCTTTTTCCGGCACCTGCAAATCTCGAAAATTTTAAGGGCCTAAATTTGAGTAGGTGTGGTATTTCACGTTGTGGTATGATAATGCCATGAATGGTTAGACAGTGTTTAGATTCTATAGTGCTTGGTCTGCATATGATCAGTGTGAAGAGGCTGAAGAACTGAACAGAGGTTTTTTAATGAAACATTGAGATTACACCGGAACGAGTTCGTTTATTGTTTCTGTTGCGTGACCAGAAAGAGAACACTTGAGGTCTTTCAAGAATGAAAAGTATTTTGCAAAGTTGAGTGAAGCGAGTAAAGTGATGATTCTTTGTGAAATGTATTGTTTTGGTGTTTGTTTGAGATATTCCACGAAACACGCACGACTTATTTTTTCTCAGTGTGTACAGCTGACAAAGGCAAACAGACATATGAAGTGCATTTCTTATCAAATGATTTGCACGTAACAATCATCCATCAGCTTGCAGTTAATATTTTTATACAAATAGAGAAAAGGTTTATAGCTAAACTGTTTTAAGAAATACTCTCTGTAAAGAAAGATTCAGGTCTAAGTTTTTTAAGATTTTTAAAATTTCAAAGTTAAGAGTTTAATCATATACTTTCAAGGCCAAAAATTACTTTTAGGCCGAAAGATAATCGACTGTTGCTAAGCCTGTTCACATCAAAATCAGTTTTTCCTTTCGTTGACACCAGATTGGCCTAGGTGTCACTTGTGCAGTATTTTATGAGATGATACCGTGACTCCTTTTTTGACTTTTGCTCTTCTTTGCGACATATAATAGCGTGAATTTCTAGTTTTATAAGCTTGTAAAACTTAGCCTTAGGACTGTATTCCTAGAAGGCAAAAACTTTGAATTACCTTGGTATTGCAAGATAAGTTACAGATAACATGTTCAAAAAGTCCAAGTGACCTACGTATGTTTACTTGAAGGTAGGGGCCTGGACATCGTATTTTCACAATTTAATTTTTTTAGATATGGTTGCCAATGTTAAGCCGGACGAGAGAGCTGTGATGACATATGTTTCATGTTACTATCATGCCTTTTCAAGTTCTCAAGCGGTGAGTTGGAAATTTAGGAATTGGTTTCTTACATTTGCATACATCTTGCTATTCATGCCTATGATATCTTGTTGTTTGTTGCTAGTAACATGCCTCTTCAGATTCACAAGTTAGAATCTAGCTCTTTGCATTCTGTATACATCCTATTACTTAAGCATGAGAGCAGATCATTGACAATAGGTCACCTTGTCGATCTCATGGAAAACTACTGGAAAAATGGACAGTTGTAAAAATGTTTACTGTGAATTATACCACCTTTTGCTTTTTTGGTGTCACTGTTTTAAGCATATTTGAACATGTTTTCTAATCCTTTGCTAAAATTTTCAATAATATAAATTGCTGGAAATAAAACCTCTAATGATAATATACTATGCCTCTTTTATTGGTGTATGCATCACTGTGTTTTCTAGAAAGATAGAATGATTGCTGTTACCATTCATGCTCAATTGAAAACAGATAGTGTAATTTTTGCATGCGAATTTCCTTTGTGTGATAGAGAGAGAGATTCGAGTCAGATTGAAGTTTTACCTTTTTTGCAGGCTGAAACTGCAGCCAAACGTATTGTGAAGGTGTTGAACGTAAACCAAGGCAATGAACAGGCAATGAACGAGTACGAAAATTTGGCATCTGATGTAAGTTTGCAACACGTTATCATCAACAATACCTGCCAAAAATACTTGAGCACTCAGGAATTTGTGTTGTATTTTGTATCTGTCTTTTCTTTTCCGAAAAAATTATTACCTCTACCCCCTTGCCCCTAGAACAATGTTGATAGATAAGCAAATATCATACAAGTAACTGAAAAGAAGATCCTTCCAAATCTCCTTTTCTATTCTATAGTAAATCAATATTGCTCCCTGGGGGAGAGGGAAATGGCTGAATTTGACTTGAAAACTGACGTCAATGTTCTAAGAATGTTGACCGGCACTGTAGCAATTTTTCCTTGTAGTTCGTCTATTAAGGAATATTTTTTGCAACCATCAAAAGCCTTGTCTCCGAATTCAATGCTGGACCATGTACCTAACCATGGCTTCGATACCAACTTCCATCCATCAATAATTACTTTCTAAGATTTTTCAGATCCTCTCCATTTTATATTTTACTTTACTGAGAGCTTCTACAAGTTTCTTCTTCTGTTTTAAGCCCTTTTACTTGGTTAGTGAAACAATCAAACCCTAGCGTTGTCTATGTGAAGGTGTATATGTAACCTTGTTTAATTTGACTTTTCATACGTAAAGAGTGCTACAAAAGTTATCACACTAAGCTGTTTTGTATTTGCTGCTATCTCAGCGTTCATATTTTTACCTGTAAATAATCAGAAGGGTATCAACTATGTTTTTCAATTCTGATCTTTAGCTCCTTGATTGGATTAACCAAGTGATGCCTTGGTTGAACAACAGAAATCTTGATGACAACACACTTAAAGGTGCCCAGGTAAGCGTCCTTCAGCTCATTCATTCGAACTTAAAGATAATTTCTTCAGCCATTCTACAAACTGGCTTGGATTTCGTTTGCAGTGATTGTCACTATATCTCTTTCAAATGACAGTCCCCATCAAGTTCAATGCTCAACCTCTTCTATTCAATTCAATAACTTTGCTCTAAAAATGATAAATTTGCGTTGTAAGCAATGTTTATGTCGTAAATTTGCACTGGAAGCAATGTATAACATGATAGTCAAACATTTCCTATAGCTGACTCCTTCCTCTCAAACTTATCGTTAATGGTTTGTTGGATGTTTTGTTAAAGGACAAGCTTGAAGAGTTCCGGAACTACAACTGGAACGACAAACCACCGAAGGTCCTTGAAAAGGCCCAGCTAGAAACAATATTCAACACTCTGCAGACAAAACTGAGGCTAAGTAACCGACCAGCCTATCTTCCATCCGAGGGCAAAATGATAAATGTAAGTGCATTTGCACAGCTTCAACTGTGATATCAGTCGCAATCTAATGATCAAAGCCACTACTGAATTTTATATCTGTACTTTTTCACTTGCTAAAGCCATGGAGAAGTAAATGTTCCGTTTATGTCGTTTCCGATGACAAAACCGACAGTAATCAATTTTAGGACGAGAACTATATGTGAATTGCAAGAGTTTTGTACCTTACAATCAAGAGCGGACACTTACCCATGGCTTTTAGAACAAAAGACCGTTGCCCTTTAAAAAATAGTTGGTGGGCTACTGCCCCCCCCCCCCTCACTCCCCCCAGGTGTTCGCCATTGCTTATAATAGTTCTGTTGTAAGGCCTCCAGTTGTAAACGCACTACAGAAATTTTTGTAATTTGCTTGCTTTGTGAAGCCCAATAGATGGCTTCTAAGTACTTGATTAAGGTAAAGTTTAAAGAAACCCTCAGAATAAGCGGGTTAGATAATACAAGAGTTATTAGCAAACATCAAATCAGGTCCCTTGATAAATGCATTAAGCAGCACCTGCAGGTTTCACTGACCTCTGTATAGGAATGCCATGAGGTAGCACTTAAAGGAATATTTCAGTGGGAGATAATAATTTCAATTTTGAAGGAATTTGTTTTGTCATCCTTGCCCAGAAATCCTTGTTTTGGCAGCATAATCTATGATTTAGCACGTGGGCTGTGAGAACTGCCTACATGCTGTCATCCATCACCCCGTCCTTTTCTGTAAAGAGTCGGTAAAGACTGAAGTGGATCTTTGCAAGTATCGCTGGGTTTCAATAGACGGACGTCAGATTAGCCAGATTTCTACTAAATCTTTGTATTTTGAGTCGTGAACACCTTCTTAGACGGGCTATTTTCAGTAATACTATTTGAAGTTCACGCGATAAATTATAGTGTTATCATTTCAATTTTCTGCAAACATTTCACAGATCATAGCCGTAATGTTTGATGGCCTGTGCGTTGTTGAGTTAGCTGGATAAAAAAGTCTTTACTCTCGCACTTGCGCTGGATTTCTTATCGTGAAAAGCACTGTGATTAAAAGCCAGACGGCTAGCATTTCTTTATCAACATTGCAGCGATGCAAATTAAAGGTGTTCTGATTCAGGTCAGTGAAATTATCAAAACATGCTGTTCGCAATCTTAAAAGTGACCTTGTTTGATGCAAATACAAATTGCGCTGATGACGTAGAGTTCTCAACATGCGGCTTACTTCGTACAGATACATCTATGAACTTATTGCATGTTTTTTATTATCTGTTTGCTTTTAGGACATCAATGGTGCATGGAAAGGCCTTGAAGATGCAGAGAAGGCATTCCAAGAGTGGATTCTCACAGAAATGAGACGGTAAATATATTGTGCAGAGTTGTGTATTCATTGCTATTATTCTCGATACTAAATGTTCCTGGAGTGTGTTAATGCACTTATGTATCAAGTAATGTATTATATGATATTAATTTTATGCTTTTGTTGCAATATGCATGGGTCCTTTAGAAAATCAAACTAAACGGAAATCATACCAGATTTGCCGGATCACATATGCTTCCAGGAAATATGACAGGGAGTCTGACTGGTGAATTTATCGGTGGGTCAACAGTGCCGTTGATTGACAGCTTAACTTTTATTAATAGTTGACTATTTTTAGTGCTGTCGAAGCTTAGGGAATTTCAAAAGGGGGGTAGCATTGAGACATTAAATTCTTGGTACTGTCAAGAAAGTGCACTCTTTATCAATTATAATCACAGTAACTTGTAATGAAACTCAGATACCCCTTTCTATTTGGTGCCTGCATGCTGAATCGTATATATTTATTTTCCTTTCATATCTTCATTAGTCTGGAAAGGCTGGATCACCTTGCCTTGAAATTCAAGCATAAATGTGACATTCACGAGAACTGGACATCCGGCAAAGATGAGATGCTGATGAAAGAGGATTATGCTGATCAAGGGCTTGCCTCTCTGCTCGTACGTGGCCTATTTTTCAATTCCATTTATCAACCTATCACTGCTGTCTTCAGGAGACTAAATATGGTCCCTCTAAGGATTTTTATTTTGTTATACAAATACTTTTTTATAAGAAATAGTCTATAAAAACATCCTAAAATGACCTGAAAATTGAGAAACAATTCTGATTACCCTCAACTTTAAAGTAACTGCTCGAAAATCCTTCGTTTTAAAACCGGATTGAAAAGATTATTTTGGTACCAACTAAAACTGGCGGTTGGTATTTTTTAATCAATATGCTCAACAAAAGAAAGGTTGCACATGCACTGTATTTTAAGAACAAATTTCGTCCTTTGTTCTAATCAGCCTAGAGCTGTGGTTTATGTTGTAGTACATTTGTTATTGTCTTCATTTTTGAGCTAGGGACCCAGAAGCTTAGTTTTCTTGAGATATAAAATGGTACAAACTACAATTGCCACTTAGCCCCTGCACCAAACCGCGCTCAGATTTCTCTGATTGGCTACTACTCAAACATGTAGATTTAACGCCACTAAATTTCACGTGGTTTCTGCTCAAATCAGTGAAAAATTGAGTTCAATATGATTTGATAGAATATGCTTTCCTGAAACTCCACAATGCTGTACAAATTATTTCCGTGTTAGTAGATTTTGACAACAAATTGACAGTATAAACACATATTATTTCTTTTTTTGTTTGGTCAACAGAATTATATGTGAATTAATATTTCCTGGTCGAACTTTTGATATAACCAATCAAAAGGCGCCTTATAATCATGTGTTTTGTATACCAAGCAAAGGGTAAATGGTAAACCTATTCATTCCTGTGGTAAAGTGAGATGTGAGATGCAATTTATTTTTTATTTGCATCCTCCCATTACACAATTCCTCAATTACTTGTATATATAAAGCTCTTTGTATTTAATGTAACTACGTGGCTTTGATTGTGAAACATTTGAAATTATCTGCTGTTACGATTTAATGCAAAAGGGTTTTTAACTCGTCTCAAGAAAGATAAATCTTGCCCTGATTCCGAACTAGTTCCCTTTTTCGATTCTACGATATTTACAAAATAAGAATTAAAGCTAATATTCTAACAAAATACCAGAAGTGATTTAAGGGCATTCTCATTGGATTTTCTTGATTTAGGCCATGAGAAAGAAACATGAAGCCTTTGAAAGTGATCTTGCCGCTCAGCAGGACAGAGTGGAGCAGATTGTTGCCATTGCCCAGGAGCTCAAGTATGACAAACCCCTAAAGCACTCTTTATGTTATGTTATGATCACTCCAAACACCTTGCATTTGAATGCTCAACATCCATGTATCTTCATTACTTAACTATTGTGTCTCTAACTGTTACATTTTTCTATTCATAAGGGTCGGTAATCTGCCATGTAGTCCTCTTTTGTTTGAAAATATGCACAAAATTCCTAAGAGGGACTTATTTCGTTAATAACTCTTTCTTTATTCATAGATATTTTTATTAGGTTCCCTGCAAGAATTCTTTGTAATTAAACAATATAGCTCAGCATTTTGTGTATCGTTGAATGAGATTTAATTCTAGTAAAACGTAAACAATGACTTTGTACACAGGATGATTAGATATTACGACTTTCGCGTAACAATGGGATTATTATAGAGCTATGAAAATTACTGTTTACTGGTCTGTCATAAAGTGCTCCATGCCGGATAGGCAGAGCTGTACGCGCTTTTGGTGAATACAACAGGACGGTTCTTCGTTGCTACACGACGTTCCGCGCTTAATACGACCATCAGGCAACAAAAAGTTATACTAAAATCGTCATAGCTAGTTATTTCATGTACAAAGTCAACTTTTACGTTCTTCGTGTATCAAGAAAAAATCAATCAAGGCATGATCTGAGAATGCTGTTTTTCATTTTTAAGAATATATGCTTGCTTTTTGCAGTTCCCTGGAGTATAGCAAGGTGGATGAAGTTAACGTTCGCTGTCAGGTATGTAATAAGTTGCGTTGTTTGGAAACTGATTGTAAGAATGATAGTGCTGTTTTACATTTATATTGTTTTTGCATCGACCCAAGATCAATCCTGCATAGCTTGAGTTTCGCTAAGAATTGCATCTAGAAAGCGACATTTGATCTTTTTACTTCTTCCGTGGCATTTTGGACCGCTATCATTTTGTTTTTCTTACATGAAGTTGAAATATAACTTTGCATAACTAACAACCATAGTATTGTACCGACTTGATGATTTCCGATATGGTATGAAAGCCGTTGCAGCGAATGTATCACTTTTGTGTTGATGTCACTTTTTCATCATTGATTTCAATTTTCGTGAGACCTCTAATTTTTACGATATTGAAAAGTGATATTGATGCTAGATTTTCTGTTGATTTTTATCGAAAAAAAGTCCGACCTATTTTTTGTTGAGTTTTGGTCAGGTAATGTTTGTCTATGGATTTATTTAGTTTTCCACACCGCCGTTATATATCTGCAGAGAAACGTGTTATTTATAAAGCATTAGTTATGTATCTTACTTCTCGCTGTTTGAAGACCTTATCATTTTATTGACCATTCCACTTTGGAATACAGTGAACATACAATTAACCAACAAAATGAACAATTTCCTGTATCCATTATTAATTTCGCCTACAGTTACCATGTTTTCAACATGTGTTCTTTATAGTTTCTCTTCATAGAATGAATTATGACTTTCTACAACCTTGCTCTTGTTACTTTGCAGAAAATATGCGACGACTGGGATAACCTTGGCCAACTGACTGGAGGGAGACGACAAAAAATTGAGGTTAGATATGGTTGGATATTCCACGTTTGTTGTCAGTATTGCCGTGATAGTTGCGTAAGAGTCATTACGCAGCAGTAACTACATTGTCTTCTATATAACAATATTCATAGTTAAAATAACATCAGCTATGACAATAAATCAAATGAAACGGTTGACCATAATGATGCTAGAACCCTTATGGCTGTGTTGATCACAATTTAAGTGACTGCTAGTGTTAGGCCTAAACGTAGTATGCCTTACCGGGAAGCAACTTTATCTTGAGTTGATTGCAAGATAGTCCACATCCAGCCCGAATTCAAAATTGTTTTCGCCACCGTTAATCTTCAAGATGAATTCAGATTCCTAAAAATTTTCATCTTTTGAATCTCTTTCAATCTCTCTTTCAATCTCTCGCAGGAAGCCATCGTTGTTCAAGAGAGGCTAGATAATTTGTGGCTTGAATTTGCAAAGAGAGCAGCGGTATGTCTTGATAAGCAAATATTCTTTGTTGAAGTTTTCATATTTTATGTATATATATGTATATAATGCAAAAACACGTAAGTTTGTTTGTTGTTTGCTTGATGTGTCATTTGACAAGAAGAATGTAACCTTTTTCTTACATATAGCCTTTCAACAACTGGATGGCCGGCGCGAAGGAGGATTTGATGGACATGTTTAGAGTGCACAAGCTTGAAGAAATCCAGGTAATTTTAGGCCATGGAGATTTTTGAAAATTTTGAAACTGCGGTTGATATTTACACTGCTCTTCAACATAAACTGATGAAAAGAAATTAGTAATTTGTTTGATTATGAATGCATCCTTAAAATTTATTTTTCTTGAATAATTATGGCTAGTAATTCGTTCACACTATTGAAGGTGTTTATTTGGCCTTTTTTACATTGATTGCGTAAGTGTTTTCAGTAAAAATACCTGAAGACGTTTACATTTGGAATAATACCAATAAAATTCAATGTATCGTAATGGTAACTTAGTTAGGGGTCGATAACCCCCGTGTTGCCTTGACTGTTCATTGTTTAAATGGCAAGATAATGGTAAATGTCATTAAATCTCTCCAGATTTTATCACAAATGGGACGGGTAAGCTTTATAATAAAAGACCCTAAAAAGTTATCAATATGACGCATTTGGTTCCCTTATATGAATCAAGTGGCATGTTTATTTGTGTTAGGACTTGAAAGATGCCCAGGAGAAATTCAAGGACAACATGCCGGCCGCCCAGGAGGAATTCAATTCAATTATGGCTCTTGGGCAACAGGTTCAAGATCTCGGAAAAGGAATTGAAAACCCATACACTATCATAACTCTCGAGGTGTGTAAATCAATACATTCTGCACCGTTTCTTCTGCCGGGATATTAATTGGTCTCGCTTTCTTTTAGTCGTTTCTTCTTTTCGTCTATGCGTTGTTCTGGTATTAATGGTGTCTTGATTTCTAGTATCTTGGTTTTTCTGTCTAGTTTTTTTAACTCTCATGAGTGTGATACAAAAATGCTTTTGCATTGAAAGGAAATACTTTTGTTTTTTGTCGATCCTTATTTCTTGGCTTATTTTGTTATGGCCAAGTTTTTGACGCCAAAAATAGTTTCAATGATTCAATAGGCCTATGGAAACCCGCTCTTGGACACTTCAGAGCTCGAATTTTCATAGATTTTTATTATCGAGGCCTAGAAGCACCTTGCCCGGAGATATTTTCTTTGTTGGTAACTAGTAAGAAAATTGTTTGTTTTGCTGCTGTAAAGAAAACAAACAGTTCATCGATCTTTACTGCTGCTTTTTCACGTGCTTATAAGCTATTCTGAAATTTTGTCTACATCGTAGGACCTGAGCACAAGATGGGCAGAAGTTGTCGAATTGGTACCAAAGAGGGACCAAATGTTAAATGATGAAATCAGTAGACAACAGAGTATCCTTCGCAATGAAAATATAATTATGATGTTTAAGTTGTTTTAGAGGTATTCAAGTAGCTTTCCGAAAACATTCAAGTAGAGGTATAGGACTTACATGCTTGCTTCCGTTAGGATTTTTGGAAAAATTTATCATGATATTAAAACACCATTACAGATGGCTTTGCAATTAACTAAAAAGCGCTATCAATTTTACTCAAAATATGCTATCAATTTGGAGAGAAGCTTAGAGAAAAACGAAACCTTTTCATGTTTTTACTGTTGAATTCTGATTATTAAAAGTGACGATAATGGTTGTAATGAATTTAATTGGTATTTCATATGCAAGCTATTTTGTCTTATGTTATGAAAGAGCTAGTTTAGCAGTTTTACAGTCTTATGCAATGGCGAGAATAGGAGCTGGATCCTCTTTTCCGAAATTAAATAGTGCACTTTGTTAATAGGTTGAGCAATCTAGTAATTTGACCCTTGACGATGAACACAGATAATGAAAAAATTCGCTTGCAGTTCGCAGACCAAGCTAATAAGGTTGGAGCCTGGATAGAACAGAAATCCAGTAACCTTATTGAAATCAGTCTTGCGGCCCAAGGAACACTAGAGGTAAATTTAGCTATCTGTAATAACCAGTTGGTAATGAGGATTGGTAAATCATTGAACCTTTGAGTAGTTCATTGCTTGATTGTTTTCAAGCCTATCTTCACACTTCATTGGTACAAAGATACCCTTTTGCTGTTTTGATGGGCCTTCTCTAATACTGATTATTACATTTTTCAGACTCAACGTAATATGATGAAGGATGTGGAAACTGATATTGCCAACTATAAGCCAAATATGGATGGCCTAGAGCATACTAACCAGGTACCCTATCTAGTTATTTATGTTCCTTAATCTTCACGCTGGATTTTATATTGAGTCAACTAATCTTTGGAGAACTGGGATATGTCTGCATTTTGACTTGTGAGTTGGAAAGTTTAAGTATGCTTATTCCCTCACTTGGTTAACCAGAAGCTTTTTATGCATTTTAAAATCCTGTATTATATTCAGCATCCCGTTGCAGCTTGATTAAGTTGCATTTGTATTGATTTGAAACCCTTATTCAGTTGTAACTTGTTTTAAATTCCTACATTGCTGTTTAGAAACCGATTAATTGAGGTATTGTTTCATAGCTTGCACAAGAGGCCATGATCTTTGAGAACCCACATACACCCTATTCAATGGAGGTACGTATGCTTATTCAAGCTATCAAGCTTCTTGATTATCAGAACATAGTCAGTTCCATAGCCTAGTATTTTGTTTAAGAAGTCTTTCCTTCGGTTTTTCTTATAATTAACGCGTACAGTTACACGAAGATTGCATTAAGCGTCAAACTCAGCTAAGTAGCCTAGGATTATTTTGTTCTATTCTGCACACCAAAGAGGATACAGATCTTTTTATACGGCATCGAGAGTATATAACAGACATGCAATCAGTGATTTGCATTGAAAAGGGGAAAAATGTAAATACTTGCGTATTTCATGACTTCCACAACACCTATCTGCCACATAATAATATGCACCATTCTTTATATATATACGACAACCCGTCCAAAATTCACTATTGTTGCCTTGAAATGGCTTATTTTGTGTTGGCAGTGTTAATCATATCATAACCGGTGAATGAATTTTTCCAAATTAATCGTATTCACTGTTTATCCAGGCTTTGAGAATTAGATGGGAACAGCTCATCACCTCCATCGCAAGAAACATAAATGAAATCGAGAACCAGGTATCTAATGCAGTTTGAATATTTACCTTTCAGTCAGAACATATTAAGTGCCCCTGTGCATGGAGATTTTTATTTGTTACTGCTGACCTTCTGAAGGTTGTTATTTAGGTAACGTAGAAGATATTGAAGGAACAGTTACGCCCACCCCTGTTGGCAATGAGCACAGTTCTATTTTTTGCATTGTTCTAGCCCACTGCTCTGTGTCCCGATCCCGAAGAGCCTCCAGCACCCCTGAGAATATTGATGCTATCAAAAATTTGTACATGGTATTGTTTTCGTCTGGTATGTATTATGATTAGAAGTTCAGCATTTTATGAATTTTGTTGTAGATCCTAATGCGTGATTCCAAAGGTATCACTGAAGAGCAACTTAAAGAATACAAGCAATCTTTCAACCATTTCGACAAGGTATGTCTTTATTTTACTCTCTCTCTCTCTCTCTCTCTCTCTCTCTCTCTCTCTCTCTCTCTCTCTCTCTCTCTCTCTCTCTCTCTCTCTCTCTCTCTCTCTCTCTCTCTCTCTCTCTCTCTCTGTTTGTCTGCTTCAACCGTCACGAACGATAAGTAGGGGCATATCGCATTTTCATATTGAATAGAAGCAGGGGCATATTCGAATGAGAATGCGCCCTATTTGATACTGCCTGCTACCGTTGTTTCTAGCGACTCAAGTTTTGGACTAATGATGAGCTTTTTATCATCATGCTGCTACAGCCCCTACCATGCAAATAATTGAGGAAGAAAGTTGATTTTTTTGTGTGACATTGCTATTTTGCTCTCATGTTTATAATGGAGAATTGATTGGGTTCTTAACATTGGTACCAAATTGAATGAATGACGTAGGTCACCCTTTTCTGTCATGTACCATATCAAGCCAACAGAGGCAGTAACATATATCCTATTTATTTTAAAGGATAAAAGTGGCTTGCTTGAACCGAATGAGTTTAGACAATGTCTTGTCAGTTTGGGATATAATGTTGGCATCGATGAATCGGTATGTGCTTTATATGTATATTTTTCGATGCATACTACAATCCCTATCAAAATTACTAGAGTCTTGTTTCTATTCCGAATGTTAGAGTCTTGTTTCTATACATCTATATATCAATCTCAAAAGACAATTTTTATAGTCTAGATAAGTATCATACAGTTTACAGGAAAAATCACTTCGTTTGCGTGATTGTACACCTGTGTCATTTTCTACTAGGTAGTATTGAAGTATTGAAAGTAGTATTTCTACTATGTAGTATTGAATGATCCTGAATCAGAAACTGATCGATCCATTATTTTCAGAGCTCTATATTTCTTCTAACACAAGATAGAATGGATAGCTTTTTGTTGTGTATACCTTTTAAAGATACATAAGTCAGATTCTTTCTTTGTTTTAATACGCATTTCCCAATGTTTTCTAAGTTTTGGGATTTTGTTTTTACGTTCTTTAGATAGCTGCACCTTGAATCTTTAGCAGCTTACATCTTTTTTTAGCACTGCACTAGTTTCCTAGATCATCAGAAATAGCCTTTATAGAAAACCTTAAGCACTTTTGTAGAATTCAGCTTTGGTAGGTTTTGATTTCTAAATGCAAATAAGGTGTTTTGCATAAACGCATCTTGAAAACTTCTTAGCTTTGTTTTGATACCAGAAATATTAGAACCGCTTTTTTGTCGAGGTTTGGAGTCAATTCTCTCCTTAATTTGCTTCACTTTTTAACTCTGTTTCTAACTTTGATCAACACACTGTCAACAGGACGATGCCGATTTCCAACGCATCATGATGCTTGTCGATCCAAACGACACGAAAAGGGTGACATTCCAAGCATTCTTGGACTTCATGACCAGAGAACAAGCAGATTCGGACACAGCTGAGCAAGTTATGGAATCTTTCAGAATTTTAGCTGGAGATAAGGTAACTTATTTTTTTTCTTTTTCATCAAGCAAACATATTCCTTGAAGAAATAGTGTCTTTTAAAAGCATAATTACAATAGAAAATTGTCCTGTTATTTTTGTTATCATCGGAGATTCGCAATTCTTTGATTTTTGAGCTAAAAAAAGGCTGTCAGATGTTGGCCCTTGAACTTTTGTAATCTTCACGCAGTTTGTGTTTTGAAGGATACTCTCGGTCACATACCAAGCATTTTCCGAAGAAAATATTTAAAATACTATCGGCTTTTGTTACTGGGAGAATGCAGAATTAGAGGGCAATAGTTTTGTGGATACCAAGCATAACCTGTGGGGACGGAAACAGTAATTCTGTCCGCACAAGTCACTAGGGTAGCTTGGTACAAAGACTAGTTTCAAAGCGATAAATTTTTATTCACAAAAAAAAACGGTTAGAATGGCGACAAACAACCAAATGACATTTTTGATGGAATAGGACTGCAATGCAACTAGGATGGAATGCAACGATTGAAGAAAATAACGGATTAAGGCAGTGAAGCAATAAGTTGATATAACAGCAGTGAAACAGCAAGATACAACAGAATAACTGAAAAAAGGGATTTATTTGGCTTGCACATGTTTATATAATAGTGAAAAAGATGAAATTATCAACAAATTTTGCTAAAATATTTGGCCACGATGTTAGTTTGACATGTTTAGATGATACATCATTATTTTATCTGCATCTTTTTATGACTTATTCAAAAGGTCCAATTCGAAAAAGCAATCTTGTGAAATAGAATAAAAAGACTGTAAAGAATCTTGAGAACACATTCAGTTCTCAAATTAGGCCCTGGCCTGTGAAGGTTTTAGTACTCGCTTCTAGCAAACCTTTACAAAAATATGTGCTTGTATTTTGCTTTTAGCGAGTCATTGTGTGAAGCCTAATAGTAGCTGTTATCACAAGTTATTTAATCTGTTTATATGTTATGTTTAAAAGGCCGTACTGATCTCTTTTTGATACAGGCATTCATAACAGCTGATGAACTTCGCCGTGAGCTGCCACCCGACCAGGCAGAGTATTGCATCTCCAAAATGACGCCATATGCAGGTCCCGACGCTGCTCCTGGCGCTTTGGATTACCGCTCCTTCTCAAGCGCGTTATATGGAGAAAGCGACTTGTAACCAACCAAAGAACTACGCATTGAAAATTGAAATGACATGCTTCCAGTATTTTTGTAACAAGAGAAGGAATCTAGAGACTCGCTTTGGTGTAGTTCTGAGCTGAAGATCTCTCGTTACTATTTGTCTAGGACTAACAGCTTGTCTTCAGAAAATATGGGAAATTTATTCTAATCATGAATTGTCAAATCAGCTGATTTTTGGGTTTTTTCAATTAGGATTAATGGAATCTTGTGATTTTGGAGAACGAAAATCTATCAAGTGTTCACCTTTGATGAAAAACTTTCATTAACGGATTTAGTCTTGTTGAAATCGTAAATGATAGATTCAACTTCTTGAGTAACATGATTCTGAAGATTCAGATTTCGCTACGCTTTTGTTTGCTGTTTAAGAAATTCAATGCTGGAAAGCCACCACGACATTGCATTGTAAATCACAGCCACATCTTAAGGTCTATCGTTTATCGCCAATTTGGTTAATAAATGCAAAACAGATTTAGGTTGTTTTTTGCATTTTCTCGGTTACTATTTCTCGATTCTTTGCGATTTGTTGATGACATAAACGCATTGATGTCATGTCAAGTTTTGGTTTACCATTGACGCAATCGAAAATACGAATCTGTCGAGCACCGTAATTCTCATTTATCATCGCCCAATACACTTCTTAAATGATAAAATTTAAGTTAATGACTCACTTAATCTCTTAAAAATATCAAATTTGCTCTTTTCTCCGTCAATAACAATCAGTAGCGCTTGTAGTTTTGTTGCCGTAATTTGACCAGGCTAGTATTGAAGATTTTTACTGATTTTTACACAGTGATCCATTGGAAAGTAGACAAAATCTGTTTTGCTTTGTCTTCACTGTTCTGATCTTTGCGTTAGTGTGCCATCACAGCTTAGATTGAAGTATAACCCATTAGTTCCTATTCACTATTTTAGCAAAACAGCCTTTGAACAAAAGATTAGTTGTGCGTAATCTATACCATTTTGTATTCGGATGAATTGGAATCACAACCGACAAACTGATTACAAAACTGATTGATGAAGAACATTTCAGTTCGTTGCGTTATTGTAACTGCGAAAGAGTATTATTTCTTTAGGAAACAGCTTATTTTGAAAGACCCTCAGCCAAAACGAAATTGACGTGGTATGTTATTCGATCTTAGGGTCAACTTGGTGGGCGGCCCGCTTCTTGCTTACAATTTCAAGGACAGTTCTAGAATCCATTTTTTAAATGGCAATGAATGGTTCAGGTGTCAAACAACCACTGTAATCTCATAAATCCTTTCACCAAAGTTTCCCAGAAATATGCATTCGTTATTTTGATGAAAATCGCCCAGGAATTATGTCAAATGTTTTTATATGCGATCTTGACGGTTATGGCTTGAAATCAAGTTGATCTTATCGATATTTGGCCATGTTAGACCAATCGATTTACAGATCCTTTTAAAAAGATATTATAACAACAAATACCCCTAAAGAGTCTCCACTACGCTAGTTTTAAAATTTTGTCATTTATAGTTTCGTGAAATATAGTTCATAGCTTTTTGTACTGGGTATCGGAACTTCACAAGGAGGTTATAGCTCTCATACTCTTGTGTATTAGAAGGAATTGTCTAATTTCCATACTGCTCGAGCTAATAGTCATAAATAAGCATGATTAATAGTCATAAATTAGCATGATTAATTTTTTCAAGTAAAGGGTTAGGGTTAGGTTTAGGGTAGACTAATTACGTCATCAGGTCGAGCAGTATGGAAACTAGACAACTCCGTATTAGAATGAGTGGTAGGGTGTGACGCAGAGGAGAATGTCCCGGATGAATAGCATGATAAAAGGCGTCAAAAGTTGCTGTAGCTCTGTTTTTGAAAACCAAGCATAACTAATTAAAAATCAGCTTGGCAGAAAACTTGGAAAAATAGTTTAGAGAAATAGTTTAACATCAGCCTCAGCTGAATTGCAAATGGGCGTTGTCACTCAATCATGTGCCGTTTGGAGATTTGGTATCAAGTTTGTTGTTTGAGCAGTGTGCACAAAGAAAAGGGGCGGATCTCAGTATAGATTTTCAATTCTGTACTATTTATGTGTGTATTTTCCCTCCACGACATGTTGTGTTTTTAAATTTGTGTCCTTGCTAGCTCATCAGCAAACTCGGCAGGTAGATCATTTCAAGGCTAATGACCAGTATGTTCTTTTAAACCTGGGCGAGGGACCCCCTGTTACGTATTCAACTTACCTCTGTTACATGGAGAGAACATCTAGCGAAGGGCAACGCCCATTGAACTTTTGCTAAGTAAGCAAGTGATCTTTTGAGCAAAACGTTCTTAGAAAAGAAAGCAATTTATCATGGTTGTGACCATTTATCATGGTTGTGACGGAAGATGTCTTTGTGCTATGTGTTATGAGGATTTTTGTAATCTAGACAAGGTTGTCAGCTCCATGCATATTTTTTATTTCGAAAGCAGGTCGGGATCTGGCAACATAGTGTTGATGTGGACGCCTTCTTCAACATAAATGCCCATATTTCCATAAACATATTTTCTCTTAAATGGAAAAATTGGCTGAGCCTTAAAAGAGAACATTTAGGCATTGGCAATGAGACAATATTTATGTTTAAAGTCAGATTTTAGCTCTGTGAACTTTTGTCGTCACAAAAATGACAGTTTTTACTTTAATTTTTCCTAAGGTGAAGTTTGTATCCTGCTTCTGCAAATAACCCAAGACATTTCAAAAGTTGATGTGATCTCTGCGTTCTTTTGGTGAAAGATCCTGCAAAGATTGTCATTTTAAACGGAGCAATGGCTAGGCTGTAAAGTTTCTGGACGAATTCTAGGCCAAAACCTTAGGTCCCCTGTATTGCCTCGCTTTCGTCATATCATTCTTTACATCACGCAATCCCTGAAGAATATCAGAGTAAGGTGGCAAATTGTTTCGAAAACAATTTTTATCAGACACGAGAGCATTAGGGCTTTCCTTACTCTGTTTGTTAGACCTTTATATTATCATCTTCCCATTAACTAGCTCTTTTGGTAGCAAAATGAGCACTCTTGTTGATATCCAATGAACATCATCAAGCACTTATTCACCCTAGTCTTTGCAAAATCCGGTACTTTCCTCGATATCAGTATCTAAGTAAATATAGAAGCAATTCGAACATAACAGTTGATGGCTAAATTGTTTTGAATTCTCGTTACCTGTACGATACATTGTGTGAACAGCAAGACAAATTCAATATGGAGAAGCATGTTTACTAAATGTATTGTCATCAACGACTGATAAATAAAAACTAGAGATAAATTCGATAAATGTTACTTCACGAACTGGAATTTACAAGAAAATTATTCAAAATGTGTCATTTTCTAACACAGTTGTGTTACACTTGCAGGCACCGAGAAAACACATAGGATGAGGGAGAGAATGCATTAATGGTAAGGCTTTTCCTTTGTTTTGTACATACCTGTTGCCTTGTATCTGCTATACGAGTAAGCTAATATTTTACAAGTGAAATCAATTGAAATTTGTTTAAGCAAAGTGGGATTATGTGAGTATACACGAATTTCTTTTAGATCTGAAGTGCTTTGTTGCCCAAGGGTGACATCTTGACAATTGCCTTAAGGGTCTGAAAATCTAACAGTTATTGATATGCAGGAGCACATATTCAAATGGTAAGTAAAATGGAATCTTAAAATCGTATTGGAATTACTGAATTATACATCTGTTTACAACACACTTAGTTCTGTATCTCAATTGCTTGAGCCCTTTGTGGTTGGGATCCAACTTTAGCCCAAAATCACACAGTCTTAATACTTCTTTGTATCTTTCTCTTACAAAAGCACCATTAGCAGCGATACAGAACAAACATAGTACGTGTTTCAATATTGACTGTTCATTCAGCAACGCAATGGTGCGCTCTTCGTCTAATTCTATCGCTCTCATGTAATCATTCCATGCTAATTTTTCTTTTCCAATACTGTCATGCAGCTTGGCTCTAGTACAATAATCTTCATACGTAGGCTTGACGTCAATGATTGCTGATATATCGATCAAAGCTTTTTCAATAAGCCCTTCGTCGATATAAGCCTCGAACCTGCCACGTAGAAGTTCGATGTCTTTCCGTCCGATAACAATTAAAGCAAGACTGTACCATCTTATTGCTGCGGCATGGTCCTTTGCTTCCGACTTGATCTTCGCTTCAGACAAAACGATGCTCCGCAGTGCATTCTTTTCGCTGATACGCAGCATCCCTACGTAGTACTCAAGCTCCTCTGCATCAACATCATCAATTGTCCGCATAACACATAGACAATCTCGCATCTTCGACATCTTTGCTAACAAGAATACTTTTTGTGCCAAGGCTGTTTCACAGTCCTGTTCCGTTCTTAGAACAGCCTCGACTTCGCGTAATGAATCTTCATATTTTCCGTAAGTTAACAAATACTTCGAATAGAGGCATCGATACTGCGTTGTTTTGAAGGTCGTACTTAAAAATTCTGAATAAATTCCTGCAAGTTCAACAGAATTGGGGTCTATTATACCTGTTCGGTCATCTAATACCTTGCTTACATAGTTCTTCAGTGAAGTCGTAAACAATCGCACGCAAGTTATTGGGACTTTCTGCAATACTTTAACTGCTACATCTTTGTTGTCTTTGAGTATAGTTCCCAGTCCTTTTAAGGTCTCTTCTTCGTAGTCAAAGACCGAATAAATCACGGACCTGCTCACTATTGCAGCTGTATTATCAGGTTCGCGATCAAGAACAGATAAAAAGTCATTCAGCGCAAGCTCGTAATCGCCAAGGTTCGCGTAACAGAAACCTCGCACTAGAATTAGGCCGGTAGCTGCTCCGCATAAAGCAATTATCGCAATGTTGAAGCATTCTATAGCATCAGCATACGATTTATTGCTTTGTAAATATCGAAATCCGTGTTGGCGATGCACTCTCGCGATTTCTTGTCGGTCCTCAATTGGGAGCTGCATTAGAAATTCGGCGAATCTTACACTTCCGATTGCTAAGTTTATAATGCGGAAATCTTGCACGGCTGCAACGTACGCTCCTAGCCTCATTCTCAAGTTTGCAAGGTGAATCATGGGAAAGGGATCCTCAGGAACTTTTTGTATGAAGAGTACCAATAGCTCCTGCGCATCTTCATATCTTTTTAGCCGCACTAACACGTCTGCATATATCAAATGAACTGACAAATCCCTTTGGTAAACCTTCGTAAGAAACTCACATTGACGTCTTATCTGGTGAAGTTTGTTTTCAGAATCCTGCTGCGTTTCATCGAAATTAAATCCCTCAAAGTCGTCTTCGCTATCAACTTCTCTGATAAGACCGACGTCCAAGTAAGATCTGATGCACTGAATTATCCGTTCTTTAATCTTCTTTTGATCTGCAAGCTTCAGGCCCCTGAACATTGAAACAGGAACAGAAATTTCGTCTTTACATGCTGCAGTAATATCAGCCATGCCTTGCTCCAAACTACCTGCAAGAATATTTGTAAATCCACGCAAAGAAATATGATCAGGCTTTTGGGTTGTCAGTTTTATTGCCTGATTTATATCATTCAGAGCCGAAAAATACTTTCCTTGATTGAGCTTGCATAAAGCCAAAGCAAACAAAACATCCTCTTTTTGCTTCTCCTCGCCTAAAAGCTCTTTTCCAAGGTCTAAAGCCTCGGTTGTCCTGCCTGTTTGATTTAAGCATTCCATATATATTACACTTGCTTCGATATCCACAATATCAAAATACTTGGCAATTTTGCAATAAATGACTGCCCTTTCAGCTAGTTTCTGGGAGGATTCTTTCCCTTCGTTCCTTTCATCGATACATGCATCTTTCAGCCCTTTCACAATGTGCAACAAAGGTTCGTGCAGCTGAAGTGCTGTGGCTGTATCAAGTCTCGGAATACTGTCGTTGTCTCGGTAGAAACCTATAAGGGTCCATAGCGCATGAAACGTTCTACCAGCTCGAATATGAAAGTCTAGGATTGCTCCTAAGTATGTAGACAACTCAATCTTTTTGGCCAGAGTGTCCAATACTTCATCAAGAAAGATATTCGAAGTTGCTTCGCTTTCAAAAAAAGACGTCTCTACGATTTCCGTCGAATGGAGACCCACGACACTTGTCGCTGAAAGTACATCGTGTTTTCTACTCCCTTTTTTTCCCAGCTGATCCTCTTTTGTGTACCCACTATTATTAATTCCTATATTTACTGCAGTGCTACCATTCTTCAATTCATTCCCTTGCATGATCAATTTCAATAATTCCAAGTCAGCGTTGCTGAGCAGATGTAGCCTCGATCGTACGTGGTCCAAGTCAGATGTTCTCGACAATGTCTTGCATAACGAAATACATTCGACATCCTTACCGATTCTCGCATTTATAACTGCCAATAGAATCATTACTGTTTCACTGTGCTTACATTGCTCTAGATTTTTCAAAATATTAGTCAAGTTCTTCAATGGAGTCTTCTGATTGCGTAGTAAATAAACAGCTCTTGAAATGACAAGTGTGTCATTTTGTTTTCGTGAGAGAAGTTCAAATGTAAATGAGTGCAACTGCTCAAAGTCGATTGGGATGTTGAAGTCAAAAAATGCATCATCACATTCTGCGGCATACAGACACCAACTCAGTAATAAATCACACAACCCATTAATCAAATTTTGCGACAAGTCCCTGTACATGCAAGTCAAAGCTAGTGTTGGTTGCATTTTATACAACGAGCAATACTTTCTTGCCTTTTCTTCCATCTTGTTATTGTCGATCTGTGTGACGTGAAGCTATTCCGTCATCGCTCTAATATGTCAGCAATTCCACTCCTTCTGTAAATCTAAAATCAAACGAAAAAAGTAAGTTTCGTTTAAGTCAAGTCAAACCAATTGCTTTATTCCAAATATCAGCGATAATTCTCAAGAAACTGCGAAAGCAACTGTGTGCAATACAATAACCCAGATAAATCGAGAGTTGAATCGATCTCTGGAATAGGCCCAGTAAACACTGTGGAAATAGTGCCCGTTACTACTGTCAACGTGCGGTCAGGGAAGTGTGTACACAATAACCAACAAATGAACCAAGCCTTGTCTTTTGCGAATACCTTCACCTGACAATTACGTATTCGCTCGAAGTTGTGAAGTCCTTCAAGGGTTTGGGTGGGAAGAGCCTCATATGAATTCATAGTTACAAGTTACAATTTACAAGCAATACCCACTTGCAAGTTTTTTATAAACTATATCTCTTTAAAATTTTAATTTTGTATGATACAATAAAATATAATATAAAATTTGACAAAAAACAATGTGAAAATTTCATCGTTCTGATAAAAATTGTCACATTTCTTTAAATAAGCAGGAAGTCAAGGAGCCCAACATTGTTTCCGAATTTATTACTTTTGCCTAATCCATATTAGTTTTTCTAGCAAAATTATTGGTTATAGATTGAAACATGAAGAAATTCAAAATGTTAATTTATGATAATTAGAACAATGCTTAACTAGAGGGGGCTTTCACAGATTATTCAAGATGATAGACACTTTTCAGATATACAATTTCGTTGGCATTACGAAAGTCGCTTCATTTTCCTCTTGAGTGGTCACTGGCAACAATAGGCCAGTCAGAGGCGCCATTCTTCCTCTCAAGTCATTTTAGGTTCACACCTAGATATAATTTGGTGCTTTCCACCTTTTGGTCATTTTCCAATGCTGACTCATACTTTGAGGAGGGTCGTATGAAAACGTAATTTCAGTTCTCATCATCATGGTTATTCTTTATCTTGGTTACGTCTTTGAATAAATGCCAGAGTCAGGTGCTTTTAACTCGTGAAATAGCTGCATTATGATAATACTTAAAAAAACATATAAGAAAAAACATACAAGTCTAAAAAGATTGAAACGTCATGGCATTTGTGAGGATGTATGTAGATGCTATTATACGATTAGTAATATTTTGACCAACTCACTACTTGACGATCTTCTAGAAAGGCACTGACGAAGGACCAGACGCTTGTTGGTGTATCCTTCGATTTACACGAAGAGCTTTTATGAAAATGTAACCAACTCACTGACCAAGCTTCCTGGGAATTACGAGGGTGTTACCGTTTCTAATCGGTTAAATCTAAATTATCCCGTTACTGATAACTTAATATATATCGTTAGCACTGCTCTCAAGGTCAGGCCAAATATAGTAAACTGTGACAGAATCGCAGCAATGTGGCTCAAATGTGTAAGCTACTTTTAAATACCGTTTTCTTCTCGGATGTGATGAGAGTTGAAGTCTTATTGCGCATGATCCTTCACTGTCTAGATGATGAAACGAATTGTCACAAATTCCGTACAGGCAACATATAATAACAGTTTTAAGCTGATAGTCTACCATAAACGAAAGAGCAAAGTTTTAAGGCTAAAATGTATCGCAGAAATAGATGAATCTCTCGATTATCCTATCTGTCGGAACTGCTGCAGAGATTTGCTTTTCGGAAATCTTTCTGGAACTATTTGGGTGAATAATTTCCTGTGATCAAATCAAGGCCTTTAACTTTATTCAAAAGCTAGAACCCTGAATTCATATGACGAAATCGGCTTTAAATGTTATTTTAGGGCCTTCCCTTAAGCGTTTTCGGAGGCAAGTCTCTACGTGTCATCATAACACACCCATCTTTAGTCGAGTTTCTTTTCAACAATCAAAACTCAAAACTCAAGCACCTTGGACAAATTTTGTTTTTCATTGCCAGTTCTAGGTTGTCCTAGTTTCCTAGTCCTAGTTTGAATAGGTTGAAAACAGAGGTTGTAGACAGACATTGTCAATAGATATTAGTAATGGAGTTGAAATGGAAGAAATTAGAGAAACCTAAGCAGACAAAAGTAAGTCATTGCACTGTTGAAGTACTTTTCTGTTTTATCTGAAGGAATAGCTGAGACCATGATTCTAAAGGTCTCACTGTAGCATAACTATTTTCTACTACCTGACCTTTCCCTTTTCTACATTGACTCCCCTTTCCCTCTTTTACATCGACTGCCCTTTCTGGCCGATCTTCACAAAATACTTTGATCAGCACATAGACAGCCTTAGAAAGTGTCTTGCTATATTCCTAAAAAAAGCAATTTCATTGGGTTGGGTCATGGCTTAAAGCCATGCTAGAATACACGACTAAGCTCTGTTTTTCTGAACTTAGCAACAAACTTATTGTTTCCTTTTGGCTGATTTGTGCATGAACCTCAGTATTCTGTCATTTGATATCATAAATAGCATCTCCCCTAATTGAACATGGGCTTCAGTATGAATAGCTTTGGAGCCTGATTTGCAAACTAATCCCATAGTTTATCAGCGTATTAGTAAAGACCCAGGGAGAGTTATGAACCAAGAGAACACGACTGAAGGCTAGAACGCACCTTATTGGCTAGCCTATTAAGCGTGATGATCAAGGGGGGGGGGAAGTAAAATGCCTCGATGGCAAATCTTATGGTACCATAGATGTTTAAGGGATTTTGGCGAGAGTCTTGGTTAAAATGTCAGTACAGAGAACATTGAACAAAGTTCGTTTTAACAGTTATACTTTCAAAACATTCGACAAGGCTTAGATCCACATACATACAGTTAAAAACTTTAAAAACAGTGAATGGTCTTTAATGTAATAATTTTTAGAATGTACCTTTGAACTTTACTATCAAATTAGTAGAAACCCGAGCTTCTCAACCACGATAAATGTAAAACTCCGATGACATATTGAGGTTATATTTTCAGTGATTCAATATTCACTTATCTATTGCATAGCTATTCCAAATTATTCCTAGTCAAGTAACACGAGACTTTCTTTTGTTAAATGGATAAAAATGGCATCCTTTTCGTATCATCTCTAGAGTCTTTGGGCGCAAATATTTACTAATGATACTGATTTGCTAAGAGTTTTGGTCATGATCGTTTCAAGTAAAGAAACTTGCCGAGAACATAGGTGGAGCATGTATGCAATGGCGGATTTATAGGGGGGGCAACAAGGGGCAGTTTGCCCCTCCATCACTGAATTGAAGCAAGTCTGGCGCCCCTTTTTGGAAATGGTATGGCACAATAATTTTGAAAATTTCCTTTAGAAGGTTAATAGGAAGCCTTCTGTCAGTGTTAAGGTCGAAATTGTTGTATTTAGCGTACTCTCATCACCAATTTCTGAAAAAATTTCAGCGCCCCCTTTACCAATTGCCCCTCCTTTAAATTTGTTCTGGATCCGCCCCTGCATGATGTGGTGTAGTCTAAACATGGCTAAGAAATTCTTCAATTAGTTGGTGGATAATAGAACTAGTTTATAAAGACTGGATCAACTTTTTGCTGCTAGTGTTTTCCTTTCTTGATTTTGAAATAGAGCTTTAAAGACAGTCTTACCATTTCTGTTGCCACCCAATTCCATTCTCCTACCAATTGCCATAATGCTTTTACGTTTCTGGCCTAACGGTTTTTTATGCTATCCTTAACAAACAATCCACGAAGTTTCATGCTCTTGTCGCCTGGGTTTTGTAATATGTAGCAAGTCGGACTGATTCCCTATCGTTCAGAACCAAAATCTCTCATTTAAAAGCAAAAATTGTATTATTTGACCAGTTTCCAACAATGTCTATCATTTTCTTTCCTATGCAAATTAAATTTTGCATACGCATTAAGTCTCGTTTACTTTTTTTTAATCTCTCTGATTTTTGGATTTGCAGGAATTTCACTCTTTTCATCTTCTCCAGGACTTGATTGTCAGCAAATGACTTGGAATCGGATGATGGTATTACTTTGCAAGCCGAAATTAACCTAAAAGTTCGAAAGGATTATCAAAAGAAAAAGGGCAGGCAAATATTGAATGAAAATATGATTAACGAAGTTCTTTTCTATTCAGATGATTATGCATGCCTGGATATAATTCACTCCAAGCAAACCCTCTAAGGCCTCCAGGGGTGGTTTAACTACCAACACGGGGTATGTTGCGATACAATATCAAATAATGAGTTATCCAAGCCCTTTTCAATTCACTCTGTGCTGGAACCCTTAGAGATTGAAGATCGATTTATATCACTGTAGCAATCATAAGGTTGCTAGATCTAAGGCAAAACATGCATACTGCAACACAGAATGCGAGCTTCTACAATTGGTCTTTTTAGATTATAAATGTATGAATGAATGAACCTGGTTTATAAAGAATGTGGTTTATTTAGCCCAGCAACCAACCAGGCATGCTAGAACATGATAAATAAACTTGGCTTAGGCAAAAATGCAAACATGCGGGATTCCGAGTGATCATTTCTGCACCATAGGCAGAGAAAGATGTCATCCTATAATCTCAAACCAATAGAACCCACGAGATACCTCTGTTTGTACATAACCTTCCCAAAAACATTGCAACAACTGCCTCCGTGTTTCACTAACGTAATTGATCTTTACAAGGTTCAATAAACTAAGTCCCAAAAGCCGAAGATTCGTAAGGGTTTTTAATGACTTCTGTTAGGATAAAGAAGTAACATTGGTTTAAGAATAAATTCATTGATAGTTTTAATGATTTTTACCTAAATGCCTGATTCCTGGAAGAATGGCTGTTTCCAAATAATTGCTGGCTCAGAGCAATAAGAAACTAGATAGCTTAACAGTTCGAAAACTTTAATCGATCAAAACATATGATGCTAACATTTCAAGGCAACTAATAAAATTTGCATATGATAGCTCACCCACTCAAATGCGCGAAACCTCGCCTTTAGAAAGATTAAAAGACTCAACCGGGGTTGATTTCACTGTTCTGGAAAATCTTACAGAAACATGGATGAAAATTCTAGAGATTCTTCGTGCCAAATTCTGCTTTGAGGCGAATTCAGTAATTGCTTCGGCAAGAGCATCATTATTCCAGTAAATTCGATGCCATTGTTTTGTTGATACTTTTTTATTCCCATGTGGAACCGGCCTAATTTTATATTTACCTGCAGATATTGCTTAACCGATGAAAAATAACTTATGTTACTAAAATCTATAGCGGCATCAGTAAATATAATGGCCGTATTTTAGGTGAATCCCTTCTCATCCCTGCCTTGTGAGTTTGTTTGCGTTGTTAAGGACACCTTCGCTTTCCATCTAAAAATAACACACTGCTCAGGGATATGATACAAGTTTGCTCAAATCGGAAGCAAGCAATTGTGTTTGAATCTCTATTTCGAAATTCTTGCTTCAAGGATTTCATTGTATCTTAAGAAAGCTGCAGACGTGAGAAAAATTATTTTCAGATCTCACTGCTCAGTCTATCAGTTATATGCTTATAAAATATAATAAGAAAATAATGAATATCAAAATTTTGCATCAATAAACAAAAACAACATAACTGAGGAATCCTATCGCAAAACATTGAGCAGCTTGAACAAAACGACAGAAAAAGATATTGTTTATAAGTCTAGTTGTAAAATTGCCTCATCATTATAGGATTGTAAATGACAACGAAAATTGTCAGTTTTCGCAGCTATAAGGCATTACGATTCCTAGGCACTCATCTCAAAAAAGGTTTTCCTAGGTAGATCAGTGTTCCCAGGTAGCCATTTCAAAAATGAAGTGACTGGTCAGGAACATTTCTGGATTGATCATGCTTTCAATTATACAGTCGTAATTTATCCACCCCGATCTGACTGCATCTTTTTTAAGAACGGTTCTCAGAATTAAATTCTGTACCTTCCCTATTCAAGAATTTCACTAAAAGCTAATATTCCTTAACAGTTTGATCTGATTTGTGACTAGAGCATGCAAGATTCCCATTAATAAAATACATGAATTTAAATAGATTAGCAAAAATCCTTTTGGGATGTGTTTAGCAATACAATTGGGTCGAAAATTTCCGTTCAAATTCCTAAAGCTAATAGGTTACTGATGATTTTCGTGAGAAAGAATTCAACGGCGTGGAAACATATGGGGAGGCTTATCACGCTCGCATATTATATTAGAAAACCGAGCAAGTAAAATATTTTGCACAAAAACCAAGAAGCACTCTTTTTCGCAATTTATGTAATCAAAGACTTAAAGTTTGCTAATTTTGAGAAGTATATGATACAATCAAAGAGGTATTTAAGCATAAGAATCATCACTTGATTTTATATCCACGAGGCAATTTGCGCCAGGGGTTTTGCTTCTTGAAAGTGGAATTAGGCTAGGGGAATTAGGCTTCTTGAAAGTCAAGGAAAGATTTTTGAACACTTTGTAGAAATGCTAGATGTTATGAAATACCAGCTGTTCTTCAGCGTTTTAGGGTAACAAAGTTTTGCAAATGACATTAAAACATTCTTTAAGCAATCTTGCACGCAGTAAGGCATTCCATTAAGACCATCGCAGTAAGACCATTGCATTCCCCATAAACCCTAATTTGTGTGTATCCTGCAAATCATTTGACATTTCATATTAAAAAGTACTAGTGTCGTCAAACTTTTGAATGCATCAAAATTTAGTAGTAATTGTCATGTATGACAATTATCGTATTCTTATGAAAAGCGTTTTTCATTGTTTTAAGAATCCCTAAATAAACCTCATTTGTTAACAGTTTGAAAGTAAAATATCAAGCAAAGATGTTGTTGTCAAGTTGAAAACAGATTTTTTGTCTTATTGCCCCACTTTTGTTCTGCAAGAAATGAATTACGTTTCAAATTACGTAAGAGGTCTCACTATCATACTTTGCCCCGGGGCCTCAAGAACCTGTCAAGGGTTCTGTTATTGACAACGAAACAGAATGGCGGAACTTGCCCGTCTATATAAATTTCGTGGCACTGTCATTGGCAATGGCATACCAGGAAATGCCAAAGGTACCAGAAATATTCCAAATAGACTTGTTCAACATGACTTTGCTTGCTATGCACCATGATATTGCTAAAATATTATTTAACTACGCATTACACTCTGTAATACTGAAAAAGTACATAAAGGAAATAGCTTTGTCTAAGCTTCGAGCTTTTCAAATTTCAGGTTCTTCATACTGTCGACAACTTCTATCGCTTTGTGCAAGGTGTCTATTTTCTGGAACAAGACTCTTCAAAGGTATGAGCAAACCTCAGTATTTGTATTTTAAGGAAAAGCTAATTATCATATAAGTCTAAATAAAAGTTATAGCTAGCATAAAAGTCTTAATCATCTGTTGACATAACCAAAACAAAGAGGCAAGACAATCCCCTTCAATTGGCCGAACAATTTGCGAATCTTGAATTCTCCACCAATGCAGATACAAATAATTGACAAAGAACAAAAGATTTTCTGGTTTATAACATTATTCGTCGTAATAAACAGTAATCCAATTTGATCCAATGTAATCTTTGTCTACCGTGTATAAGATTATCGCAATTCAAATTACCTTACGCAATCAAAGAAAGTTAGATTGCAGCAAACTACAAATCTATACTGTAAAACTGGAAAGTAAAACAGAAACTGATACCTTGATAACCTCTACTAGAAATCAAAGAAATTCAAAGCCCGCGAAGGTCCCTTGTCTAGACTTGCTTTTGTCTAACTTGAAACGCCTACATGTACCACGAACCAAGGCCGTGAGACAGAGTTTATTTTAAATAACTTCTATCACTGCATATATTCAAAAATTTTGAGAATTTGGGTGTCGCCTTTTGAAAATTTCCATGACCACACCCATCAAAGTAACTGGATTATGAAAAAACTCGATAGCATTTAGATACTGAACAAATTTCAAAGAGAATTCACAGATTATGATCATTTTTCCTGTTATGTTCTCGTTTTTAATATTTTAATGATCTTTCATTGTCTACTGTTAGTTGCTGTAATTTTGCTTTTTCAATGCCAAATCTCTTTATTTTTGTTTTATCACTGCACAAAATTTGAGTTTATCACTGCACAATAACGATTTATTACTGCACAAATTGGTTGTCACTGCACGTTAAAATAAACCCTGCCGTGAGAGCAATGCCCAGTAAATTCCAGTCAAAATCCAACTTTCAGCCAATAGAAAATGTACGTGAGCATGGAGCAGAGAGAGAAATCAAAATATTTTCCACGGTATTTAGTTTAAAGTACCTATGAAAAGGCCTTTGGAACGTACGTCAGAACTGGTTGAGATTTGCATGGGACCTAACTTAGTTTAGAAAGTGATCCGAAAATAAAGAGTTTCTCTGGTACCCTACATTTGATATCCCTTCGCACTCCACGCTACCTGCACATCCATTATTTTTAGCTTTCCCAGCTCCGACATATTTGAGTAAGGACACTGTGTGATTTTTTAAAGCAGTTTTTATAAACCCAAATGTATTTGTGCTTTTTCAAAAAAGTCACTATATGGAAAACAATAGATGAAGCGTTTCAGTCACACCAATGAAGTGTGGCTTCTAGCACAGATGACGATTACTGGACAGA